GCTGTGCACTGGTGTGTGTGGATTGGGGGGGGCTTTACACTGGGGGGTGCACAGTAAGGTGTGGGGGGGGCTGTGCACTGGTGTGTGTGGATTGGGGGGGGCTTTACACTGGGGGGTGCACATTAAGGTGGGGGGGGCTGTGCACTGGTGTGTGTAGGTTGGGGGGGTCTTTGCACTGGGGGTGCACATTAAGGTGGGGGGGGTTTGCATTGGTGTGTGTGGATTGGGGGGGGCTTTACACTGGGGGGTGCACATTAAGGTGGGGGGGGGCTGTGCACTGGTATGTGTAGGTTGGGGGGGTCTTTGCACTGGGGGTGCACATTAAGGTGGGGGGGGTTTGCATTGGTGTGTGTGGGTTGGGGGGGTCTTTGAACTGGGGGTGCACATTAAGGGGGGGCTGTGCGCTGGTGTATGTGGATTGGGGGGCTCTTTGCACTGTGGGGTGCACAATAAGGTGTGTGGTTGGGGGGGGCTGTGCACCCTTTTTTAGGGGTGTGCAGTGCGCTGTGGATGTATCAGAGGGTGCTTTGGTTGGGAGCCCAGTGCTATGGGGGTGCAGAATTGAGGGTCCCAGGGCATTGGGTGACACACGTTTTGGGGTGCTATGGGCCAGACCTATGGCTGGGGGGGGGGGGGGTGGTGTCGGTTGGGGGTCTTTACATGTCTGGGGAGGGTATTGCATACACAAGGGGGGAAATACCCCTGTGAGCCCCTGTGCTGAGGTGGGCACTGCATTGATTGCATGTGGCCCATGCCAGGGTGGGAATAGGCCAGTCCCTTGCAGCCAGCCATGGGGGGGAACAAAGGGCTCACATACCCTTTATCAGTGGGCTGGGGTAGTGTCAGGGGCTGCTGCATAAATAGGGTGCTTGAGGGGCTACCCCAGGTCTCCAGCTACAACACAAGGCTTGAGCTAAGCGCGTAGATGGGATTTGACCCCAAGGAAGGGGACAGGCAGCGCTGCCAGCCCTCCAAAGGTGCAAGGAGCACCCCCAGAGCCCCAGGGGTGTGGGTTGGGAAAGCTGGCACCTCCATCCATCAGGTTTGGGGGTGCTGGAGCCAGCCCAGGCATAAAAACCCTCTCCCAGCTCTACAGAAATCAGGTGTTTAAGGCAGCGCGGAGGCAGAGGGGAGAGAATCCCATTGTGAATGTCTTTTAATATGACTGTGGGCTGCACAAAGCGCTGTGGTTGCTTAGCAAATGGATCCAGCCAGCGCCGCTCCCAGCCCGGCTTCACCTGAGCTCTAGGAACTGCTGCTGCCAACGGGCGAGGATGGGCCTGGGGACCCTTAATGAATAAGAAAAGGCCTTGGATGAGGCTTTCCAAGCTGGGGTGGGGGGGCCTGGGGGGGATGTGTAATGGGACAGATGATCTAGGCAGTCCTCTGTGTCCAGCTGAGCATGATGAGGTTGTAATTCTCATAAAGGGCAGAGGATTTGCTTGTCTTTGGTATTCCTAGAATCCAGAGCGAGAAGCAGCCTGGCCTATTTCACAGTGGGCAGGAAACATATGATGTGATTTAGTGGGATTAGAGGTCTGAGGGATCCTAATTTCCCCAAGGAGGGATGCAGGGATGGCCAGTGCGGGGCAGGACAAACAGTGCTTCGATGGCTAATGGGGCTCTTCTGCATGGATGCTGCCCCCACCATAGAAAACCATGCCAGGGGAGGTAATAGGTACCATTTCCCATCCGCTAACAGGGACCTGTGCCATGGGGATGAGCAGGGCTGTAGGGCAGTTTCTTTAGGGTGTTTTCCTGCAGTGCAAAGAAATAAAGGCTCTTCCCAACTTGTCACCCCGCGATTCCCTGCTGGGATTTGGGATTTGGCTCTTGGGAGGTGCCTGGTGCTGTGCTCGAGGGGGTTCATCGGTGTATCCACAGTGCCAGGCTTTGGGCTGGGAGCAGAGTGATGCTGGGTGCTCGGGAAGGGGGTTATGCAGGGCTTGTGCCAATGCAGTGTTGCATTTCACCACCCAGAGTCCAGATCCCAGCATCCCCCATCCCAGCCTCCATCCCTGGAGGCAGCCAAGTTCATCACCGTGTCACAAGGCACAGAGCAGAAATGTCATGGGGAAACTGAGGGTGTAGGTGCTCGCTTCGATGGGTTTTGGATGTTAAACTTGTCCCAGTAGGAACCGATTTTTCCAGGACGTGGTGATCCATGGCGCTTCCCCAAATCTCCCGCTGTGGGAGCCAGTTTTAGGGGGAGACGTTGTCTGCAGCCTTGTACAGAGGGAGCTGGGAATGCCAGCTCGTGCTCCTGATCACGCAGCCGGCAGTGGATGCCCTTTGAGACTGCGCCTGCTCCCTTATCAGCCTGACCCTGCCCATGCTGCTCCCACCTCCGTGCACCAACTTCACCCCAAACACCAGGATTCTGCCTCGATTCCCCCGTGCTGGCAGCTGGCACACGGTGCTCTGGGAGGTTTGAGGGGTACGGATCCTGCTGCATCCCCTCCATGCATTTCCCAGAGCTGATTCCCAACTGGATCCCAGCAGAGCCATTTGGCAGTTAGAGACAGCAGCACCGTGCTGTGCAGCTCCTGCCACGTTCTCCTCCGTCTCCTGCCTGTGGACACATGCCGTGCCGAGCCTGGGTGCTGCTGTGGGTGCTGGCAGGCTGGTGGGAGATGCTGGTTGCGCCACTCTGCTCTGCTCCAGGCTTTGGGGTTGTGCCGGCTGCCACACACTTCCTTTGACATCAGTGCAGGATGGCAACGGCAGCGCCGAGGCTGAGGCAGCCTCAACGTTGGGCAGGAGGAGATGCTGACAGCAATTTTCCACTCCATGTTTGGTACCAAAACCGCACGTAGGTGATGGAGGCAGAGGGCAGCAGCCCTGGCTCCTGCCTCCGGGGCTCAGCAGCTCTGCTCTGCCCCCGAGGCTTGTTTCTAGCCCGTAGTTGAGGGATGGGAACCAGCTGTAGCTGATGCACCAGGGGAAGGGGGGGTTAAAGTGGCGCAAGCCGAGGGTGGAGCGCACGGAAACAGGAAACATCGCCTCGCTCCGTGTCACCATTACTGCAGCTTGCTCCGTTCGAGGTTGGTTTGCACTTCCAAGATGAAACCGAGCGAGGAGGAGCAAGCCCCGCATCCCTCGGGATGCTCCCACGCACACATAACGTGTACCCCCTGCTCCCTGCAGCAAGGGGATGGTGAAGCAGTGCCGAAGCTGGGTGCTCGTGGTGCACAGAGCTCTCTGCTGGGGCGGTGCAGCGGGTTCTCTTGCCGTGCCTCCGTTTCCCACCCAGCACAGCAGAGGCTGTGGTTTGCTCTTGCTCCGTGCTGGGCTGTGGGTTTGCAGCTGTAGGAGCCGGTGTTGAAGCAAGAAAAGCAAACGGAGGGGCCGGGCAGGGGTGGGATGGGATGGGATGGGATGGGATGGGATGGGATGGGATGGGGTGGGGTGGGATGGGGTGGATGGTTGGTTGGGGGAGGAAGGGTTCTGCCAGCCCCCAGCATCCTGGCCTGTACCAGCACCAGTGCAGCAGCAGGACCAGGGCAGTGGTTGTGCCCCTGTGCTGCGCACTGGTGAGGCTGCACCTCGGATCCTGTGTTCAGCTCTGGGCCCCTCACTACAAGAGAGACATTGAAGGGCTGGAATGCGGCCAGAGAAGGGCAATGGGGCTGGTGCAGGGCCTGGAGCAGAAGTGTGATGGGAAGGGCTTGAGATGGGAAGGCTCAGGGGGGACCTGATCGCTGCCTACAAGTGCCTGACAGGAGGATGGAGCCAGGAGGGGCTGGGCTCTGCCCCCAAGGAACAAGGGATGGGACAAGAGGGACGTGAAGGGGTGCTAGGTGTCATGTGTGGCTGTGCATCCGTTCCGTGTGCATCCATCTGGAGGGACAATGGGTTGCAAAGCACTGTCCTTTGCACCCCAGATACCACATCTGCTATCCACATCTGGGTTTGGGATGTGAGGAGAATCCCTTTACTCTGGGTTTATCCTTTTGATTTGTGGGTATGTCTGGCTGTGGTGTGAAGTTAAACCATGGCCTCCAATGAGCAGCATCCATGTCTGTTCACATTCCCAGCCTGGGGAGGATATTCTGCACTGTCTTTGCACTCTCATGGGGCTGGGGACCAACTGTCCTATCTGCTGTGACATGGGGACCACCAAGTGTAAAGGGGTTATAGGAACTGTGTGGAGGGGGGGATTTTCCACATGATGGAGCAGGTCAGGTTGTGGCTGCTTGGCATTTCCATCACTTCCTCCTTTTACATCCCTGTTTCTGTTCCTGCACAGGGGGCTGCCAGCCTCTGAACCTCCCCACAAGCCCAAAGCACACGTGGCACCTCCACAACGTGCTTCATCGTTAAAAATAACCCCTTAGCCCATCCCTGGGGATGGATCTTCCCTGCGGCAGGAGATCCATAATGGACAGGGTGATGGCAGCCGGGTCCCCTGGCACGGGCATCACGTACAAGCTCCTACATAGGATAGTTAGAATCATAGAATAGTTAGGGTTGGAAAGGACCTTCAGATCATCAAGTTCCAACCCCCTGCCATAGGCAGGGACACCTCACACTAAAGCATGGCACCCAAGGCTCTGTCCAACCTGGCCTTGAACACTGCCAGGGATGGAGCATTCACAACCTCCCTGGGCAACCCATTCCTGTGCCTCATTGCCCTCACAGTAAAGAACTTCTTCCTTATATCCAATCTAAACTTCCCCTGTTTCAGTTTTAACCCATTACCCCTTGTCCTATCACTGCAGTCCCTAATGAAGAGTCCGTCCCCAGCATCCCTATAGGCCCCCTTCAGATACTGGAAGCTGCTCTGAGGTCTCCATGCAGCTTCTCTTCTCCAGCTGAACAGCCCCAACTTTCTCAGCCTGGCTCCATACAGGAGGTGCTCCAGCCCCTGAGCATCCTCGTGGCCTCCTCTGGACTTGTTCCAACAGTTCCATGTCCTTTTTACGTTAAGGACACGTCTGATCCCGTCCAGTCCTCTCCGTCCTTTGCTTCCCAAGATTAATTCCCTGTTTCTTCCCTAGTTGCCGAAGCAGCAATAGGAAGAGCCTGGTGGTGGGCACCCCCTCTCCAACCCTCTCACGGCCTCTCTCCCCGCTCTCTGTGCCAACAGGTAAGGGATGTCCCAGGGGATGGGTTGAGCATCTCCTAAACTTACCTGGTCGTTTTGAAGGGTAACACTGGTGCTTCTGCAGCACCTTAGCAGCAGCAGGAGTTACCAGCTCCTGGCCATGGGTGCCTTTGCCAGGATGGAATAACATGGGGGGCGACTTACCCACTCATTCCTCTGATGGGGCACCCATGGCATCACACGGGGGGGTACTGGGGTGACTTTTCCCCCTTTCTCCCCATAGCTGGGAGCAGCCCCTTGGACAGTCCCCGCAACTTCTCTGCCAGCACCTCCATCAACTTCCCATTCGCTCGCAGGTGAGCTCCTGCCCCCCTCCCAGACCTCTATTATTCACTGTTAATGATACCCCCCCAGCTGAGGCTGTTCTGCTCATCTCAAGTGATTCCTTCTGATTGCTTGTCCCCTTTTTCCTCCCTGGTTTTTGGTCTGCTGCTGTTTGCTCTGCTGTGACACCGCTGCCTCCGACCACTCCAGCCATGCTCCTCGGACTGACAGGTACCAGGGATAGGCTGGAGCTGCATTCCAGGGATACATCTGCTCCCCATCACACAGCCCTGCTTTATGTGCATCCGTGGGCAGGATATGTTGCTCTGAGACCAGGCTCCCTGCAGCTCTGGGAGCAGAAATATCCCTGTTCCCCCCATAGTGACCCCAGCCATGAGCTCAGACCTGCTTTGAGCACTCCCGATGGATGCTCATCCATGCTCCCATGGATGCTCAGGTCCCCGTCGAGGCAAATCTTCCTGCATCCCCTCCCCACCCTGCACTGCTGCAGAGGCAGATGCCAAAATCCTGTTTAACTAATGAATTAATTGCACCATGGGAGGGGGGGAACAGCTGATTTAACCCATCGATCCTCACATGGAAAAAAGCTGGAGGCTCACAGATGGTTTTCACACCAAATACACGGTGGTGCCAGTGCCAGCACCCTGCCTGCTCCTGCTGTCCTTGGCCCCGCACAGGAAGCAGCAGCAGGAGGTGAAGGGCCTCATCTTGACCTGGATGTTACCCCGTCCATTAGAACCATCTCCAAGAGGAAGCATTCGCCTGCGTAGGAGCAGTTCCCTTCCTGTTTACAACCGGACTCCGCTCCACGGTGCCTGTTGTCTCACGATGGGTCCTGAGGAATGCTGGTGTCTCATAGAACAATGTCCCACGGGGTGGATTTTGCTCTAAATCAGGTTCTTGCAGGTTGTTGGGGTCTTTTTCTCCATCTGAAACAGTCACCCCGGCACTGTCCCTCCACAAGGACCCTGCTCGCTCTCACTGCTGGGGTTGCAGAACATCCCCCCTCACCTCCAAACCCCTCTTATTTCACCCTATTTCAGTCCATGCCAAAAAAGAGGTTTCAGGGCTTTATTATTCCAGCCAAACCTGCACCCTCTTCCCCATCCCTATCGCTCTGACATTATTTATTTGCATTTAGATGTTGTTGGTTTTTCCTGTATGTGATGGGCACGTTTGAACTCACAGGGCTGATGGCAGAAGGTGGTCACTGGCTTCGCTACCCTCCTCTGGTTATGGGACCAACACCCCCAGCTCCACTGTCTCGGTAACATTTGCTTTCTCATGGTAGCAGGCAAGAAGAACCCAAACCTCTTGATTTTTGGTGAAAGGCCTCTCAAGCCTGTTGGTTCCTAGGCAGCCCCTCTGTTTCCTGGAGGACCATGTGCTTTAGCTGCAGCTTGCTTCCCAAATCGGCTTTTAAGAAAGCTGTAGAGCTTAGCTAACAGCTTACAGCATCCCTAAGCACTAGAGCATCCCTGGGCTTTACAGCACCCCTGCACATTGTAGCATCCCTAGGTGTTACAGCATCCCTGGGTGTTACAGCATCCCTGGGTGTTACAGCATTGCTGGGCATTTCAGCGTCCTTGAGCAGTAGAGCATCCCTGGGCATTGCAGGATCCCTGGGCATTACAGCATCCCTGGATATTGCAGCATCCCTGGTTGCTACAGCATCACTGGGCGTTGCAGCGTCCCTGAGCACTAGAGCATCGCTGGGCATCCCAGCATCCCTGGGCATTACAGCATCCCTGGACATTGCAGAATCCCTGGGTGTTACAGCATCACTGGGCATTTCAGCATCCCTGAGCACTAGAGCATCCCTGGGCATTGCAGGATCCCTGGGCATTACAGCATCCCTGGACATTGCAGCATCTCTGGGTGTTACAGCATCCCTATGGAGCACAGGTCAAGTGCACACAGAGCACATCCCAGCTGCGCAGGGATATGGCAGGGCAGGAGCTACCCGGGATGCTGCAGATACAAGTGATGGGGCTCAGTGGAGCCAGACTGGGAGAGCTGGGGGTTTTGGGGTGGGAGCGGGTAGTGCCCATCCCCCTGGGCTGGCCTTGCCATCTGTATTTCACATCACCAAGCACAGGGCTTGCTGTCTGTCAGCATTTCCAGCCTCCTAAGAGGCTCCAAGGGGTATTTTCCTGCCAGACTTGCTGGTTTCCACCCCCTGACAGGAAGCAAGGCTGCGTCTCCTGATCCCCACCATCTCTTCCCTCTTTCCAGTCATCTTCATCCTCCCAGGAGCGCCTGCACCAGCTGCCGTACCAGCCCACCCCCGACGAGCTGCATTTCCTTTCTAAGCACTTCCGCAGCACAGAGAGCGTCATGGATGAGGAAGGGCGGCACTCGCCTTGCCTGCGCCCTCGGTCCAGGAGCCTGAGGTACAGCACCCACTGCCAGGAGCACCCACAGTGATGCCAAGCATCCTCTGCCCTCCTGTGACCTGTTCCTGACGTGTCCCAGTCCTGCTAAACCCATCCCGAGGTTTTCGCCTTGCTGGGGTAGTGGGGAAGATATTGGCTTGAGGGTGTAGATGCCCCATCCCTGGGTGTGTTCATGGTCAGGTTGGACGGGGTTCTGAGCAGCCTGATGCAGTTGAAGATATCCCTGCTTATTGCATGGGGTTTGGCCCAGATGGCTTTCAAAGGTCCCTTCCAACACAAATCATTCCATGAGCATCTATGGTTCTATGGGAGAGGTAATGTTGGGTGAGGGTACAAGAGAAGCTGTGTTTAATGAAGGTCCCTGCATCCGCTGTGGGTTGGTTGGGGTTTATTTTGCTGGTGAGCTGCAAAAAGAGCAATGGTGGCAAGAAACAGTGGGATCCAGAGGGATGAGCTCATTCTTCAAAGCCAAGTGACTGATGCACCAGCTTCTCAGCTCTGGATTTGCAAGTGACTTGAGTTTGGAGACCTGGGTTGGTGGGAGGTTAACCTTCCCTGGACCAGATCCGTGCAGGATGGGAGGGATGCTGCTGGATATGGTGGCTGCACTCAGATGAGCTTTAACCACTTGGGATGGGTGTTAGAAGGAAGGAACAAATTGCTCTTCAGGGGTAGTAGTTATTTGCATAGATGGAAATGATTTGGACCTCATAACACAAGTGGTTTCCTCCCTCTGCAGCCCTGGACGGACGAGTGGAATGTTTGATAATGAGGTGGTGATGATGAACCATGTCTACAAGGAGAGGTTCCCCAAGGTAACCGCTTGGAATACATGCATGGGGATGCGTGTTCCCAGGCAGCACCATACAGACGATCCTTGAGGTCCCTTCCAACGTGGTATTGCATGATTCTGCCTTGCAGGCCACGGCCCAGATGGAAGAGCGTCTGCAGGACACCATCACCAACTTCTCTCCGAGCAGCACGCTGCCGCTGGCAGACGGGGTGCTGGGCTTCATCCATCACCAAATCATCGAGCTGGCCCGTGACTGCTTGGCAAAGTCCCAGGGAGCTCTCATCACCTCCCGCTACTTCATGGAGCTGCAGGAGAAGCTCGAGAAGATGCTCCGGGATGTGAGTACGGGGCAGTTCCCTGTCCCATGTGCTCCTGAGGCCACCGAGCGATGCCTGACTTGGGTCTCCTCCATGGCAGGCTCAGGAGCGTTCCGAGAGCGAGGAGGTGAAGTTCATCGACCAACTGGTGAGGAAGCTGCTGATCATCATCTCCCGTCCTGCTCGCCTCCTGGAGTGCCTGGTGAGACATGGAAGCTCCTGATGTCATGGGATCATAGAATAGTCAGGGTTGGAAGGACCTTAAGATCATCCAGTTCCAACCCCTGCCATGGGCAGGGACACCTCACACTAAACCATGGCACCCAAGGCTCTGTCCATCCTGGCCTTGAACACTGCCAGGGATGGAGCATTCACAACTTCCTTGGGCAACCCATTCCAGTGTCTCATCGCCCTTACAGTAAAGAACTTCTTCCCTAGATCCAATCTAAACTTCCCCTGTTTCAGTTTGAACCCATCACCCCTTGTCCTATCACTACAGTCCCTAATGAAGAGTCCATCCCCAGCATCCCTATAGCTCCCCTTCAGATACTGGAAGGCTGCTCTGAGGTCTCCACGCAGCCTTCTCTTCTCCAGGCTGAACAGCCCCAGTGTTCTCAGCCTGTCTCCATACTGGAGGTGCTCCAGTCCCCTGATCATCCTCCATCCAGAGAGGAGGCTTGCCATGAAACACAAGGCATCTTCTCACCACCTCCTGGTCCATGATGGGAACCACTCCTCCTCATCATCCTGGCCAGGCTGTAGCAAGGAGCTAAGACCATCCCTAGCATTCCAGCCGTATCCGACAGAGGAGAAGCTGGTTTTCCCTAGTGGAGCAGGGAGCAGTGAACTTCTTGGACAGTTTTACCATCCATTTCAAGGGGGGTTTTTTGGCTGTTGCACCTCATCTTTGAGCTGTGGTTCCTGCAGCTGGCAGATGGAACCATGTCAAAGCATGCTCCTGGTGTGGTCTCCTTGGGTTCCCCTCCAAGGCCAACCCATGGGGCTAGATATTTTGCCATCACCTCTTTCCATGTGGAATGATGGGGGAACGATGCTAGAAACAGGAGCAGTGCTCAGCTTTCTCCAGAGCCTGTCCCCAGTTACAAGGCTTCAAGGAAGGGTTTAACTTTGCAAAGCCTCTCTCCTAAACTGTGTGTGGTGTTCCCCATCCAGGAGTTTGACCCGGAGGAGTTTTACCACCTCCTGGAAGCTGCAGAAGGACACGCCAAAGTTGGCCAGGGAATAAAGACCGATATCCCCCGCTACATCATCAGCCAACTCGGGCTCGTCAAGGACCCACTGGAGGGTAGGGAAGCGCTTTAGGTTGGTAGCCCCAGGGTCTGCAGTGGGATGTGGACTCCCAGTTTGGGCCACTGGTGAGCGTGAATCAGCACTGGGAGGTGGCAGAGGGACCAGCAGAGCTGCGCTGGTGTCGTAGGATGGGTCCCAGCAGGACCAGGATGATGGTGTCCAAGGCTCCTGGCCAGCCTCACATCCCTCATTATTGCTCCCAGCACGTTCAGCAAAGCAGATTGAGCTCAAGACCACTTAATCCATAGGAAACCATGGCCTCGTGGGGAGACATAATCCCTGAGGAACACGGGAATGACAAGGACAAAATGAATTCTCTCAGTGTTTAACCTCGTATCCTCTTAACACCATCACCTGAATTCCTCCAGCTTGGGCAGAGCATGGGGCTAAATCCCTGCGGGATGTCTGAGTTTGGAGAGCGAGTGGTTGGTGGGGGTTATTTTGGTGAGGGTTGAGCATGAAGGAGGTAAAAGCCATCCCTATCTTCTGCAGAGATGGTGCAGCTGGATCACTTCGACAGCGGGAACACCATCACACCAGAGAACGATGATGCCTGTGAGGTGAGCACGGTCCTACCTGCATGTCCCATGTGCTTCGTCCTGCCTCAGCCCACGCCAAGGCTCCTTGTAGCAGCTCCTCTATCTAGGGCTGGGAGATGTTAGTTTGGGCTGTCCCTAGAGGTGGCTGCTGTGTTCAGGTGTAAGAGCTCACAGTCCCTCCTCTGGCTTCTTGAGTGGACTCTTGACCTGCAGAGCATCTCGGGGATGGGGTTTATAGCTGGAGGGGGCTCAGGGAGGGATGCCCACTGGCAGCAAGGAGCTGATGGTGCTCAGATGAGTGCCACCATGCTGGGATATGTTAGAAACCTCCTGTGTCTTCTTCAGAGCCAGCCTTCAGCCACCGCTCCTCGGAGGAAGCCCTGTGAGGGGGACTTTGAGACCATCAAACTGATCAGCAACGGCGCTTATGGGTGAGTTGGGATGTTCCTAACGCTTGTCTCCATCTGCAAACCAAGTCTGTGCCCTGTGCTGCTGGTGGTGAACATATGGAGAACACATGGCGTTTGGCTGTCTCTTAGGGCCGTGTACCTGGTGAGGCACAGGGAGACGCGGCAGCGCTTCGCCTTGAAGAAGATCAACAAGCAGAACCTCATCCTGAGGAACCAGATCCAGCAGGTGTTTGTGGAAAGGGACATCCTCACCTTCGCTGAGAACCCCTTTGTGGTCAGCATGTTCTGCTCCTTCGAGACGAAGCGGCACCTCTGCATGGTGATGGAGTATGTGGAAGGTGAGGATGGGATTCCGGGCTGGGTGGTGCAGGGAGCATCAGTGTCTGAGCATCAAGGACACCACCTGGGCTTTGCTCTAGGGAGCAGGTTGGAAAGCACGAGCAGATGCTTTTGTGATCCTGAATCACAACCTTACTCCCTGTTGGGAGCCTGCTTGGCAGGAGAGGCTTCATAGCCCTGCTTGATGATCCCCCTGCCTCCTCTGAACCCCTGTGTGTGTCCCCACAGGGGGGGATTGTGCCACGTTGCTGAAGAACATGGGCCCTCTGCCTGTTGACATGGCCAAGATGTACTTTGCCGAGACAGTTCTTGCTCTGGAGTATCTGCACAACTACGGCATCGTCCACCGGGACCTCAAACCTGACAAGTGAGGACGTGTGTCAGGTCTGAGCAAGGATGGGGTTGGGTTTGGATGGGGAAGGGAAAGGCACAGATCCAAGCCAAGGGGATAGGGCAGAATGAGGTTTTGGTGCCCAAATACTTGCTTCTGTGCTGTTGCACCAGGACCAGGAGTCCTTTGGTCTGGCCGGTCCTGCTCAGGTCCCAGAAGCAAACAGCATCACTGTGGGACATCCGTCTTCTCTTGCAGTTTGCTCATCACCTCTATGGGCCACATAAAGCTGACAGACTTTGGTCTGTCGAAGATCGGCTTGATGAACATGACCACGAACCTCTATGAAGGGCACATGGAGAAGGACACTCGGGAGTTCATGGACAAGCAGGTACGAGGTCCTGCCCCACTTGGCCGATCTGCTGTCCCTAAGGACCAGGACAGCCTTGAGACCTGCTGTAGAGGTCATTGTAGAGGTGTCAGCCACTGCTTCCCATGCAGGTGTGCGGCACTCCGGAGTACATTGCCCCAGAAGTCATCCTCATCCAGGGCTATGGGAAGCCCGTTGACTGGTGGGCCATGGGCATCATCCTCTACGAGTTCCTGGTGGGCTGCGTCCCCTTCTTTGGAGACACCCCCGAGGAGCTCTTTGGGCAGGTTATCAGCGGTGAGTGGTGGTGATTCCCGCTTCCCAGCAGCCATGGCTCATCCTTAGCTCATAGAGAGCTTCATTCCTTCATTCATCCCCAGTTGAACAGCAAAGGGGCTCCTCAAGCTTTGATTTCCTGGTTTGGGATATGGTTTCATGTGCTGCAGCTCCTGGGGCTTGCCCGGAAGCAGCTTTTCCTGCATCCTCGCATCATCACAATCCCCAAACTCTTCCAACCACTCCAAACTCCTTTTCCTTTATCCTTGCAGATGAAATTATGTGGCCAGAAGGGGATGAGGCTCTTCCTGCAGATGCCCAGGACCTGATCACCCGCTTGCTGAGACAGTGTCCCCTTGAACGCTTGGGCACCGGTACGCACGGCAATGCCTGGGTAGCGCTTGAGGGGTGACCGGGCACCCCAGTTTAGATCAAGCTGGGGCTGTGCTGAAACCAAAGCCATGTTGAGGATGCTCAGAGGAGGACTCCTGCTCAGGGTTCACCCCAAGAAGGCTGCACAGGGCTCTGGTCCATTTGCTGTGCATGGAGGAGAGACGGTGCCATTTGGGATGGGAGTGGGAGCATCCCGGATCCTGCCCGCTCCCCCTGATGTGGGTTTCTCTGCCTGGCAGGGGGTGCACATGAGGTGAAGCACCATTCCTTCTTCCTCCACCTGGACTGGAACGGGCTGCTGCGGCAGAAGGCCGAGTTCATCCCCCAGCTGGAGTCGGAGGATGACACCAGCTACTTTGACAGTGAGGCCAACTCCATCCCCTTTTCCCCCTGCCCTGTCAATCCGTTATCCCGGTTCAGATGCTCCTGTGGGATGGAGGAGGTGGAAAACTCCTGGGTGAAGCTGGTCACTTGACAACTAAAGTCACGAGTTTGCTGTGCCCTTGTGGCCAAGAAGGCCAATGGCATCCTGGGGTGTATTAGAAGGGGGGTGGTTAGTAGGTCGAGAGAGGTCCTCCTTCCCCTCTACTCTGCCCTGGTGAGACCGCATCTGGAATATTGTGTCCAGTTCTGGGCCCCTCAGTTTAAGAAGGACAGGGACCTGCTGGAGAGAGTCCAGCGCAGGGCAACTAAGATGATGAAGGGAGTGGAGCATCTCCCTTATGGGGAAAGACTGAGGGAGCTGGGTCTCTATAGTTTGGAGAAGAGGAGATTGAGGGGTGACCTTATTAGTGTATATAAATATATAAAGGGGGAGTGTCACGAGGATGGAGCCAGGCTCTTCTCAGTGGCAAACAATGAAAGGACAAGGGGTAATGGGTACAAACTGGAACACAAGAGGTTCCACTTAAACCTGAGAAGAAACTTCTTCTCAGTGAGGGTGACGGAACACTGGAACAGGCTGCCCAGGGAGGTTGTGGAGTCTCCTTCTCTGGAGACATTCAAAACCCGCCTGGACACGTTCCTGTGTAACCTTATCTAGGTGTTCCTGCTCCGGCAGGGGGATTGGACTAGATGATCTTTTGAGGTCCCTTCCAATCTCTAACCTACTGTGATACTGTGACAAACCAGATGCAATCCTGTTTGCAGGCTGCTCAGTCTTACCAAAGGCCTTCCCACCCCAGAACTCCCCAGAGACACGGGACTGGGCTGTGACAGCCTCAATACAGCCCCCCATGGGTGCAGGTCCCAGCAGGGTGAGGCAGGATGCGGTGCGCTGCGGGCAGGGTGCCAGCTCTGGCTCTTGCTTTCAGCTCGCTCGGAGCGGTACCAGCACTTGGATTCCGAGGATGAAGAAACCAACGATGAGGAATCATCCGTGGAGATCGGGCAGTTCTCCTCCTGCTCCCATCGCTTCAGCAAGGTGCTCCAAATCCTCCTCTGGCATCCGCAATGAGAGGCTTTGGCACTGCAGTGTGCTGAGCATCAGTGTTTTGGCTCATACCAGAGAGCCTGGCTTCCCAAATCTGCTCCTTGCTGATGGCTCTTCTCCTCCTCAGGTGTACAGCAGCTCTGAATTCCTGGCAGTTAACTCCAGCCTCAGCGTCTCCTCCTCCGACCGGAGTCACAACGAGGACAAGGAGGACAGGCACTCGGGAGACGAGGACAAGAGCCGCATGGCGAGCACTGAACCCCGGTGCGTGGTGAGATGGGGGATGCAGCATTGATATGGGCTCGTACCAGTGCCAAGGGCTTGTGCCGGCACTGCGGGTTTGTGCTGGCACCAAGGGCTTGCAGAGGTGTTGGTGATGGTGGCCACATCAACCATCTCTGCTTGTCCCAAGCCCTGCTGCTGTCCCCATGCAGGCTCCGCTCCTGGACATCCTGCAGCTCCACACCATACAGCTCCCGGCACGAGCGGAGCCGCAGCCCCACTGCGCTGCCCAGCACCGTCAGCCTGGACACCATGCCCAAGTTTGCCTTCTCCTCGGAGGATGAAAGCCCTTGCGTGGCATCCTCCAAACCGGAGAGACCCAAGTTTGTGCTGGGAGACCCTGACGCAGGGACCGGTGGTGTGGTGAAGCCGTCGGTGCTATCCGGTGTGTGTGCGATGCCAGTGTGGAATGCTCCGGGACCTACCGAGGTCCCCACGTGGCTTGGGGTGGCTTTTCCACACCCCCACATTCTCCCTCCTCCCTTCTCCGCAGCCGACCTCGTCAGCCTGAACCACATCCGCCTCCGAAGCAACAGCACCGGCACCAAAACCCCGGCTCCACGGGGCCTGGAGCCGGGTGGGAGCCGCCGGCTGAGCAGCCAGAAGGATGTGCCGGACAGACAGAGAGCCTCGCCGGGCAGCCGCGTCCCCAAATCCGCCTCTGTCTCAGCGCTGTCCCTCATCATCACATCAGGTCCGTGCCCTGTGTGGTTTATCCTGCGTTGTGTCCGTTGCCATATGGTTTTCCGATGCTAAGCCGGCTTCATCTGCTTGCAGACGACTTCAGTGGAGGTGCCCTGATGAGCCCCATCTCCCCCCACTCCCTCTCATCCAACCCTTCATCCCGTGATTCCTCCCCAAGCCGAGATTCATCCCTGGCCATCGCCAGCCTGCGGCCCCCCATCATCATCCACAGCTCGGGCAAGAAGTACGGCTTCACCCTGCGCGCCATCCGCGTCTACATGGGTGACAGCGACGTCTACACCGTGCACCACATGGTCTGGGTACGTGGGGAGGGACCGGTAGTGCCAGGCACCAGGTTTCCCAATGGGAAAACCCTGGGAGGAAACTTAGGCTTTGCATCCAAATGAAACCTTGGTCTTTTGCTTGCAGAGCGTGGAAGAGGGGAGCCCGGCGCAGGAAGCAGGGCTGAGAGCGGGTGACCTCATCACACATGTGAATGGCGAGTCAGTGCTAGGGTTAGTCCATCGGGACGTCGTGGAGCTGCTGCTGAAGGTAGGTGACCAGAGCCACGCTGTGTGCCAAGGACCAGTGCATCAATCCAGCAGCTCTCCAGCATCGCCTCCACCAGCAGCCAAGGCAGGAGCTGGTTTGGATCCGGTGCTTGGATCCAATGCGGTGCAGTGATGCGTTTCCCATCCCTCAGAGTGGGAATAAAGTGGCCCTGAGGACCACGGCCCTGGAGAACACCTCCATCAAAATTGGCCCCGCACGGAAAAACAGCTCCAAGACCAGGATGGCGCGGAGGAGTAAGAAGAGCAGGAAAAGGGACGGCCAGGAGAGGTGGGTGGAATAGGGCTGGGATAAAACGGCGTTTGTCCTGGTGTGTGCCGCACCGAGGGGGCTTGCTCTGGCTCTGCCATACTGTGGTGTCCAGCTTGGCAGACCCAGAGCCACCAGCTTTCAGGGCTCTTCCTTTCCCCACCACCTCTGTGTGTGTGTCCCCTTCCCCAGGAGAAAATCCCTTTTCAAGAAGATCTCCAAGCAGTCGTCGGTCCTGCACACCAGCCGCAGCTACTCCTCGGGCCTCCATCACTCCCTGTCCTCCAGCGAGAGCCTCCCGGAGTCCCCCACACACAGCGTGTCCCCCGGTCCCACGCCTCCCTGCCGCAGCCCCGCTCCCGACCTGCCCACAGGTACCCCAACCTGATCCAAGGTGGGATATCTGCTCCGGGGCATCACGGTGTGCCCCCATCACCATCCCTCACACTGACCTCTTTCTCTTTGCCCTGTAGATGCTGTGTCCCCGCAGAGCACCTCTCCCTCCTCCAGCACCCCAACGTCACCCGCCGGCCACGTGCGCCCCAGCTCTCTGCACGGCCTCGCACCCAAACTGGGTGGGCAACGCTACAAAGTGGGACGTCGCAAATCCACCAGCAGCATCCCCCCTTCACCCCTCGCCTGTACCCCTTCCTCTGCCCAGCGCCCACCTTCTCCCCAACGCTCCCCATCTCCGCTCCCTGGGTACCCCAAAACCCCTCATTCCTTCCAAGGAAAGACCCTGTCCCCCCCCACCATCGTCCGGCAGAGCTCACGGCCCCGCAGTGCTGATTGCCCCCGCTCCCCGCTCCTCAAGCGTGTCCAGTCAGCTGAGATCGTCACCATCCTGGTGGAGAAGAAGACCGGCAGTGCCCGCAAGCTGGGGCTGGAGATGCCCACCATGGATGGGGAGGCCATCGGGGAGGGTGACGCACCGGGGTACCCCGGGGAGCACGGTTATCACCCCGCTGCCAGCTCCCGGCTGGCGGAGAGGCACGACCGGGACCAGGAGGTGGTGGTTATGCGACGCTTGAACCTCTCGGAGCGCCGGGACTCCTTCAAGAAGCAAGAAGCGGTTCAAGAAGTGAGTTTTGATGAGCCGGATGCGGTGTCGGCAAGTGAAGACGGTGGCAAGGGTGAAGGCGGGCAGGCGGGGGGCACCGAGAAGCCAAAGCCCAGCTCGGTCCCACAGATCGCGGTGCAGGGATCCGAGAGCGACGAGCAGGAGCTGGCGGTGGCTGAATGGGAATGCCAGGGCTCCTACCCCATCCGCAGTGCTGAGGAGCCCAACAGCAGCATCTCCTTGCGGTGGCGGGATGGATGCGAGCATCCGGACCATGGCTCCCAGCAGCACTGGAACTGCAGAGAGGGAGCAACCGGCCACCGGCAACCCCAGCGGGGCCAGGGGCCATTGGGTGCTCAGCACCCAGCACCCCGGAGCAGTGCATGGAGCGGGACCAAGCACCCTTGAGCCTCCACACCGGGAGGGTTCAGGCTCTGAGCAGCATCCCCAAAATCCCCATTCCCTGTGGTGTATCCATAGCGAACATCCCTGGAGCCATCGCGGACGGGCTGTGGCTGTGCCCTGGCACTTGGGGTCCCCCGAAGGCTTTTTGTACCCCTCGAGAGATGCTCTTATTTTTCTAGAGACGCGGGAGCTTCGCTGGCCCCGACCTTTGTGTACAGCAAAGACTCGATGCTAAGAGTCCTCAATTAATTTATTACTTTTTATAAGCTAAACGGGCAGTGCAGGACCGGCGCAGGGTCCCACACGGCCCCGGGGGAGGCGGGGAGTGTGTGTGTGTGTGTGTCCCAGGCTTTTCCATGCAGTTCCCAGCCTCACCACTTGCTGTTTTCTACCCCGCTCGCTTTCCCCCCACTTTTTAACTTCAGTTTCAGCTGGAAAGACCCCCAAAATCTCCCGAGAAACCCCCGTTGGGGTGGGGGGAATTGGAGGAGTTTAAATGAAAAGCCCTAAGCCAACCCCACAGCGGCATTCCCCAATAGTGGCAGTGCCAGCTGGGGTGCAGAGGGGTGATTGTATCTGCATAGGGTTCATCATGCGGTGATGCAGTTTATTTATCAGAGTATAGCGGATGTAAAGGTTTTAATTGGTTTATTCAGAGCCTTTTGGAGCCCCCCAAAAGTGGGAAAAGCAGAGACCTCCCCGTGGGGGGGCAGGAATCAGGTGCAAACCGTAATGGGGTTTTTAGGGTTGGCTTTGCTCTTTGCATCTCTTCACCACATTCCGTGGTGCCCATCGCTCAGTGCATACAAATATCCATTAAAAGCCAGTATTCCTGGCAGCGCCTGTGCTGCTGCTGCTTCATTTGGCATCTGGACCCCCCCCCCCCCCCGTCGCTTTTTATCCAACAAAACTACGGCTCAACCCAGCGTTTCCCTCCCGTTTCTACTGTTTTCTATGATATAAACGTTCCCATTTGATAGTGCATGTTCCAGCTTTCCTCCCCGCTGCCGTTTGCTGCCCTGGTGCCGGTGATGGGCATCGGGCATCCCTGTGCCACCACCAACGGGCACATTCCCCACCCTGGAGCAGCGCGTTGGATTATGTTGTGTGCCTGTGGTTGGTGCCAGGTCCCGTCTCCTGCTTCTCCCGTTTAAACCGGTGCCGTTTAACCCCAACAAATGAGCAGCCAGAGGGGCTCGGTCTTTCCTTTGCTTCTTCCTCTATTGTCTGTACAAAGGTCTGGGAAGGCAGCGGGGATGTGGGGAGACATCAGGCACCCCCTGCACACCAGCGCTGTGGGAAGGGGGCTTGGCCGTGCACCAGTGGCATGGATATGGTGGGAAAAGGGATTCCTGAATGGAAACTGTCTCGAAAGCCAAGGGGGCCGAGTCTTCCTGCACAGTGCCCAGCTCTGCTCTTACCTTCAACAAGGTCTGTGTTGTATTAAAACTGTTTCTTGCAATGAGCCGTGATGTGGTGTCTGCAGCCTGGGGGAGGGTTGGTGTTGCTGGCACCAGATGGTGGGTACCAGTGCTGGGTATGGTGCCCAGTGCCCACCGCAGAGCCAAATGCAGTGCCCTGTGTCCATGGCAACACTGCCCAGTGTGCCCCATGCCCGGAGCAGTCCTGGTGCCCACTGCACTGCTCGTGCCTGCTGCAGTCCCAGTGCCCAGCACCGTGTCCCATGCCAGCATCTGGTGCAGTCCCAATGCCCGGTGCCATGCCCTATGTCCAGTGCTATGCCCGGTGCAGTCCTGGTTCCGTGCCCTATGCCCAGTGCAGTCTCGGTGCCCGGTGCAGTGCCCCATGCCCAGTGCAGTCCCAATGCCCAGTGCCATGCCCTATGTCCAGTGCTATGCCCGATGCAGTCCTGGTTCCGTGCCCTGTGCCCGGTGCAGTCTCGGTGCCCGGTGCAGTCCCAATGCCCAGTGCCATGCCCTGTGTCCAGTGCTATGCCTGGTGCAGTCCTGGTTCCATGCCCTGTGCCCGGTGCAGTCTCGGTGCCCGGTGCCGTGCCTCAAGCCCAGTGCAGTCCCAATGCCCGGTGCCGTGCCCAGTTTCGTGCACAATGGCCGGTGCAGTCTCGGTGCCCAGTGCAGTGCCCCATGCCCAGTGCAGTCCCAATGCCCAGTGCCATGCCCTATGTCCAGTGCTATGCCCAATGCAGTCCTGGTTCCGTGCCCTGTGCCCGGTGCAGTCTCGGTGCCCGCTGCCGTGCCTCAAGCCCAGTGCAGTCCCAATGCCCGGTGCCATGCCCGGTGCCGTTCCCAGTGTCGTGCACCATGGCCGGTGCAGTCTCGGTGCCCGGTGCAGTCCCATTGCCCAGTGCCATGCCCTATGCCCAGTGCTATGCCCAATGCAGTCCTGGTTCCGTGCCCCGTGCCCGGTGCAGTCTCGGTGCCCGCTGCCGTGCCCCATGCCCGGTGCAGTCCCGCTGCCGGGCCCGATCCGTGCTCCCAACTCTGCGCTAGGGGGCGCCGCTGCGCTCTCCCTCAGCGCCGAAAGCCGGTTGGCGCCGGCTCCCGCTCGGCTCCTTCCGGAGCAGCTCGGGCGAGGGGCGTGGTCCCGATCGCGTTCGGCAGCCGGGCGAAGGGGCGGGGCCGCCGCGGCTTCGGGCAGGTTCGTCCCCCTCCAGCTCCTCTCGGCTCTTTCCGGGGCGGGTTCGGGCCGTTCCGGCGGCGTTCGGGCCCTTTCCCAGGCTGCCGCTGGGCTGTGAGGCAGGAGCGGGCTGGAGCCGGGCGGCGGCGGATGGGGCCGGCAGAGAGGTGGGACGGGGCCGGGGGGACCGCGACCGGAGGAGGGGGGGAAGGCGCGAAGGGAACCGGAGCGGGCCCCCGGGGTGCGCGGCCCCTCATCGGGAGGCGGCCCTCGCAGGGCCCCCCGGGGGTGCCAACGCAGGGTGCCCGCTGCCGGGGCACTGCCACCCCCGGGGCCTGCTCACCCCGCCCCGAGGCGCCGGGGCTGGGCCTGTCCCCTCCTTGGGTGTCCCTCCGACCCCCCCCCCCCGGCCTCGGCTGTCTCCATCCCCACCGCGGGGACCTCGGTGCCGTTCCCCCGTGCAGCCCCCATTGCTGCGGGCAGCGCTGCCTGTCGGGGCTGCAGGGATCCAGGCAAGGCCGGGGGCTTGGATGCGGCCTGATCCCACCGTGGTTGTGCCCAGGTCGGGGGGTGCAGGGATGCTCCCATTCGGCTGGAATCCAGCCTGGCGTGGCTGTGGCTTTGCCGTCTCTGGGCACAGTTGCCCCCGATCCCTGGCTGTAGGATGGTGTCCAGCGCACCTTTTCCCAGTGCGGTTTGTGCGCTGTGTTTCTTGGGATGCTGTGGATGGTTCTGAGCCCCTTGAAGAGGAAGGTTCCCGTGGTCCCGTACTTCCCAAACTGAGGTATTTCCAATGGGAAGTAAAACCGGGGAGGGGGGGGAACCTGTCTAGAATGAGCTTTGCAAGAGCTGGAGTGGCCCCAGCTTTGTGCCTGTGGGCACCCGAGCCCAGCGCGGCGCAGGAATGGCCGCGTCTCCTCCCCATTCATGCACGGCCTTTATTTCCTGAGCAGCCCTCAGAGCCACTGGGGAACTGGCCCTGTGACTTTGTCTGTGAGAGCAGGGAATGGAGGCAGCTGAGTAAATATAGCCTAAATCACTGCTTTCCTGGCCATTCCCCCGCCCTTCCCTACCATGCGGAGGGCTGGTGTGTCCCCGAGGCTGGGCTGGAGTCATCCACTCTTCCATGATGTGGGAAAGTGCAAGCCATGGTTTGGTTCCTTTGGTGACTCTCTTTGACGTGGGCACATCAGGCTCAGGCTGTGCGGTTCGCAGCAAGGCTTTGGTGCTCCCTCGCTGCCCCAAACCCCTTGGGTTTTCGCTCGCTAGAACAAGGTTTTAAGCACATAGAAAAACCCCTTTCTGCCCGCAGTTGGGTCTCGCTGGACAAAAGCTCTGGGTTTGGAAGGGGAAGCGCAGCTCGGCTGGAATGTGGCGAGGAGCAGAGTGGTTTCTGGAACCGGTTTGGAGCCGTGTCGGAGCGCCAGCGGTTCGCTCCGAGCCCTGCGCCGTGTTTACAATGAGAAAGAGTATTTATAATATCGAGGGCTCTTTTAATTCCTCTGGGGATAGCTGGAGCTGCAGCTTGGAGCTAAAGGAACTGAGTAATGGAAGAGAAAAAGCAGAGGCAGGGGCAGTGGCTTTCTCAAGCTGGAAAGTCTCCCCTTTCAACTAGGACCTGAATGATGCTGACTTGCTAACGTGGGTGCTCCTCACCTTATAGCTTGCTTCATGGGATTGCTGCGTTGTGCAGAGCTGCTCATAAATCATCATCAGAATTCCAAATCCCCCGGGGAGGGTGATTTTGAGCAGATAATGCAGCAAGAGCACTCAGGGGGTTACTTTTTAACATGTCCTCAGCTGGTTTAGAGCTGTGATTTTTGAGGGAAATGGCCAAAATGCAGCTTCTGGGTTTAGTTCTGTCCAAAGTCCCTAAACCCAGCCCTGGGAATGCATTTTAAAGTGGGAGTCGTGTGTTCTTGCTGCTTGGGTGCTGGTGGAAAGGGAGCCTGGAGTGAAGTGCTGGGGTTGGTGTTCTGCTCCTTCCCCCTCCAGTGCCAGCATGGAAAAGGCTCTTGCAGGGAGGAGGAGAAGGTTTGAGGTGGGGAGCACAGGACAAGCTTCAACTGAAGGAGGAAAATCCCGTGTCAGGAGGAGCCTCCGGACACAGTGAGAAGTCTTGGATTGCCTGAGGTGCTCTCGGACTGTCCAGCCTTGGAGGAGGAGGTTGCTGAGACCTCCCTGCTCCGTGTCTGTAGCAAAGGGCTGCTGGTGGCCATGGCCAGGACCCTGCTAAACCTCAGGCTCTGCTGCCAGATGCATGAGAAGCATTTCTTGGGGAGAAAAGAGGAGAAAAAGGTGACAGTGGCCTCAGCTGCCCCGTGCCTCTGCTTGCAGTGCACTGTCAGGGCAGCAGCCCATGGAACTTGCTTTCCCTGCCACTAGTCCCCATTTAGGAGCTGGATGGCAGTGCCATGGCCACCACCAGCGCTCCCAGCACAGCCCAGGCTCTTCCTTGCCATTGCCACCGCCAGCACAGCCTTCCTTGTAGCTCCAGCCTTGTGAGGCTCCCAAGCAGGGAGCTGGCCCGGGAGCACAGGGATTGCTGTGCTGTTTGCCCCATGTTATAAACCAGGCTTTGCCCTGCTCCTGCTCGCTGCTTCGGGTGCATGTGGGTGCAGTGTGACCCACAGCGTGCTCCTGCCACTGCCAGGGCATGAGGCCAGCAGAGCTGCCTGGCTGTGTGGGTCCGAAGGACTCAGTGCAGCAGCAGTTGTCACCATAGGGCAGCACATGGCAGGCAGGCCCATGTCCGTTTCTATTCCCATCCCTCGTTGCCTACATCCTATTTTCTGGCTTTTCTTAAAGGAAAGCTTTGTTCTCACTGTTTGCAACCCGTTAACATGGAGGGGTTTGCAGTTCAAGACTTGCTTTGGGGTTTTCTCTTTGTGCTCACTAAGGACGTGCCGGAGCTTGGAAAGGTTTGAGCTGGGTAGGTTGGTGTAAGCATATTTTTCCCTTAAATATTTGTACGCATTCTTTTGCCTCACTGGAAGGAAAGGAGGGCTCAGCATCGCTTTGAGCCGAGCTGCACTTTGAACTGCGTTTGGAACTGGGTTTAAAAGCCCAGGAACCACATTTAAAACGTTAAGATGCTTTTATTTCTGCACTGGGCACACACAAAAAAGGACTCGTAATGTGGTTTTTGTTTCAACCCCATGCATCCAACAAAGACAGTATTGACAGCAGGGAATGAATCGAGGGCTTGTTTCTGGGCGCTGACAGAGATTTACCAAAGGTATGTGCTTGTCTGGTGCATGGGATTGCCAGAGCAGCCCAAGCAGGAGCTCACCAGCGCGGACACACGAGGCTGCTCTCCGAGAGCTGAGCGAACCTGGAGCTGGGCCCAGCTGGAATCTCTTGGCAGGCTCGGAGGTGTGCTTCCAGCCGACAGGCTCGTGCGTGTCCCAGGCCCTCGGCGCTGCCTTCCCTCCAGAGAGCTCTTTCAGGGCTTTGCTGAGCTTCCCGTGCCAGCATGAACCCGTGTGGGTTTGGGTTTCCTGGGGGGTTCCTCACCTGCGTTCACAAGCACTTGATCCCCCTGAGGAACGCAGGTGAGGTTGCTCCAGGACCAGGCTGGCTCTAAGTCATCTGTGCCCAGTGACCCGCTGGGATGTGAAGAGCAGGGTGGCACAGAGCTGGGTCTCTTCCTTCCCAGCTCGGAGAAGGTTGGAAGGATTTAGGGTAGACACAGGAAAAATCCTTCCCTGTGAGGGTGCTGAGGCGCTGGCACAGGGTGCCCAGAGAAGCTGTGGCTGCCCCATCCCTGGCAGTGCTCAAGGCCAGGTTGGACACAGGGGCTTGGAGCTGCTCCAGTGGAAGGGGTCCCTGCCCGTGGTTGGAGCTCAATGAGCTTTAAGATCCTTTCCAACCCAACCCATTCCCTGATTCTCTGAGCAGTTGGAGCCACACGGTGCGGCAGAAGGTGTGGGAACCTGCTCTTTGCATAGACTTGGTGCTCCAGAGCAGCTTCCCAGCCCTCCGCACGGATCCGCTTTGAGAAGCCACTGAAGGAGTTCACCAGCACTGAAGGTTTTGTCCTTCCAGCCTCTTCAGCCTTGTCTGAGGCGCCTGGAGCCGGCACCGGGCTGCACGGGTGGGATCCGGGGAGGTGCCTGCCAGGGAGCCCTGACCCCACGGGCTTTGGGTTCTGCTGCCTCTGGGTGCATCGCGGGGTGCGGGAGGAGCGGGAGCTGCCGGAGTCCTTCCCAGCAGGCAGCAGCAGTGGAAGGGGTCCCTTGGCAGGCAGGCAGTGCCCATGGCGCTGCCGGCTGGGCTCTGTGGGCCCTTGACAGGCAGCGCTCAGATGGGCGAGGGGCGGGCAGGCAGCCCGCTCATAAATCTCTCTTTATGCTCTGGATCATGAAGTAATATTTTCCTGGCTGGGAAGATGGGATTGGGGGAATGTGGGCTCTGCAGTGCGTTCACCACCGCCGCCAGCCCGGAACGGTGGGAGCTCAGCGTGGTGCAGGGATGTGCTGCTGCAGCCGCCGACACCAGGACCCTCCCTGGGGTCTCCCCATGACTTCCACAAGCCTGGTGTTGCTCCAGGGAAGCTCTCGAGCCACCGGGATCAGGCTCAGTCCTGTTCCCCAGCCGCCAGAGCCCGGCCACGAGTGTCTTCCCTCGCCGGGGGCAGCGCCTGCTCATTCATGGCACAGCCAACCCAGCTGGGACACTTGCCCAAGCACAGGCAACCGGTGCAGGCCCTGGCTGCTGCACAGGCTTCGTGTGCCACGGCCTCTTTGTGCCTTTCTTTGTCAAGGGAAGGAACCCACAGATCCTGGCTCCTCTTGGGGGCTCACACTGGTCTCAGATTCGTGCAGGAGCTGGAACATGTTGCAGGTCCCAGAAGGGTTATTTTAGAATCATAGAATAGTTAGGGTTGGAAAGGACCTTAAGATCGATTTTGCATCACTGCAGGTTACCAGTGCGGGTGCATCTCACAGAGTCCAGCCCGGCTCTGTGCCATGCTTGGTTGTGCATTGATCCCACTGGGAAGAGGATCCCAGCTCCCTTTGCTCCTTGCCTCCATCCACAGATGCTCTCGCACCTTCCTGCTCACTAACAGCTTTCAGAGGAGACTGGAGTTTGAGCTGGGTTTGATGGTTTCTGGGCCAAAGCCATTACCAGGACCTGCAGTGTTTCAGCAGGCTGGTCCCTGGCTGCCCCAGCTCCTTGTAGGTCCTGTCCTGGGCTGCACGCCATCCTATGGGAACTGGAATGCTGGGATTTGCCTGGGGGAGGTGGAAAACTGGCCTGTGCACCCGGGAGGGGATGGGAAAAAGAGGACGTGCCTGGCTGCTGGGAATGCCCCAGCTCACCCATCTCTTCCACAACATGTTGGAACCCAGGTTCCTGCGTTTCGGAGGATTTCTGGGCAGGGCAGGCAGCAGATTCTTCCATTTCTGAATAGCTGAAAGGCAGAGGAGCAGCTGGAAGCAGGCTTGAAGGCTTCTCGAGATGGTTTTAAGGCCATCTCTGCCTGCGCTTGATGCTGCTGCTTTGCTCAGAGCAAAGCTTTGAAGTGCTGCTCTGTGGGAATGGCAAAGCCTTTCACTGAAGGCTTGGTTAAGCTCCATCTGTGGGCAGCTACCTTCAGCAAACTGCCTGGGGGGGGGGTTGCATGGGGAGATGTAAAGGTGAGCTGGGAAATGGAATCGATTGAACCAGGGTAGGTTGAATCTGTTTGGCTGCTGTTCAGAGCCTCCCAACTGGGGCTTGCAGGGTGACTCTTTTCTGCATGCAAGTTCCTGCATAAAGGCTGGTTTGTCCCCCTTGCTGTCTTCATGTTTGCATAAGTGCTACGAGGAGGGTAAGCTGCAGAAGCAGGAGTGAACCTCCTTAAGATGCAGAGCTGGTGCCTGACTGTGGCAGAGAGGAGGTGGCATTCCTGCTTGCAGCTGCTGGCTCCAGTCCTGCTTTTGGGAGTCTAAACTGGTATTAGCATGTCCCGGTTGGATCCAGGGCTCAGCATCAGCTGGTAGGGAGGAAAGAAACGAGTCCTGCCTCTCTCAGGTGCTCAGATGAACCCCTCATTTGAATGGTGGTGTCTCAGGAAGGTGAGAGGTGTCTGGCTTTGCATTAACAAGTCGTCTTCTCTTTGCAGGCCCTGGGAAGGCAGACGTAGCACCCTACGCTGTTCTGGGCTGGAAGCCCACTGTGCTTTTGCCCCCGGGACTCCAGGAAACGTGCTTCTTTCTCGGTGAAGCAGACCCAGATCTCCTGTTTCCTTGCTGCATGCCCGCTCGCGAGTGCTGGATTATGTTTGTCTCCTTCTCCCTTTGCTCCATCATTTGGTTGAATCGTGGTTTCAAGCTAAGGAAAAGGGGCTGCACTTAAGCACACCGGGACACCCGGCCCACGCTCCTGGGGTGCTGGTTCATGCAAAGACATTCAGAGTGCTGATGGGGGAGACCTGCCTTTGAAATCCCTCCTCTCCCACCTGCAACGTGCTGCCTCACCGTCCGGAGCCCTTCTCCTCGCAGCAGAGAGAATGGGCAGCACCGATGGGTTCCAGTACCGTGCGCTCTACCCCTACCGCAAGGAGCGTGAGGAGGACATTGATCTGCTGCCTGGGGACATCCTGGTGGTGAGCAAGGGGGCCCTGCAAGCCTTGGGCTTCAAGGACGGCGATGAGCAGACCCCCAATCAGATCGGATGGATCCTGGGTGTCAACGAGAGGACCAAGCAGAAGGGCGACTTCCCGGGCACGTACGTGGAGTACGTGGGGCCGGTGAAGATCTCGGTGCCCTCGCACCGGCCCCGGGTGCAGAGGCCTCTGCCTGCCACACCGGGCGCCAGTGGCTGCCGCCTCCCCGATGCTCTGGAGCAAGGTAAGCCCTGCTGCGTGCTCCCAGCACGTGGTGGCTGCGGGAGGCTCTGCTGGGCAGCACTGGGTTGATTGTCCCAACGTGTTGTCTGCGGTTGTGGTTTAACCCCAAGCAGCCCCTCGCTCCTTCCCTGATCCCAGTGGGATCGGGGGGGGGGGGAAACTGGTAAAATCCATGTGTTAAGAACAGTTTAATAACTGAAATCAAGTCAAATATAATAACAATGGGAAGGGAGGTAACAAAAAGAGAGGAATAACTGAAGGAAAACAAGTGATGCACAGTACAGTTGCTCACCACTCCACTGACAGATGGCCAGCTTGTCCCCAGGCAGTGATTGGCCCCTTCCAACCAACTTCCCCCAGTTTCTATACTGAGCATACTGGTTATGGAATATCCCTTTGGCTAGTTCAGGTCAGCTGTCCCAGCTTCTTGTGCCCCTCCTCATTAGGAGAGAAACTGAAAAGTCCTTGCCTTAGGATAAGCACCACTTAACAACTGAAATGCCAGTGTGTTATCACCATTATTGTCAGCCTAAAGCCACAGCACAGCACTGCACCAGCTACTAGGAGGAAAACTGACTCTACCCCAGATGAAGCCAGGACAGGGCTCACATTCAGACCTGGCCAAGAGAAGAGCACGAGCAGAGCTTCTTGGGTTGAGCCTTGTCCCACTCCTACCTCTCCAACATCTTTCTCCCTCTCTGGCGTGCAGCTTAGCCAGGATCCCTGTGGTCCTTGGTCCCTCTCCCTGCTCTGCTGAGGGTTTTACCCCTCTATTTAGGAATAAGCCCTGACCTCTCCCAACCACCTCTCAGCCTCTGGAGCACCATCGCTCCCTGCCAAGAGCCGCTCAGCCCTGCTGGGACACACAATTCCTTGTCTCTGGGCAAGAGGAGAAAAGTCAGGGTCTAAAAGAGTCCTTCCGAGAACTGGAGCTAACAGCTTGTCTGCCTGGCACCCATCCCTCCCTGGGGATGCAGAGCTCTCCCTGGGGCCAGCAGCCACCCTCAGGCAGGACATGGGCCATCCTGCAGCTGCTTCCCAGCCGGCACTGGGCTTGGCATGGACCTGGTCCATGAGCTGGGAATGCTGCCATGCCCCGGCACTGCCTGCGGAGCTCCAGCAGCTGCCTGCCCACTGCCTATTGCTTTGAACATAAACCCTGTGGCAGGGGCTCTGGGGTGGCCCAGAGGGGTGACAGCCACGCTTTGCCCTCCCCATGCCTTGCAGAAGACCTTGTGCTGATGCACTCAGGGGGAGTAGGGACAGCAGGAGCTGGTGGGTGTCAGAGCACACTCCCGGCTGGCAGTCCATTGCCCTCCCCATCCTCTGTCCAAAAGCCAATGGTTATCCCATCAGCCATTTCTCGCTGTGGGAAACACCCCTGGGGTCTTAAGGAATGGAAAGAAGCCCCCATCCCATAAACCAGGGGCTGGTGCAGCTCCCCAGAGCTGCCTCCCATGCTCCTGCTCCCGGAGCCAGAGGGGTGGAAACAGCTCCGCAGGGTGGGAATGTGGTCAGGCTGTGCCTTTGGGCTGGCAGCGAGAGCTGCTGACCTGAGTCACCCCGCAGAACGCTGCTCCTCTTGGGAGCCTGGGATGCGCTGTGCAGAGGATGCTCTGGCCTTGTCTGCATCCAGCCCTGTGCTCCCTCGGGGGCTGGATTTAAGCCTTTGTGGACTGGCTTTCCTCCTCCTCCTCCTCAAGCAGGGCTTGGCAGAGGGGTGTCTGGGTGGTCAGAGCTGCTGCCCCATGCAGGGCTGTGGAAGAAGGTGCGTTCCAAAGCTCCTGACACACAGAAAAGATGCAGTTAGGAGAGAAACCCAAACTCAGCCAATCTGCATCCCACCTGGGGATGGAGCATAGCGAGGGTCAGGTACAAGGGTACACAAGGAGGGTACCAGCACCTGTGGGTGCATATCCCCATTTGGGGCACAGCAAGGACCTGCAGAGTGGCAATTCAAACACCCAAGGGCTATTTTCCAGTGCAGGCTGCTGCGGTGCTGATGGGGAGATGTGTTTCTGCAGCTGAGAAACTGCATTGGAGCCAAACCCGTGTTCCTTCCTTGCGGGCTGCGCTTTGGGAGGTGCAGGGATGTCTTCTGGCTGCCCCACAGAGCTGATGGGGTTTCTGCCCTGGCTGACAGGAATCCCTTACCCCCCTCCCAGTGTCATACATGGAGCAGGGCCAGCACCACCTCTGTCCCCCCTGGCCTGTGTGCAGGCTTGGTACAGCAGAGCAAGGAGCCCCGGTGCGTTCCAGCGGTGGATTTACGAGCTGCCGCTGTTCGCCGTCCATCAGGGGGAGCCGAGCGGAACATGCGGCTCGCTGCTATTTCCGCAGCTGCCCCGGCCCTGCTCTGAGCTGCCTTGTGCAGGGCAGCGCGGCCCCGCGGGCTCGGGAGCTGCTGCTGGGCAGAGCAGGAGCAGGCAAAGGCAAAGGCAAAGCTGCTGCCTGCTGAAGCAGCACATTCCCATCCAGCCCACGTGGGCAGCCCCACTGTTTACTCCCCCTTGAGCCCTTCCCAAGGGTCAGGCTCGGAGCTGCCAGCCTGGAAGCTTGCCTGAGTCTTCAGCACCACACTGGGCCCCTTCCCATTGGGAATTGCCCCCCCACACACACCCCAACAACACAGGGTGCTTCCCTTTCTATGGCTGCTTTGTGAGGCTGTGGGTGCGGGAGGCTCGGGCCAGTGTGGAGCTTCAGCTTGTTGTGCCTCATGGTAAGGCCACCCCGGGCGAGTTCAGGTCAGATCCATGACAACAGAGCTGTGTTTCGCAATGGGGAGCAGCCTTTTGGCTCTGCATCCCCAGAGCGGAGCGTGCCCCGTGTCTGCACTGACCATGGGGGGGTCCCGGAGGAGCCTCCCGCACCGCCTGGTGCTCAGCTGGATGCAAGACAGGGCCTGGCACTGCTTGGCCTTCGGCAGGGATCCCACTGGCAGCTCTTGCCCCGGCATGCATCACCCTCCAGCACTGGGGAGCCCAGAGCTGGGACCTTCGGCTCTTGTGGAGTGAATGCCACCCGATGCAGGGCTGCAGATCCTCGCTCTGGGAGCACAGGAACCCCGGTGCTGTGCCGTGTCCTGTTGCAGCTTGCAGGAGGCCATGGGCTCGCAGGGAGAGGGAGGCAGAGGGCTGGTTTCCATGTTAAATGAGCAGTCAAGAGCAGGAATTTGCTGACATGGAGTTCTGTCTGAGTCCTTGGATTAAGCACAGCTCAGCCCCAGGAGCCAGCTCCGTGGCCCTGTTCCTCCACCAGCCCTGTGCTGAGCAGGCACCGACCCCAGCCTGGGCTCCAGGAGCTCTGCTACCCCCAGGCTCTGCCTCCTGTGCTCTGCAGGAGCAATAGGGACCCCCTGTGTGCACCCCGTTAGGGGCTTGGAGCAAGGCTGGGCTTGTTCTGAGCCAGCTCCCAGGCTCTCCCAGCCCCTGTGCAGTGTTTGCATGGGCTGCAGCCCTGCCGCAGGGGCCACGGCTTTCCTCACTCTTGGATTCTGCTGTTAAGGGTGAGGTGGTTGTGCCCTGGCCTGGTTCTACTGGGGGCTGAGCTGGGGCTGAGCCCTTTCTCCCTCCCTCTTTGCAGGGTCTCCTCTCCTGGAGCTGCAGGAGCAGTTCAGCCCTCCCGAGCTCGCACCGCCGCTGCTGGTGAAGCTGGTGGAAGCTATTGAGAAGAAAGGTAAGGGGGGATGTTGAGCACTGTGGGGCTGGTACCCCTGAACCCCCCCTGGGAGGGCAGAGCGGGGGGCAGTTCTCTTTAAAACCCCCATGGGATGTGCACGCCCCAGCTCCACCATCCTACACAGGGGCCTGGGATGTGGGTGCTGGGTCTGCATGCCCTGGAGATGGGTGCTGGGGTTTGGGAATCACTTCCAGCCTGTGTCTATGCCACTGGGGTGGGGGGAGAAACGAGGACACTGAATGGGGGGGTCCTGGGGGCCAAGGGGCTGCAGCTGGACCCCCTCCATGCCCTGGGTCAGGCGGTGCTGGCAGCTGAGCACCGTATCCCTGCTTCCATAGGGATAGACAGCGAGATGCTGTACAGGACATCTGGCTCCGAACTGAGGCAAGCGCTGAGAACCGGTAAGAACCAGCTCAGTGTGGGGAGGAGGCGAAGGCGCTCAGATGGAGGAGATTAGTGCCTGAGCCAGAGCCAGCAGTAATGCAAGCCAGGCCAGGCAGTTCCTGACTCCCAGCACGCTGCTGGGGGGGCTGGGCTGGCCCCACACATCCCCAGCTCCAGGGGAAGGAAGGGGGGGGCACTCCTGGAGCAAAGGGATGTGGTGCTGGTGAACCCTTGTGCTTGTGTCCTGCTCTCTTTGGGCGCCCTGCTCTGTGGATGGGCTGCTGGAGGCTGCTCTGCCTCTGTCACAGCACTCAGAAGCAGGGGGGGGAGCTTTGAGCTCAGTTTGGTGGCTGGAGCCGTGGCTCTGCTCTGCCAGCAGCCCATGTCTGTACTGGGGAGCCTCTGGAGCCGTCTGTCACTTGGCTGAGCTTGGGCCTCATCCAGCACTGTGCTGCTTGTCCCATTGCAGAGACGTTCTTGGTGCACTGCTTTAGGGCCAGGCTTCGTTGCCATCCCACAGCCTTGTGTTCATGGGGCGGCTCGGTTTGAGGGGGCTGTTTTCCCCATTGGGGTCAGTGTGGGGCTGGTCTGACCAGCAGCAGGGAACAAAGCTCCTAACCCATCTGAGTCGTGCATGCCCAGGATTACCGCAGCAGGGCTGAGGGCAATGAGGGTGGGCACCCAAAATGAGCTGTACCCATAGTGGGGGGGTAACCTGCCTGGGTTCCCAGAGCCGGGTTGGTTTTGGGGTGCAGGTATCACTTGCAGGCATCCTCCTCCTGTGTGGCTGCCCTGTCCTGTGCTAGGGGCTTGGAGGGGGGGTGATGGTGGCTGGGGTAGGTGCAGGAGCTGCACCCATCCCCACGGTGCTGCTGTGCCCTGGCAGATTGGACCCTGGGGGACCTGGAGCCCTTGGATGTGCACTCCCTGTGCGAGGCGCTGCGGGGGTACCTGCAGGACCTGCCCTCCCCTGTGGTGCCGGTGGCCGTGCATGGAGACATCCTGCGCATCCTGCAGGGTAAGGGATGCTCTTGGGATGGGGGATGTGTGGGATGGATCATTGGGAATGGGTGGCTATGTGGGATGGATCATTGGGAATGGGTGGATCCCTTGGGAATGGGTGGCTGTGTGGGATGGATCATTGGGAATGGGTGGCTGTGTGGGATATATCCCTTGGGAATGGGTGGTTGTGTGGGATGGATCATTGGGAATGGGTGCCTATGTGGGGTGGATCAATGGGAATGGGTGGCTGTGTGGGATGGATCATTGGGAATGGGTGCCTATGTGGGGTGGATCAATGGGAATGGGTGGCTGTGTGGGGTGGATCAATGGGAATGGGTGGCTGTGTGGGATGGATCATTGGGAATGGGTGGCTGTGTGGGATGGATCAATGGGAATGGGTGGCTGTGTGGGATGGATCTGTTGGGAATGGGTGGCTGTGTGGGATGGATCAATGGGAATGGGTGGCTGTGTGGGATGGATCACTCAGGAATGGGTGGCTGTGTGGGATGGATCATTGGGAATGGGTGGCTGTGTGGGATGGATCACTCAGGAGTGGGTGGCTGTGTGGGATGGATCATTGGGAATGGGTGCCTGTGTGGGATGGATCACTCAGGAGTGGGTGGCTGTGTGGGATGGATCATTGGGAATGGGTGGCTGTGAGGGATGGATCATTGGGAATGGGTGGCTGTGTGGGATGGATCATTGGGAATGGGTGGCTGTGTGGGATGGATCATTGGGAATGGGTGGCTGTGTGGGATGGATCACTCAGGAGTGGGTGGCTGTGTGGGATGGATCATTGGGAATGGGTGGCTGTGAGGGATGGATCATTGGGAATGGGTGGCTGTGTGGGATGGATCATTGGGAATGGGTGCCTGTGTGGGATGGATCATTGGGAATGGGTGGCTGTGTGGGATGGATCATTGGGAATGGGTGGCTGTGTGGGATGGATCATTGGGAATGGGTGGCTGTGTGGGATGGATCATTGGGAATGGGTGGCTGGTGGATCAATGGGAATGGGTGGCTGTGTGGGATGGGTCATTGGGAATGGGTGGCTGTGTGGGGTGGATCAATGGGAATGGGTGCCTGTGTGGGATGGATCATTGGGAATGGGTGGCTGTGTGGGATGGGTCATTGGGAATGGGTGGCTGTGTGGGATGGATCATTGGGAATGGGTGCCTGTGTGGGATGGATCATTGGGAATGGGTGGCTGTGTGGGATGGGTCATTGGGAATGGGTGGCTGTGTGGGATATATCCCTTGGGAATGGGTGGCTGTGTGGGATGGATCATTGGGAATGGGTGGCTGTGTGGGGTGGATCAATGGGAATGGGTGGCTGTGTGGGATGGATCACTCAGGAGTGGGTGGCTGTGTGGGATGGATCATTGGGAATGGGTGGCTGTGTGGGATGGATCATTGGGAATGGGTGGCTGTGTGGGATGGATCACTCAGGAATGGGTGCCTGTGTGGGATGGATCATTGGGAATGGGTGGCTGTGTGGGATGGATCATTGGGAATGGGTGGCTGTGTGGGATGGATCATTGGGAATGGGTGGCTGTGTGGGATGGATCATTGGGAATGGGTGGCTGTGTGGGATGGATCATTGGGAATGGGTGGCTGTGTGGGATGGATCATTGGGAATGGGTGGCTGTGTGGGATGGATCATTGGGAATGGGTGGCTGTGTGGGATGGATCATTGGGAATGGGTGGCTGTGTGGGATGGATCATTGGGAATGGGTGGCTGTGTGGGATGGATCATTGGGAATGGGTGGCTGTGTGGGATGGATCATTGGGAATGGGTGGCTGTGTGGGATGGATCATTGGGAATGGGTGGCTGTGTGGGGTGGATCATTGGGAATGGGTGGCTGTGTGGGATGGATCATTGGGAATGGGTGGCTGTGTGGGATGGATCATTGGGAATGGGTGGCTGTGTGGGATGGATCATTGGGAATGGGTGGCTGTGTGGGATGGATCATTGGGAATGGGTGGCTGTGTGGGATGGATCATTGGGAATGGGTGGCTGTGTGGGATAATCCTTGGGAATGGGTGGCTGTGTGGGATGGATCATTGGGAATGAGTGGCTGTGTGGGATGGATCATTGGGAATGGGTGGCTGTGTGGGATGGATCATTGGGAATGGGTGGCTGTGTGGGATGGATCATTGGGAATGGGTGCCTGTGTGGGATGGATCATTGGGAGTGGGTGGCTGTGTGGGATGGATCATTGGGAATGGGTGGCTGTGTGGGATGGATCCCTTGGGAATGGGTGGCTGTGTGGGATGGATCACTCAGGAGTGGGTGGCTGTGTGGGATGGATCATTGGGAATGGGTGGCTGTGTGGGATGGATCCCTTGGGAATGGGTGCCTGTGTGGGATGGATCATTGGGAATGGGTGCCTGTGTGGGGTGGATCAATGGGAATGGGTGGCTGTGTGGGATGGATCACTCAGGAGTGGGTGGCTGTGTGGGATGGATCATTGGGAATGGGTGGCTGTGTGGAGTCAATGCATTTGGGGTATTCAAGCAAGTGCTGGGGTCTCCCCCAGTGCCGCAGCGGGAGCACGGGGCTGTGCTGCCTGTCCCCGCTGTTCCATCGGGTCTGGTTCTCTTCCGCAGAGGTTCCCCAGGCGGAGAATTGCCGGAAGCAGCTGCTCCTGGCCCTGGAGTCGCCTGCGGTCCCGCTCCAGAACACGCTCACCCTGCAGTTCCTGCTCCGGCATCTGGGGAAGGTGTCGCAGCAGGCCGAGAGCAACGGCCTCCACCCGAGGGCCCTGGGAGAGATCTTCGGGCCCCTTCTCCTCCGGCTGCCTGGCGCCAGGTACCTGAGGCTTTGGGGTTCCAGGCTCTGGGCCTGGCAGCACGAGGAGCCCGGGCTGGAGGAGCAGCTCTGCCCCTGCCTCGCTGCTGGCAGCACACAGAGGAGGGACCCAGAGCCTTGCCTCTGTGTCAGCCTGGCTCTGGCAGATGGGGTGAACCAACTGCCCCTTTGCCCAGGGAGCACGGGAGCAGTGCCAGGTTCCCCCCACCCCAGAACTGCTGTTCCTACTCTTCTCCTCTCTCCCTGCAGCCCAGAGCTGAGCCCTGACTTCTCCGTCCTGTTTTTGGAGATGCTTCTGCAGACGAAGGAGCTGGAACCAGAACAGTTGCCTCCAGGTGCTGAGATGCCCCTTCCTTAGGACCTAAGGCGCTGGGGTTTGTGCTCTGGGGATGGGGAGTCTCTGCCCCTATGAGCGGGTTGCTGAGGGCACTTCTGGAGCCCGCCTCGAGGCATTCATCTACTGCTGTGGATGTGCCTGGAGCAGCTCCCAGCAGCGTGGTGGCCAAGGGGGCTTCCCAGGATAGTCACAGCAGGGAGGCGGACTCAGTGCTCCAAGGGATTGCAGCTGGGACTTGGGCTCACCCTGCTTCCCTCCTCCTTCTCTTACAGCCTTGCCTCCAAAACCCCCTAAGCCAAAGCCCAGCGCAGCCAGCTTGGCCAACGGGAACAGCGTGTCCTTGCAGGATGCTGAGTGGTACTGGGGTGACATTTCACGGTAAGGGGACGGCTGGCAGCACACATCCCGGGTGCCCTGTCCATGGGGTTCTCTAGGGGAGCTCTGGTTGAGTCTCACAGGCTGTAACAGTCACATTGCTTGCAGGGAGGAGGTGAATGAGAAGCTACGGGACACACCGGATGGTACCTTCTTGGTGCGTGATGCCTCCAGCAAGATCCAGGGGGAATACACCCTCACGCTCAGGTAGGGCGCTGGGGGGTCCCTGTGCTGACAGCACCTGGGTGATGAGCTGCCAGGCTGGGAGGTGGTGCTGAGCATCCTCTCCTCTCCCATCACTGCAGGAAGGGAGGCAATAACAAGCTGATCAAGATCTTCCACCGGGAAGGGAAGTACGGCTTCTCAGAGCCCCTGACCTTCGGTTCGGTGGTGGAGCTCATCACCCATTACCGGCACGAGTCACTCGCCCAGTACAACGCCAAGCTGGACACCAGGCTGCTCTACCCCATCTCCAAGTACCAGCAGGTGAGGCCTGTGCAGTGCTGGCTAGGGGCGTTTGCTCATCCATCCCCACTCCATTGGTAAAGGTTGATGTCTCACCTCTTCCCCATGCTGGGATGTTCCTGTGTGGGGTGACAGCCAGCCTGCAGGACTGGTGGGGTTTTGTGGGACCAGCTGCCTCGCAGAGGGGCTGCTGTAGGGCAGGAGCAGGCCCTGAGGGATGCTCTGTGTATGGCAGGACCAAGTGGTGAAGGAGGACAGCGTGGAAGCCGTCGGGGAGCAGCTGAAGGTCTATCACCAGCAGTACCAGGACAAGAGCTGGGAGTACGACCTGCTGTATGAGGAGTACACACGCACGTCCCAGGTACACAGGCACTGCCTTCCCCTTGGGCTGCCCTGACATCTGATGGCCACCACTGGGCACGGAGGGGAGCAGGGGTTGGGCATCCGCTGCCTCACTTTGCTGCTTTGAGAATGGGCTTTGAAGAGGGAGATAACTTTGGCTGCAGTGAGGACAGTGCTGCTTTGGGGAGGGGGAAAGAGAGGATGCGAATGGGCAGAACCTGCCCTAGTGCTCCCCTGTCCTCAGCTCTCCCCTCCCTTCTCCTCAGGAGCTGCAGATGAAGAGGACTGCAATCGAGGCCTTCAATGAGACCATCAAGATCTTTGAGGAGCAGTGTCAGACGCAGGAGAAATGCAGCAAGGAATACATCGAGCGCTTCCGACGGGAGGGCAATGAGAAGGAGGTGCAACGGTGAGCACAGGGGGTGGTGGTGCCCTCCCCTGCCTGGGGAAGAGCTCTGCAGGGCTGGAGGCTCCTCGTGGCCCAGCACAGGGCAGAGGCACGCACAGCCCTTGCCTCTCGAGCAGTGTGCTGTGTGCTGTGTGCTGGAGCTGGCAGGCTGCCTCCTCCGCCTCCCCCAGCCTGGCTCACAGCCTCATTCCCCCTCTCTTTCTCCCAGGATCCTCATGAACTCGGAGAAACTCAAGTCCCGCATCACGGAAATCCATGACAGCAAGATGAAGCTGGAGCAGGACCTGAAGAAACAAGCCTCGGAGAACCGGGAGATCGACAAGCGCATGAACAGCCTCAAGCCAGACCTCATGCAGCTGCGCAAACTGCGGGACCAGTACTTGGTGTACGTAGCTCCTGCCCCTGTGGAGGGCTGGGATTGAGGCCCTGCTGCCCCCCTCCAGCCATTCAGCTGCCTCCTTGAGGGCTTTGGGGCTTGTCAGACCAGCTTGTGGGCTGCTGCGTGCAGCCTCGGGCACGGCTGCTGCCCTCTGGTGATGGCTGCTGCTGTGGTGCCTGGCCTGGGCACGCTGAGCTCTGCCTCTCCTTCCCCAGGTGGCTGACGCAGAAGGGTGCCCGGCAGAAGAAAATCAACGAGTGGCTGGGTATCAAGAACGAGACGGAGGAGTGAGTGTCCCTGTGCTGGGATCGGCAGCCCTGGGGGTGTGCAGAGAACGTGGGGATGAGGCCCTCAGTGGTGGGTTCGGCAGTGCTGGGGTGAAGGTTGGATATGGTGACCTTGATGGTCTTTCCCAGCCTGGTTGATCCTATGAGTGTTGGGGAGGGCTGCAGGAGCACAGGCTGTGCAGCCGGGTGTGCTGGGGCTGATCCCATCTCCCTATCTGGGAGCTGAGAGCATCTTCCCTACCAGAAGGGGTGCTGGCATCCAGCAGTGGGAGGGGAGCTGTGGGAGCCTCGTGCCTAAACTGAGGGGGTCTGACCCTCCCTGTGCCCGACTGCAGCCAGTACTCCATGATGGATGATGAGGAGGAGCTGCCCCACCACGAGGAGCGAACGTGGTACGTGGGGAAGATCAACCGCTTGCAGGCAGAAGAGATGCTTTGTGGCAAGCGGGACGGCACCTTCCTGATCCGCGAGAGCAGCCAGAAGGGATGCTACGCCTGCTCCGTGGTGTGAGTATCTCCATGGGATGGGATGGGGCTGGTGTGGGCTCTGCTCCCGCATTCCAGCTCGACAGATGATGGAGCTGGTGGAAGCATCAAGCTGGGCTTCCGAGGTGGCCCAGATGTATGATAGGAATGCCATCCAGAGGGACCTTGACACGCTTGGGAGCTGGGCTGATGCCAACCTCATGGAGTTTAACCATGGCAAGTGCAAGGTCCTACACCTGGGTCGGAGCAATCCCAGGCACAGCTACAGGCTGGGCAGAGAAGAGATTCAGAGCAGCCCAAGGAGAAGGACTTGGGGGTGCTGGTCCATGAGAAAATGAACATGAGCCGGCTTCGGTGTGCATTTGCAGCCCAGAAACCAACCGTATCCTGGGCTGCATCAAAAGGAGCGTGACCAGCAGGTTGAAGGTGATCCTGCCCCTCTGCTCTGCTCTCGTGAGACCTCACTTGGAGCATTGTGTGCAGTTCTGGTGTCCTCAACATAAAAAGGACATGGAACTGTCGGAACAAGTCCAGAGAAGGCCACGAGGATGATCAGGGGACTGGAGCACCTCCAGTATGAAGATAGGCTGAGAAAGTTGGGGCTGTTCAGCCTGGAGAAGAGAAGGCTGCGTGGAGACCTCAGAGCAGCCTTCCAGTATCTGAAGGGGGCCTATAGGGGTGCTGAGGAGGGACTCTTCATTAGGGACTGTAGTGATAGGACAAGGGGTGATGGGTTCAAACTTAAACGGGAAGTTTAGATTGGATATAAGGAGGAAATTCTTTCCTGTGAGGGCAGTGAGGCACTGGAATGGGTTGTCCAGGGAGGTTGTGAATGCTCCATCCCTGGCAGTGTTCAATCCCAGGTTGGACAGAGCCTTGGGTGAGATGGTTTAGGGCGAGGTGTCCCTACCCATGGCAGGGGGGTTGGAACTTGATGATCTTGAGGTCCTTTCCAACCCAAACCATTCTATGATTCTATAATCATTGGGCTGCTCTAAGTGATGCCTGCTTGTGCTCCACTGTCCCAGTCCCACTGCTGACCCGTGTCCTTTCTGTCCCTGGCAGGGTGGACGGTGACACCAAACACTGTGTGATCTACAAAACAGCCACAGGCTACGGGTTCGCTGAACCCTACAACCTCTACGCCTCCCTCAAGGACCTGGTCTTGCACTACAAGCACACGTCCCTGGTGCAGCACAATGACTCCCTGAATGTCACGCTGGCTCACCCTGTCCTTTCCCAGCCACCAGCCAGATGAGCAGCCCATGCACAACCTAACAGCTGCCTTCAGCTTCTCCCCAGGGCGCTGCTTTCTGGCTCTGGACTCTTTGCACCCTGTATAGTTGAGTCTTTGTGCTCCTGCCCCTCCAGAGCCTCTTGAGATGTCTGTGACCGTTCCTGATGTCCCTTTTGGTCAGTAGCTGAAACCCGTGGTGGCTGGTGGGACAAAACGGCTGGGCTGTTGATTCCCAGTGGACTCCAGCCTTTAGGAAGCAGGATCCAGTCATGATTGAATTGCTGGGGTGAGCACAGTCCTCTCTCCTTCCCCAATAAGCAGGTCAGATCCCCTCTTGCTGGCAGGTCGCCCCACTATGCATCACTGTAGAGGTAGATTCCCAGTTCCAAGGGGCTCCCTGCTGCTTGGATGCTGGAGGAGGCAGAGGAGGAGGCTCCGCTGAGCATGTGCATCCTCCACCCTCCCTTCCCTTGGTGACTTGCAGCCTGTGGCAGTGTCTGGTACGAGAGGTGCTGCTTTTCCATGCAGAGACTCATTTAGAAAGGAGAAACCCTGTCCTCTGGGGGGCTTTTCAACCCAGGTTTCCGCTCCACGCCGTGCCCCACTTGCCCATCTTGTTCCCTCATTCCATAATCACCTCTGGAGTGTTGCTGTCCGGGGAGGGAGGATCCAGTTAGTGAGGAATCTCTCGCCTCACTTGTGCCAGCTAAGCTGTGAAATCCATGTGGGTGCCGTGTGTTTGCCCCGGGCAGAGCCTCTGGATGCACCGCTCCTTGGTTCCGGCTGTCTTGGGTGAGCCTTCCCCTTGATGCTCGCTGTAAATACGGTTCCTTTTGTAATCAGCTGCTTTCCTAGTGCTGGTGTTTGCTGAGCTCCCCCTACCCAGCAGTGCCCAGGCTGCTGCAGACCCAGGTCCTGCCACCTTGAAGCAGGAGGGGGACGCACACTACGAGCCCTGTACAAAATGAAGGAGCTCTCTGCTGCAGGAGGACGGGATCTGCTTGGCACCTACAAACCTATATGCATGATGTGGAACTCTGTATGCAAAGCACTTAGAATCATGAGTACTGTATGGGGGTGAAGGAGCTGGGTGTTGCAGGCAAGGGATTTGTTGTGCCTGAGCTCAAAGGGCTCAAGGGACAGAGGTGGTTCTGCTGGACCTGGGCTGAGAGTTGAGGCCACGGTGGCATTTGTTTCACTGGGTTATCCTGCCTGCCTGCCTTGAAGAAAGCATTAATTGTCCTCTTGGTTTGCCAGAGAGGCTCTTTCCCTTCCGGAGCTGCATCCCTGGGATGGATGCTGTGGGCTTCGCCGCTTCTGTTGCAGTTGGACCTGCGAGGTGCTGCCTGCTCGTGCTCTGCATCCTGCCCTTGATGTGCCATCTGCGTCGGGTACCGCGCTGGCCCTCATCCCCCAGCTCTGCCTTGCTCTCATGTGGGGCCCTGATCCTTTTGGATCTGGGGTTGCTGGAGGAAACATCCCATCCCCGTTGCTTGTGGCAGCTTCTGTGCTCGGCTGGACACCCCCCATTCCCTGCAGGCCCTGGGCTGTGGGTTTGGGGCTGGTTCCTCACTGTTTGGTGCTCCGAGGCCGCGGTGCAGCAGTGCCAGCCCTGACCCATCCCAGCTCAGGGTGCCCAAGTGCCGTGGAAGGGGCAGGCACCAGCTCCGGGGAGCTGTGGGGTGCAGAGCGCGGAGGAGGCCGCATGTGGCTGCAGGCATCACTCGGGGAAAAGCCATCGGGGATAATGAAGGGAATAGTTTGTGCTTGGGCACGTGAGAGATGGGAACACGTGGGAATGGGGCAGGGAGGCCTTGGTGCTCATAGGCCTTTTGGCCGAGGCCTCTGCGGGGGTGCCACGCCAGCACCCCAAAGCTTCCTGCCAGGCTCCCACCCCATTCCCAGCAGTGTTTCCTTCTCTCACCACATTCCTTGCTCCTCCTGGCTGAATTCCTCCCCATGCAGTCCCCTTCTCACCGGAGCCTTTTCCAGCTCCCTGTGATCATAGATGGGGTCCCAGTGACCCCCTGCGCCCTGCAGCACCCATCACCCCTCCAGGGCTCTGTTTGCTGTGTCCAAGGAGGGGGACAAAGCCCTTCCTTAGGGCTGCCTTTCCCTGATGGGGCTTGACTTGGCTCCCTGCAGCTCAGCCCTTCCCTGGGGGGGGAACCCCAAGCCCTGAGCTCCCCCACAATGAAGCTGGTTGTGATTTGCCCTGCTCTGCTTTGCTGGTGCTGTTGGTGCCGCTGGATGCTGCCGCTCGCGATGTGTTCCCAGGCCCTGGGCTGTGCTTTGCTGCTTGTACCCCCCCCCCCCCCATAACTCCTTGTTGTTCCCCCCTAAACCGCGCTGCTCACCCCCATCCCATGGGTGCAACGTGGCCGTTCCTGCTCCCCGGGGCACAGCTCCGGTCTTGTCCCTCTCTATCCCAGCTTGGGATGCTCCACGCTCCCCCACCACCCCACTGCGGGCTCGGGGAGGATGTGGCGGCTGCATGAGCACAGCTGAGGTTTTAGTTCTAGGTATATGCAATAATCCCTCGCCACTTCAGCTGCCCGTTACCAGCAGTAGCTCTCTCTTTGCTCTTTCTGTCCATGTTTACTAATGTCAGCCCCATTATTTGTTACTGTAAGAGGATTTTTGTACGGTACTTCCAAAAAAAAACCAAACCAAACCCCACAAAACACCACCCCCCCAAAAAAAAAAACAACAAAAAAAAAGGAAATAAAACAGAATTCATGGAACTGCTGCAGGGAATTCTGTGGGAACAGGGAAGGGATTGGGACCCATCCCGTGCCTGGTGGCGGCAGAGCTCAAAGGGGGAACACCGCGTTCCTCCATTTCCAGCATTAGGAATGACTCCAGGGCAGAGCTGCCGGTGCCGGAGGGGGGGTTCAGCGCCTGCACCCCGGGCTCGGCTTCCCCCGGACCCCAGCGCTGCGGCGGGACCCGAGGGGGCCGGAGCCGGGCGGCCCGAGTGAGTCAGCGCCGGCGTCACCGGAGGGGCCGGTTGAGCGGGGCAGGAAGGGCGGGCGCAGCTCCGGGAGCGCTCATCGGGACAGCGCTCCCATGGCCCCCCCAGCGCTGCTGCTGCCGCTGCTGCTGCTGCTGGCCCCGGGGCTCGGCGCGGCCTCTGCCGCCTGCGACCGTGACCCTGCGCGGCTCTGGTGCCGCTCACCGGACATCACCGCCGCTGCCTGCAAGGTCAGAGCCGCCGGGGCCAACCCGCGGCACAGGGGACAACGGCTCCTTATGGGGCTGGGGGGAGCGGGGACCGCGCATCCCTGCGGCGCGGGCTGGCAGTGCCATAGGGGTGCTCAGAGCCCCCCTGTGCCGCGATGGCACCGCAGCGGTGCCCAGCGCCCCCCTGACCCCGACCCTTCCCTTTGAGCACTTCGTGTTTTTACACCCCGAGACAGTGGCACCACTGCAGGAGTGGGTGCCAAGGGGCTGCACCCCTCGGCGGTGGGCGCTGGGCTCCACTCATGGGGAAGTTGCTCTGGAAACCCCCGGCGCTGCAGGGCTTTCACTTCCCTTCCCAAACCCTCTCCCCCATCCCTGTGAATGCAGGGAGCAGGGAACAGCAGCCAAACCCCCCCCCCCTTCCACCGTACCCCGACCCCTTCCCGCACACAGGCTCCGAGCCCCTGCGCCCACCCCTCGCCCCCTTCGGCTGCCCCGGTGGAGCTGAGCCTGTTCTACGAGAGCCTGTGCCCTGCGTGCCGCAGGTTCCTGGTGCGGCAGCTCTTCACCGCCTGGCTGCTGCTGCCCCCCGAGGCCCTCAGCATCACCCTGGTACCCTACGGTAACGCGCAGGTAGGAGCCGCTGGTCGGGGTTGGGGACGGGCTCGTCCCGGTGCTGCCGCCCCCGCTCAGAGCGCTTGGTCCTGCAGGAGAGGAACGAGAGCGGGAAGTGGGAATTCCAGTGCCAGCACGGCCCCGAGGAGTGCTTGGGCAACATGATTGAGGTGAGGGGGAGGTCTCTGCCCCGTGGTGGTGGCGTTGGGGGGGGAGCTGGTGGTGATGGAACCACAGAATCCCAGCCAGGTTTGGGTTGAAGGGACCCTAAAGCTCATCCAGCGCCGTAGGCAGGGACCCCTTCCACTGGAGCAGCTCCAAGCCCCTGTGTCCAACATGGGAAAGGCTCCGGCAGCTCCCGCTCCTCCCGCACCCCGCGATGCACCCAGAGGCAGCAGAACCCAAAGCCCGTGGGGTCAGGGCTCCCTGGCAGGCACCTCCCCGGATCCCACCCGTGCAGCCCGGTGCCGGCTCCAGGCGCCTCAGACAAGGCTGAAGAGGCTGGAAGGACAAAACCTTCAGTGCTGGTGAACTCCTTCAGTGGCTTCTCAAAGCGGATCCGTGCGGAGGGCTGGGAAGCTGCTCTGGAGCACCAAGTCTCTCCAAAGAGCAGGTTCCTGCACCTTCTGCCGCACCGTGTGGCTCCAACTGCTCAGAGAATCAGGGAATGGGTTGGGTTGGAAAGGATCTTAAAGCTCATTGAGCTCCAACCACGGGCAGGGACCCCTTCCACTGGAGCAGCTCCAAGCCCCTGTGTCCAACCTGGCCTTGAGCACTGCCAGGGATGGGGCAGCCACAGCTTCTCTGGGCACCCTGTGCCAGCGCCTCAGCACCCTCACAGGGAAGAGCTTCTGCCTAAGAGCTCAGCTCAGTCTCCCCTCGGGCAGGTTCAAGCCATTCCCCTTGGCCTGTCTCTGCACCCTTGTCCCAAGCCCCTCTCCCTGTCCCCGCAGACCTGCCTGATGCACGAGGCCAAGAACTTCAGCACCTACTTCCCGGTCATCTTCTGCTTGGAGTCGGGCAGCTCCGTCACCGAGACCCTGGCAGCCGTACGTGTGTGTGTGTGTGTGTGTGTGTATGTGTATGTATGTGTGTGTGTGTGTGTGTGTGTGTGTGTATGTGTGTGTGTGTATGTGTATGTGTGTGTGTATGTGTATGTGTGTGTATGTGTGTATGTGTGTGTATGTATGTGTGTGTGTATGTGTGTGTATATGTGTGTATGTGTGTATGTGTGTGTATGTATGTGTGTGTATGTGTATGTGTGTGTATGTATGTGTGTGTGTGTGTATGTGTGTGTGTGTATGTGTATGTGTGTGTGTATGTGTATGTGTGTGTATGTGTGTATGTATGTGTATGTGTGTATGTGTGTATGTATGTGTGTGTGTATGTGTGTATGTGTGTGTATGTATGTGTGTGTGTATGTGTATGTGTGTGTATGTATGTGTGTGTGTGTATGTGTGTGTATGTATGTGTGTGTGTGTGTATGTGTGTGTGTGTGTATGTGTATGTGTATGTGTGTGTATGTGTGTGTATATATGTGTGTATGTGTGTATGTGTGTGTATGTATGTGTGTGTGTGTGTGTGTGTCTGTATGTATGTGTGTGTGTGTATGTGTGTGTATGTATGTGTGTGTGTGTGTATGTGTATGTGTGTGTATGTGTATGTGTGTGTGTGTCCCCTCGCCCCCCCGCTCCGGGCCCGCCCCGCTCTCACGGCCTCTCCCTCCCGCAGTGCCTCCAGATCTATGCCCCGCAGCTGGACAGGGCCCGCATCACCGCCTGCGTGCGGGGGGACACCGGCGCCGCCCTCATGCACCGCAACGCGCAGCGCACGGAGGCGCTGGACCCGCCGCACCAATACGTGCCTTGGGTCGTGGTTAACGGGGTACGGACGGGGTAAAAGGGGGGTGGGGGGGAACCGGGGCCGGAGCGGCCCTGAGTGGCCCCGTCTCTCACACGCAGAAGCACACGGACGAGCTGCAGGCACAGGCCGAGGCGTCGCTGCTGGGGCTCATCTGCCGCCTCTACCAGGTGGGATCCCGGTGGGAACGGGGAACGGAACCGGGACCTGTCCCTGTCACCACCGGGGCTCTACCGGTCACTCTCTGCCAGGGGGAGAAGCCCGAAGCCTGTGGGAGCTCACGGATACCGGAGGCCCCGCCTCGCTGCCGGCGCTGAGGGAAGGTGTGGGAGCACCGGGGAGAGAGCAATAAAGAGGAAGGGTTCGGTTGAAAACAACAGGCTCCGGATGGGGCGTTGGGGGCGGTGCGGCTGGGGCTGACCGGGACCAGAGCCACCGGGGCCGCCCCGGTACGTGTCATGGCGGCCGCCTGTGCCTCGGTACGTGTCATGGCGGCCGCCGGAAGCGGAAGAGTTTGCGTCACAGGCTGCGCCCTCTCTTCCTCGTGCCGGTGGTGGTGAGCGGGGGCAGGTCCGGGGTAACCGGGGGGGGGAGGGGGGGGGAATGTAGCGCCGGTATCGGGGGGCACGGCTCCGGTACCGGTACCATGGCACGGGTCACGGGTAGCGGGAGCAAGGAACTGGTACACGGGGGGGCACGTGTACCGGAGCACGGCATGGTACCGGTACCATGGCACGGGTACAGGGGGGCACCGGTACTGGGAGCATGGCTCGGGTACTGGGGACAAGGCACTGCTACAGGAGGGCACGGGTACCGGAGCATGGCACAGTACCATGGCATGGGTACCGGGGACAAGGCACTGCTACAGGGGGACATGGCATGGGTACCGGGAGCATGGCACAGACACGGGGCACATGGCACGGGTACCAGAGACAAGGCACTGGTACAGGGGGACACGGGTACTGGAGCACGGCACGGTACCAGTACCATAGCACGGGTACCAGGAGCATGGCATGGGTACAGGGGGCATGGCATGGGTACCAGGGACAAGGCACTGGTACGGGGAGAATGGGTACTGGAGCACAGCATGGTACCACTACCATGGCACACGTACCAGGGGTACAGCACCGGTACCGGGGGCACACCATGGGTAATGGGGTCTCAGGGCTGTTAGATCAGTGGCTCCCAGGTTGCTACGGGAGTGTCTCCATCCCCACTGACCCCCCGCCCGCAGGGGCCTGCAGGATGCTGGCACGGGGCTGGCGGCGGCTGTTCACGGGGCGGCTGCTGCTGCTGACCAACACGGCGAGCTGCGGAGCCATGCTGGCCACCGGGGACGTGCTGCAGCAGGCCTGGCACTGCCGGCGGCACCCGGGCACCGACCTGCAGCCAGCGCGCACAGGTGAGAGCGGAGGCAGCGGCACCCATGACGGTGCTGAGCTGAGCTCTGTGGGGCAGGGACACACAAGGGGGAAAGGGATCAATCCAGAGGGACCTGGGTGCGCTGAAGTGGTGGCCATGGGCAAGCTCATGGAGCTCAGCAAAACCAAGGGCAAGGTCCTACACATGGGTCAGGGCAGTCCCAGGCACAGCCACAGGCTGGGAGGAGAAGAGGCTCAGAGCAGCCTGAGGAGGAGGACTTGGGGGTGCTGGTTGATGAGACAATGAACATGAGCCGGCTTCAGTGTGCGCTTGCAGCCCAGAAACCAACCGTATCCTGGGCTGCATCAACAGGAGCGTGAACAGCTCCTTGTGCACCTGAAAACCTCTCTGCAAACCCCCAGGAGCTGATGTTGTGAGCCTGGAGAGGAGAAGCTGCGTGGAGACCTCAGAGCAGCTTCCAGTGGCTCAAGGGGGCTGCGAGGATGCTGGAGGGGGCCTCTTCATCAGGGACTGCAGTGATAGGACAAGGGGTGATGGGTTCAGACTGGAACAGGGGAAGTTCAGGTTAGGTATAAAGCAGAAGCTCTTCCCTGTGAGGGTGCTGAGGCGCTGGCACAGGGTGCCCAGAGAAGCTGTGGCTGCCCCATCCCTGGCAGTGCTCAAGGCCAGGTTGGACACAGGGGCTTGGAGCAAGCTGCTCTAGTGGAAGGGGTCCCTGCCCGTGGTTGGAACTGGAGGAGCTTTAAGTTCCCTCCAACCCAACCTATTCTGAAGCCATGATTTATGCCTATAAACTCATCCTCATTCCAATGGAGCAGGAATTAGGCTCCAGCTCCCCAGCACCACACTGAAGCCTTTGTGCTGCCCCCAGCACCACATCCGCTGCCGGCTCCGGGGCCCTTGGGGAGCCACATGAATAATGCAGGGGTGCTCGGTGTTGTGTTGCAGGGCGGATGTTCGCCGTGGGCTGCAGCATGGGCCCGCTCATGCATTACTGGTACCTCTGGCTCGACGCCGCCTTCCCAGCGCGGGGCGTGAGGGGGCTCAGGACCATCCTCAAGAAAGTCCTCATGGACCAAGTGGTGGCATCGCCCGCCCTGGGCGCCTGGTACTTCCTGGGTAGGTGCCTGCACCCTCCTTGCACCCATGGTGCTGAGCTCCGGAGCAGTGCCATGCACTGATGCTGTGTCCCGCAGGCATGGGCACGCTGGAGGGGCAGGCTCTGAGGGAGAGCTGGGAGGAGCTGAAGGACAAATTCTGGGAGTTTTACAAGGTAAATCCACCCCCCTGAACGTTCCCTCCTGCCCTTGGGTTTCATCAGGTCCATGGGGGCCCCTTTGCTCTGTGAGACCCCCCCCCTCTGCAGCGCTGTGAGCGGTGCTGGTGGCCTCAGCACAAGGGCTTGGAGCTGTTGGAGCGAGTCCAGAGGAGGCCATGAGGATGCTCAGGGGATGGAGCAGCTCCTGCATGGAGCCAGGCTGGGAACATTGGGGCTGTTGAGCCTGGAGCCTGGAGAAGGCTGCGTGGAGACCTCAGAGCAGCTTCCAGTGTCTGAATGGGGCCTATAGGGATGCTGGAGGGGGACTCTTCATTAGGGACTGTAGTGATAGGACAAGGGGTGATGGGTTCAAACTGAATCAGGAGAAGCTCAGGTTGGATGTAAGGCAGAAGCTCTTCCCTGTGAGGGTGCTGAGGCGCTGGCACAGGGTGCCCAGAGAAGCTGTGGCTGCCCCATCCCTGGCAGTGCTCAAGGCCAGGTTGGAACAAGCTGCTTTATGGAAGGTGTCCCAATGGCAGGGGTTGGAGCTGGAGGAGCTTTAAGGTCCCTATAACCCAAGCCAGGCTGTGACTCCAGTTCCTTGCTCTCCACAGGCTGACTGGTGCGTCTGGCCCGGGGCTCAGCTCATCAATTTCCTCTTCGTCCCCCCAAAGTACCGGGTGATTTACGTCAACGTGGTCACGCTGGGCTGGGACACGTACCTCTCCTACCTCAAACACAGGGTGAGCCCCAGCACCGGGCGTGCATCCCCATCATAGCCGAGCCGGGCTCACCCCATACCCAGCACCTCTGCTGTTTTCCAGCCCGGCACCCCCCCGAGCACGGAGCACAGCCAGCGCAGGGCCGGGATGTGAAGGAGCTGCTCTCAATGGCAGCGTTTTCGGAGCCTTCTCCCCATGGTGAGATGTTTTGTGGGCATCGCCGTGGTTCAATCCCCCCCATCACAAGCGATGGTTGGAGACCATCACCGCCGCCTCTGTTCTTGCTGCTTAACTCATCCATTGGCCGCAGCACTGGGGTTGTGTTGGGAACCCATCGATGCCCCAGGGTAGGCTGTAAAGCGGTTTCTCTCTCCATCCACAGAGCCCATGGCGTGGGGAGGAGCTGCTGCAGCTCCGCTTTGCCCCCTCCGGACAGGTCCATTTGCCCTTCTCCAGGGCAAGCCTGGCCCCTTGCTCCTGTTCCGGCTGCTTGGCAAAGAGGACGCTGCCCCTGTGGAGCCTCAGCCCCGTTCCCTGCTGCTGCTCTGTCCTCAGAGCCGGAGCCGCTCAGCTCCTCCCCTCCCCAGCCCCACGCGTGGGCTCCTGCAGCCACCCAGTGCCTATAAATAAGAGCGCAGCCACGGCTGAACCCATGCGGAGGCACTTGGGTGCTTCCAAGGCAATGGTTGGGCAGGGTCCGGCCCCTCACCAGGACCTTGCCTTGTTTCCAGCATCAATGGGAGCTGCCTGAATGTTGGCTCTCCTAAAGCTTAACCCAGTGCCTTGGAGCTCTAGCTTCAGCCCTCCTGTGTCCCCCCCAATGCACCAAGGGGCCACCCGAGCTGCAGGAGCCTTTTGGAGGATGCTCATGACGAAACCAGATCCATTTTGGCTCCTCTTTGGAGATGAGGTCGGCAGCGGGGCCGTGGGTACAGACACGGGGGCGCCCCCCCCACCCCGCGCCCGCAGTGACCCCCAGAGGCCAGTGATCAGCAGTGATTTATTTCTTCACACCAGTTCTGGAATACAGTGATTTTTAGGAAATTTGTCCTTTTTCTTTTTTTTTTCTTGTTTTTTTTTGTTTTTTTGACACTTTTGACATTTGTACAGTACAGAGTTAACTCTTCCATAAGTAAACTTCACAAAAAAATAGGAAAGGGGAAGGGAAATGGGGTTTGCAGTCAGGGAAAGAGGAGGAAGGGAGGGAAACCTGGAAAATAAAAACACAGAGCTCCAAGAAAAAATAAATAAGAGGGAAGCAAGACCTCCAGGTCCAGGTTTGCTCCAGGAACATCCACGTGGGCACAGTCTCCACAGAAGCACGGTACTACAGGAACACAGGAGGAGCCGAACGCCCCGTAGCAAATCAGCAACACAATGGTCCCCACGGAGGCAAAGCCGGGGTTGGACCAAGGTCCCCATCCCCAAAGCAGGGCTAACTTGCTGCAGGCCGAGCTCTCGGGGTTGCATGTGAGGAAGGGAAGGGGGGGGTTCTGGGGGTACCTTTAAAGAGGATTTCTCTTGCCAAGATATTCACAAGCAAGGTTACCACAGAGAGAAAGGAAACCTGGATGCACCAACACGGCCACAGCACGGCAGGTCACGCACAGCGTCACTTCTACACCTATTTACAAGGGGTTCTTCTTTATGTACAAGGAGGAAGACGGCGGGAGCATAAATTAGCATCTATTTATACAAATAAACAAGAGATAGGAAGTATCCATCCATCTGCGGGGGGGGGGGGGGCGGAGCCGGGCACAAAGAGAACCCCCCCCCCCCAACCAAGGAGCTCTTTGGGAAGGCCAGGCTGGGGATGGGGGCATGGGGAGGCCCAGTGGGGATCTGAGGTTTGGGGGGGGGGGGTCCCACTGCAGCTCCCCAAAAGGGCAGGGGTGCATCCCTGCTCCCAAGGGAGGGATGGGATGGGGGGGTGAGCAAGAAAACAGTATTCCTCAAGGAAAAAGGGGGTTTTGGAGCGCTTAAAAGCAGAACAAGGGGGGGGTTCTACCAGCCAGGCTTAAAAATAAATTAAGGGGATGGAGGGGGCAGAGCCTAACTGAAGGGGGGCTCCTAGAGGGGCTGCAGCCCTTTCGGAGGTATCAGCAGCAAAAGCCCCCATGGGACCCCCCCAAGAAGAGGGGCTCAGGGGGAGGAGAGGGGGCAGGATTGGGGTGCACTGACCAATATTGAGGGGTGTTTTGGGGGGGGAGGGGGGGGGGCTGGTCCTAGCAGGCACAGTCCTGGTGCGGGGGGGCCTGCTGGTCCGTGAGCTGGGGGCCCTGCTTGGCGCCGGTGACGGCCGGGTCGGCCGTGTCCAGGGACTCCGACATCTTCTCGCAGATGATGTCCACCAGGCGCTCGAAGGTCTGCTTCACGTTGATGTTGTCCTTGGCGCTGGCCTCGAAGAACTCAAAGCCTGGAGGATGCAGGCAAAGGAAAGGGAGGGGGGACACAGGGACACAGGGACACAGATCAGGGCTGTGCCCAGCAGAACCCTCCCCGGCTCCTCCTCCCATCATTAACTATTGAAGGGATGCGCACGCCTGGACCACCCGGCTCCATCCTTGCCCCTGCAGCCACCCAGCTCCATCCCCTCGGCAGGTTTGTGGTGCTGCAATAGGAAGCAGCATCACACACACACACCCCACCGGTGATGCTTTATGCACTGAGGGACAAGTCACCATGCCCTCAAAGCAGAAAGATGAGGGAATCCAGCCCTGAACTCAATGACATGGGGCAAGGGGGGCTCACCCAAGTGCTCAGCGAGCTGGCGGCCCTTCTCCGAGGAGACGACGCGCTCGTCCTCCATGTCACATTTATTCCCCACCAGCAGGACCTGGGCGTTGTCCCAGGAGTAGGTTTTGATCTGGGTGGACCTTAGGGGAAGGGAAAAAGGGAATGGATAATGGGGGAGGACAGAGAAGGGTGATGGGGGTGCTTGGGAAAGGTATTTTGCAGGGGGAATGGACCCCCCACAACCCTGTCCGAGTGCTCACCAGTCCTGCACAGCGTTGAAGGACTCCTCATTGGTGATGTCGTACATCAGGATGAAGCCCATGGCACCGCGGTAATAGGCGGTGGTGATGGTGCGGTACCGCTCCTGGCCGGCTGTGTCCTGGGGCGAGAGCAGCACATCAGCACCGTGCCACCCATCCGGGGACAGCAGCACCGGCATCACCACCCCCCCATCACCACCACAGCAAAGCAAACAGCCCCACGGCAAGCACACATCACACCCAGCGCCGGGGGTCTCACCCAGATCTGCAGCTTGATGCGCTTGTCGTTCCGGTAGATGGTCTTGACCTTGAAGTCGATGCCGACGGTGCTGACGAAGGCGGGTGTGAAGGAGTCGTCAGCGTACCGGAAGAGGAAGGAGGTTTTCCCCACGCTGCTGTTGCCGATGATGAGGATTTTGAACATGTAATCGAAGTTCTGGTCCGAGGATTCCTTCTGCCCATAGCGGGAGTCGGTAGCGGACGCCATCTGCAAGGCAGGGAGAGAGGAGAGGCCGTGACGGGGATGGCGGCGGTGGCAAACGCACCCGATGCCAGGCCCCGGTGTCACCGGTTTCCCACTGGGGCAGGCATGGTTTGATCCTATTTGGATTGGGATGAGCCAGCTGCCACCAACACGGCCCCAAAGGAATCTGCAGGGCCAGGATCCATCACCCCCAACGCAGCCACCCTAAGAAGGTGCTGCATCAAAGATGGGGTGCAGAGAACACAGCAAAGGGGGGGGACCACAACCCTGGCAAAAGGGGGACCATGACCCCCAGCAAAGGGGGGGAACACAACCATGGCAAAAGGGGGTACACACGACCCTGGCAAACGGGGGGGGCACCATAACCCTGGCAAAGGGGGTAGACACGACCCTGGCAAAGGGATGGACATAATCCTGGTAAACAGAGAGACCACAACCATGGCAAAAGGGGGGGGGGGGGGGTACCACGACCCCAGCAACGGGACTGCAGCTGCATTGAGGGCGCTGCAGCCTCTCCCGCATCTCCCCTGCAAAATGGCACCTGCAGCAGTGCCCGCACACGCCGTGCTCGGTGCTGCGGGAGCCGCGATGGGAGGTGCGGGGGGGGGTGATGCTGGGATGCAGGGGATGGGTGGATGCGGGGATGCACGGCCCCCCCCCCAATACATCTCCCCCCCCCTTCCCCAACACCGCTGCAGTCAGCTTCCCGCTGCTCCCCCCCATCAACCGGGTACCCCCCCCCCAGGTACCGGCGGTCGCCGGTACCGGGGGTACCCGGTTGATGGTGGGGGAGCAAGAAAAGGGGGGGGGGGATGTCGCTCGCTCACCTCCACGCCGCCTCCTCCTGCAGCAACTGCAGAGCCCGGGTGACGTCGCGCTGGGAGGGAGGGGGCGTGGCGTATGTAAATGACGGCGCAACGTCATCAAAGGGAAGCGCTGATTGGTCGGCAGCGCTCTGCTATAGCCGGGAGCCGGGCGGGGTTGGTGGGCGCCGTCGGGCTCCCCTAAGAGCGGCGCAATGGTACGGTCCGGCGGACCCATTGCCATTAGGGAGGGTGGTAGCTGTTCCCCGCTGTAGGGAAGGCGAGCCTGTCGCGATATGACGCCCTATCGCGACGCCCCGACCCCCCCCTTTCAGGCCTGCAGCTTGACCCCGTCCCCAGACAGGGGTACCTGGCTGTGTACGCCATATCCTGCCCGAGCCTCGAGGGGATTAAGGGGAGGAAGCATATGGCTGCTCCACAGGGATGCGTCAAGGAGGCATGGATGGAGCTGCACACCCTTAGGCTCTGCTGGGTGCAGGGATATGGCCCTGAGCCTCCGCAGCATCACGGCTCAACCGGGAAGCAGGGATGGATCCAGCCGCACTGGACCTCCCCCGGGCATGGGCTCCACCGCCCTCCTTAGTGCCTGGATGATGCCGCCCCTCAGCCAAGCAAGGGGTGAAAAGGGTTTTTCCATCAGCTCCCGCCCCGCTCCCTGCCCCTGGGGCTGGATCTGGAGCTCTGGGAGCCTGGTTCCCATCAACCTGCCGGCGCCCAGCTCCGCTCCATCCGGAGACAGGAGAAGGGGGGGGGGATGATGCCGAGCACCCGCCTGCGAGACGGGGCTGGCACCGCTCCACCCGCCGGCTCCTGCGGCACCCAGCGCTGGGATCCAGCAGGGATGCGAGAGGAGCGCACAGGAACCGGGGCCCCGATGGGGCAGTGCCACGGGTGGGGGACGCGTTTGCAGCCGTAAATCACCGTTGGGAGCGATGCGGAAGGGCGAGGGGACGGGCTCAGCGCCGCGCCAAGCCGGCGGTTCAATATTTACCTTAACCGGTTGCGTTTGGCAGCGAGGAGCAAGCTTTTGTTCAAACATAGAGCAGGGGGCCCCCTCCCCACCCCTCCCCGGGTGCTGGTAGGAAACGGGGCCACCAACCACGGGGGGCATTGGAACATCCAAAGCTCGTGTTCGGAGGGGAACAAACCAGGTTTAATCTCTGGGAAGTGAAGGGAGACCAAAAGGAACCTCAGGGGATGCCCAAGGCCCCTGTGGAGACACAAAGGGGGGGGTCACAGCACCCGCTGGGGCCCCAAGTGCAAAGTCCAAAGGCAGAGTTTCGAGTGCTGATGGCAGAGCGGGACCGTGTCCTTCTGACGTGAGTGCCCCGGGGGGGGACCCGTTTGAAAACGTGAGTTACAAAAGGCTCGGAGCCGTGAACCTGGCCCTGAATAAATAAACCACGGGCACCGGCGCTCGGAAGCCCTGAGGATGCTGGCACCAGCACCCTTACCCCCCGAGCCGGCCCTCCGTGGGGCTGTGTTGGGCCAGGGGCCGCCTACAGTGATGTCAAAACGCCTCTGGCCCCATGGAGGACCTCGTCCACGGAGCCCTGTGAGGCTCCACGTCCCCACGGCTGGGGCTGGGGCACAGTGCTCCCAAGCCCTGTCTGAAGAGCACAGGGGCCGTTCCAGCCCTCCCACAGGCTGGGTGGGAGCAGGGGGCAGCCGATGGGAGAGGGTGAGCAGAGTCCTTGTGCCCATCAGGACCCCCCGCATGGGGACACACTTTGGGTCCCTCCGTGTCCCTGCGGTGGTGATGCTGTCACCATGGCAGTGCCCAGTCCCACATCCCTGCGGCAGCGAGGGGGACCCACGGCCGGTGCTGCTACGTGCCCAGGGGCAGGAATGTGACGTTGCCCTCCGTGTCCAGGCACAGCCCCTCAGGCCGTGGCTCCGAGCACCCACTGCCACCGCTGTCCTTTGGCATCGTCCCCTCCAGTGCCTGCCGGTTGTCCACATCCCTGGGGCAGGTGACGGGCAAGTCCCGGTCCCCAGGGCCGGGTGACAGGCACTTGATGTCAGCCGACCCCGAGTCATCTGTGGCTGGTGTCTTGGAGCCACTGTTGTCCTCCTCCAAGGGGCTCTCTGCGCCCTCCGTGTCCAGCTCCCCCTCCTCTTCCTCCTCCTCCTCCTCCTCCTCCAGTGTCAGCTCGAACTGGAACCTGTCGGTGCTGGCAGGGGATGCTCCGTGCTCCACCGGCGGTGGGGATGGGCTGCGCGGGATCATGCTGTGGTACCATTCCCGGTTGTCCTCCAGCGTGTCCAGGAGCTCCTGCGCATCGGGGTGCACCAGGTCTGCCCACGTCTCCCACAGCGGGTGGGCAATGAAGTCGATGAAGCCCACCTGAAAGAAGGCAAAGCTGAGCCCCCAGCCCTAAACACTGTGAACCCCCCCCCTCCAGCCCCCCCCATGATGCTGCCTTACCTGGGACTTCTCCACAGAGGCCGTGTGCTTGTCGCACATGGGGCTGATCTCCATGCCCTTCTCCCGTTCCTGGTCCCCTTGGCGGAAGAACTCCACCATGACGCGGTCGGTCCATTGGCGGTACAGCTCCAGAGGCTTGGTGGGGTTGCTGAGGTCGGCGCAATGCACCATGTTCTGCAGGACCTGGGTAAACAGGGGCACAGAGCTGAGAACATCGGGGCTGCTCAGCCTGGAGAGGAGAAGCTGCAAGGAGAGCTCAGAGCAGCTTCCAGTGTCTGAAGGGGGCTACAAGGATGCTGGAGAGGGGTTCTTTCATCAGGGACTGCAGTGATAGGACAAGGGGTAATGGGTTCAGACTGAAACAGGGGAAGTTCAGGTTAGATATAAGGCAGAAGCTCTTCCCTGTGAGGGTGCTGAGGCGCTGGCACAGGGTGCCCAGAGAAGCTGTGGCTGCCCCATCCCTGGCAGTGCTCAAGGCCAGGTTGGACACAGGGGCTTGGAGCAAGCTGCTCCAGTGGAAGGGGTCCTTGCCCATGGTTGGAACTGGATGAGCATTAAGGTCCCTTCCAACCCAACCCATTCCCTACTCTATGACACAGCCACGGCATCACTTCACAGTCTTCTGTCCCCCAGGGCCACCCCCCTATGCCAGGAACCCCGTTGGCCATGGCCGATGGTGTTGGGAGATGCAGTGGCACCAAACAGGACATCCCAGTCCGGAGCCAGGACCAGCGCCTGCAATGCCAGGAAGGGTTCCCTGCATCCCTGCACTCACCTGGATGCGGTCGGAGTAGTTGTCCAGCAGCAGCACCCCCAGGCTCGTCACCTTCTTGGTCTCCACCATTGTTTTCAGATCCGCCAGCAGATTCATGTGCTTGGACATGTCCGTGGCCAGCACCTGGATGGGACAAGTTGGGAACGGGGCTCAGCCTGACCCCCCCACAAACCCCCCCCCAGATCAGGGCTCCCCATACCATGTCGATGACCATTTTGCGCAGCGACTGCCTCTGCTTCTTGCTCAGGTTCTGGAAGATGTCGCAGTTCTCCTCCTGGAGAAGCTTGAAGCCCACGGCTAGGTGATGGTTCTCCAGCACCGAGGCGTCGTTGTACATCAGCGCCAGCTCCGAGTCTGCAGGATGGCACCGGTCACCCCGGGGTGGCTGCTGGAATCGAGGGTCCCCCCCGTTCCCCTCACCACCACCACCATCATCTCCATCCCTGCACCCCAGCTCACTGGTGTTGATGAGGAACTGGTTGGAGACACCAGGGTGGTCAACGTCATGGATGGCGCTGGCGAAGATAGCAGCCATGATCTCCAGGTCCGTAAAGACAGCCTAGGGATAGTGGGAAAAGGTGTTCCAGATGGGCTATAGCCCTGCCAGATGCAAGTGGTGGCCTTGGGTGAGCAGGGCTCACCTCCAGAGCAGGCGTGGAGAGGAGGACATGGGTGGACTGGGCTACATCGGCGGCGTGGATGCTGTTGTGATAAGCCACATCAGCGTGGTAGTGGTCCTCCAGTGTCAGCATGTAGGTGATGAAGGTGTCAACGGGGATGCGGAACGTCTTCATCAGGTCACGCTCCTGCAGGGGGGAGCAGGGGTTGGCTCATCCCCATCCATGCACGGGGACAGGGATGGAGCCATCCCACTGGGATGCTCACCTGGAAGATGCTGTACATGAGGACCGTCAGCGGGCGGTTGCCTGAGTACTCAGCGACTTTGAACACGTTGAGCCCCCACTTGTTGGTGTCCTCCAGCTCCTGAGGACCAGAGGGAGCGGGGTCCATGTGGGGCCAGCACGGGGGACCCCAGGGCCGGCCGGGTCACCCACCTTGGCCAGCAGCGCCTCCTGGTCCGTGCGCACCCCGAAGCGGGGGATGCCGGCAGCGGCCAGGCTGGAGCCGTGCTTGAGCTTCCTGACGCCGCTGATCTGGGACATGGGGCGCTTCCGCCGCTCCTTCTCCTTGTCCTTGGCCGGCACCGAGGGGAGCTCCACCTCGTGCTGCTTGTCTGGGCCGGCACAGGGCACCGTGAGCAAGGTGGCAGGGAAGGGGGGACCCTGCTGCCGGCAGAGGTGGCACCGAGGTGGGGGGGGCCTCACCCAGGAAGGTGCTGGAGATGTACTCGGAGACCTGGTTCCCGGAGCGGCTGGTCTCGGAGAGCTGCGTCAGCTCCCGGCTCAGCATCCTCTTGAACTGCGGGCAGCGGGCAGGGATCAGCGGCGGGCAGGACCCTGATCCCCCCCCTCCCACCTCCCTGGGGGCTCTATGGATGCTCACCTTGTTGGAGGCCATCTCGCCCACCGAGTGCCGCGTCTGCAGCGTCTCCAGCTGGTCCAGGCACCAATCCAGCTCCTCCAGGGTCTCCCGGGAGAGCTTCTGGTGGGCATCTTCTGCTGGGGACACACGGGATGTGCCGGTGGCACGGGGACCCGCAGGGTCCTGGCTGCAGCATGTCCCTTGCCAAGCCGGTGGATGGGAACACAGGGGGGATGCAGGGAAGCAGCCAGGACCAGGGGTTGAGCTCAAGCATCCCTGGGTGTGGGGCTCAGCCCCGTTGCACCATCCCCATCACACACAGCGTGCCCCACTGGCCCCATGGGGTGACAGCCAAGCCCGGGGCTCCCGCGGGGCCCTGCTCATGCTGGGTTTTATTAATGGAAGGTTTGACGTCAACCGGAGCCTTCCCACCACGGGAGGAGCTGCCGAAAACCAGGCATGGATCCCAAAGGACAAAGCCACGGTGCAGGAGGGGCCTTGCTGCACCCCAAGGGACCAGCAGGACCCATCCTCAGGGATACAGGGCCAGAGAGGTCACCGCAGGAGCAGCATCACCCCGTTCCCCACCGGCACTCACCACTGAGGCTGGCCTTGCTCCCAGAGGGGAGGCTGCTGCTCGATCCTCGCCTGTGGAACATGGGGGGGGTCAGCAGACGGGACCCCCATAGCGGTCGCCCCCTTGCCATGGGTCAGAGCCTGTTCCAGACCCCTGCCCTCCCCATCCTGTGGCCAACTCACTTGATGCCGGCGCGGTCCTGCAGGTGGGTCAGGTTGCTCCGGACTGTGCGGAGACTGGCCAGGACCTGGGGGGGGGCAAGAGGGAGATGGGGCTGGGTAGACCCCACCCGGGGACCCCAACCCCAGTGCTGGGCATGGGGACAGCACCCACCTGTGCAAAGGGAGTGACAATCATGTCTTCTCCATGCCTGCGGGAGCAAAGGGAGTGTGAGCCAAGGGAGGGCACCGGGGGGGGGTCCCGGTGGACCGGAGCCGGGGGGGGGGCACTCACAAGTCGCTGGCGATGGAGGAGTTGCGGGACATGGCCTTTGGGGACAGGTCATAGTCGCTGTCGGAGCGGTACAGGAAGGACTCGCGGCGCTGGCCATGGGAGAAGGTGCCTTGGAGGACCAGCCCCGCACCAGGGCTGGCCTGGGGGTCCAGCACGGCCCGGCCGGGGGGGCCATTCTCCAGGTCAAAGCTGCAAAGGGAGAGGGGATGAGGCTGGAGCGGGACCTGAGCCCATGGGCACAGCTCGGCAGATGCCACCCGGTCCCTATCATGGTGGCTCCTGCAGTGACACCAGTCACTGCCCAGCCTGCTCCTTCACCCCCATGCTGAGAACAGGCACGGCTCAGCGCATGTGGAGTCCCTCATCCCCAGTGCGGGGTTAGCAAAGGGGGGGTTGTCCCGTGGCACCCAGGTCGTGATGCCCTGGGAAGAGCCAGCTCCTGCCTGTGCCCAGCACCACAGGTCCCGACTGTCCCAAGTCCTCGAAAGCCCCAAAGCCTCCGTCCAGCCTGGTTCAGGGCGCAGCGTCCCATGGGGAGGACAGAGTCCAAGCCACGGCACGGAGCCAGAGGATGTCAAACGACAGCAACCACTGGGGAAGCCAAGCCTTGGCCCTTGGGGACACCCCAACCAGAGCCACCAGGTAGCCACACGGGTCTGAGGCAGGGGTATAAGGGACATGGGGACAGGGACAGTGGCCCCACCATGGTGGCTGTGGCTGCTTCACCCCCCTCCTCCTGCTCCATCAGCGCTGGGGTCATGGGAAAGGCTGCAGGAGGAACACAGCCAGGGCTCTGTGTCCGTGTCCCCCCCCACCACCACCACCATGGGGACAGGGACAAGGGACCCCAGAGCACCGGGTGAACTGGGGGAGCTCATGGGGCCACCCCCCCCCCCGCACCGCCGGGTGCCCAACACCTACCCGATGCAGGAGTGCCTGCGGGACGGGCACCGGCTGCCCGGCTGCATCGCCCCGGTGCCCGCGGCGCGGCCGTCCCCGGCACTGGCAGCACCGGGCAGGCACCGGCTGTGCCACCCCGAAGCCCTTTGTTTTCCTGCCTCGGCTTCGTGTCCCCGATGGTACCGGGCACACAAAGCCCCATTGTGGCTCCGAGGGGTGATGTCTGTGTCTGTGCCCAGCCCAGTGACAGCCCCGAGCCCCCCGGGATGGGCAGGGGGGGACACGAGCCCCCGCACCGGGGCTGATGCCGAGTGGAACCCCCTTGTTTCGGTGGCAGGATGAATACCGGCCGTGCGGGGCCGGGGCTGCTATAAATAGATGCTGTTGCTGCTGAGGAGGGATCTGCTGATCCCCATAGCAGCACCCACCAGCACCCCAGGGTGCGGGCAGGGGGGCACCCCAAAACCAGCCCTATGTAGCTCCGTGGTGGGAGGGCAGCGAGTGCCTGCTTGTGCCGTGGTGGCTGCTTTGGTGCTTTGCTGTGCAGGAAAAAGCCCCTTTTCTCTCCCCACTACGCCCCCCCACCCGTGCCATGGAGCAGACGCCTGTCACCTGCAGGGTCCCTGCGTGCCCATCACTGCAATGAGTGTGCCCGTGCTCAGCCCTACGGACCCCCCCCCCCGCTGTCCCCTGCTTGTCCCCCACATCCCTGTGGCTCCACAACCTTGGGACTTGCCACAGCATTGGAGGGAGCAGGGGGGGGGTTCAACACTGACCCCATCCCTGCAAGTACAAACCTGGAGCCTCCTCCAGCCCTTTGCCCCCCAGCGTGCCCCCCTTCCGCCCCTTACCAGAGGGGATGCGCCACCGTGAAGCGCCGCTGCAGGCGGATGCTCTGGTTCATCCGCAGCTTCCTCCAGAGCACGGGGGAACCGCGGGGGGGGGACGCGGCGGGCGAAGCCCCCGGTGAGCGGGGCGGGGGGGGCAGCATGGCCCGGCACAGGGACCCCCCCGCTGCGGCGCCGCTGCGGAGCAGGAAACGCGCGGCCGCCCCAGCCCCGGCCCTGGGAAAGTTTCCATTCCCCCCCCCCCCGCTCCGGGAACTCAAACAAGTGCCTGGCTCCGGAGCGCGCAGCGCGTTGGGCCCCCCCCCCGCGCTGGTCCCCGGTGCGCGGGCACGTGGCCCCTCGCTGGCCCCCGGCCACCCCCGTGTCCCGAAAGGGCAGCGGTGCCGTGCCCGCGCACCGGGGCCAGCGGGTGAACCGAAGGGACAGACCCAGCGGTGCCAGGCAGGGACGGGGCTGAGGCCGGAGCATCCCCGGACACGCGGTGTGGGGCTGTGCCGCTGTGGGAGCCGGGAGCGCCCCGGTGCCTGCTGAGCCCCGGTCTGAGGCAGGGAGCAGCGGGATGAGGCCGGCCCCGCTGGATGGATCCCGGCTGTTCCCGACGGACACAAAAATACCCAGCAGCTGGCAGGGAATCAGAAGGGACAGCCCCCCCCCTTCCTCCCCCCATAACAGCACCGCAGGGACCCCAAAACCGACGGGATAGGGGTGGAAATGTCCCCAGAGATCATGGGGACATCAGGGCAGAGCTGCCCTCCCAGCCCCTGGGACATCAGGACAACCAGTGCCCGTCCCCAGGACACCCAGTGCCTGTCCCCTCCGGGCTCGGCTGTCCCCATCGCACACGTGTCTGCGGCGAGTGACACCGGAGCCCCGTCCCCCCGGCTGTGCCAGCCCCGTGCTGTCCCCAAAGCCGGGCTGGGACGCGCACGGAGGAGGGGAACGGCCCAAAAATAGCCCTGAAGCGGGGCCGGAGCCACAGTGGGAGGGGAGGGACCGAGGTCAGCCCCGGGCAGGCTGGCAGCCGGCTGGGACACGGGATGGAAACAGGGACGGGGGGAACGGAGAGAGGGGTTGAGGACAGGAATGGGGACAGGGATGGGTGATGGGGAGAGCCGGGATCGGCATGGAGGGGACTGGAACAGAGACAGGGACGGAAAGAACGGGGACAGGGGATGAGGGTAGGGATGGGTGATGGGTTAAAGGGGATGGGGCAGGTGGAGACGGAGGGGATGGGAATGGGGACAGGGATGAGGACAGGCATGGGTGATGGGGTAAAGGGGATGGGGCAGATGGAGACGGAGGGGATGGGAATGGGGACAGGGATGAGGACAGGCATGGGTGATGGGGTAAAGGGGATGGGAAAGGTGGAGACAGAGGGGATGGGAATGGGGACAGGGATGAGGACAGGGATGGGTGATGGGGTAAAGGGGATGGGAAAGGTGGAGACGGAGGGGATGGGAATGGGGACAGGGATGAGGACAGGGAAGGGTGATGGGGTAAAGGGGATGGGGCAGATGGAGACAGGGGATGGGAATGGGGACAGGGACGGAGGCGATCGGGACAGACCGGGGCCGGAGCAGCAGGGACGGCAGTGGCAGGGTCTGTCCCACGCCGGCCGCTGGCACCGGTCTCTGCCGGTGTCGGTGTCCCGGTGCTGCTCCCCGGTGCCGCTGTCCGCCCTCCGGTGCTGAAACCGGGAGCGGCACCGACGGCAGCGCCGTACCCGGTAACCCCATCCCGGTGCCACCGGGGCGAGCAAACACCTTCCCTTCCCCCTCCCCCCCCGGTTCCGCTCTTACCGGGGGGGTTCGGACTCGTCGCCGCTGCTGGGGCCGCTCTCCTCGATGGTGAAAACCACCCGGGAGCCCTCGGGCTGGGGGCCGCGGGCCGCCTCCGCCAAGCGGCAGCCCAAGGGCGGCAGCAACGGGCTCCCAGAGAACCGCCGGCGGACAGCGCCCAGCGCCGCTCCCGACGGGGCGGCATCGGCGGCATCGCGGCAGCGCTGTGGAGGAGCAGGGCAGCGGTGAGGGGCGCGGGTCCCGGTGTCCGTGTGTCCCCCGCTCCTCGGAACGGGGGTCCCTGCCCAGTGCCCTCCCCTTCCACGCCGCCGTTATCGGGCGCCGGTAGCACGCGGGTACCCCCTGCCGGGCACGGTGCCGCGCTGCACCCCGCGGGTACCGGCGGGGGGGGCACTGCCGGTGCACCGGGAGCGATGCCCGCAGTGCACGGAGCCGCCGAGACACCCCCCCCTCCCCGCCACCCCCCTCCCGCGGGACCCCGCCTGAACCCCCCCGGAGCCGGCGGCAGTTACGGAGGTGAATAATAATTAACCGCCCATTAAGGGGATAATTAACTCCGCTGAGCGCCGCCGTCCCGGTTATTGCTGCCCGGGGGCCCGGCGCTGGGACGCTCCTACCGGGGACACCCCCTTCCCCCCGGTCCCGGTTTCGGTCCCGGTCTCACCTCCGCGCCGAGGAAGGGCAGCGCCGTCCGGCTCCGTCGCATCGCGGTCCCTGCTTGGGGGGGGGGAGCTCAGGGAGCCGCGGCCGCCGGTGGAGGGAGGGGGGGAGGGGGGTTCGGCGGCGGGACCGGGACCCGCGGGTTCCTCCCTCCTGTGATTTACGGGCACCGGGGCTCGGCCGCTGCCCGAGCTCGGGCCCCGCTTCGGGTTTCAGGTGCCCCCAAAGGCCGTCGGGGGCCGTTGGGCCGAGCTCAGGGGGTGGCCTCCGTTCTTTGGCACCCACCGAAGCCATGGACCCGCTGGTGCCTCGTTAACAATCAGCCACGGGCACCCGTTACCCGCTGTCTGTGCGGAACCGGGGCACACTGGGGGTGACTTATGGACACCCCCCCCCCCGTAGTACTGAGCCCCCCCAAGCCCTGACCAACACCGGCAGCACCCTCAGCCCAGGGGATGCCAGGTCCCGGTGTGAGGGTCCCCCCCTGCCGCCTGCCCCCAGCCCCTTACCGGCGCCCGGTCCTCGCCGCGGCCCCGGCCGAGTGCAGCGGAGCAGAAGGAAGGCGATGTGCGTGCCTGGCTGCGCGCTCCCTCCCATCCCATCCCATCCCATCCCACCGCGCCGGGGGGGGGGGGAGGGTTGCGTGGCCCCCAGCATCCAGCGCAGCACCGCAGCCACCCCCGTGGCCTCCAGCCGGAGTTGGGGGGGGTACCCCAAAAGCGGTCGAGGCCTCCCCCCCCCGGACCGGGCTTTGTCCCTGGGGATGGAGCAGAGCAGAGGGGAAACCAGAGCCAAGGCAGCAGCTTCTTTATTGAGCAGCGGGGGGGTCACCTGGGTTGCTCTAGGAAAGAGAGACAAAGAGTGGGGTGAGTGCCCACAGCACGGACCCCACTGCTCCCCCCCCCCGGTCACTGCCGGTTCCCCCCCGCCGCCCCCCCGGTCCCTCCCGCACCATGGGCACCTCGTCCAAGTGTTGGAACTGGGGGGTCCTGCGCCGGGACAGCCGCACCAGCATCAGCGCTGCTCCCGCCACCAGCAGGCAGATGAAGAGGCAGATGATGGAGACCACGGCAGGGCTGGGTTTGGTGGGGGGCTGCGCTGTGGGGTTGAAATGGGCACCCCGTTACCCTCCATAGCATCGCCAAGCCTTGTGCCCAAGCACCGCAGAGGGTCTTGGGGAGAGGAGCTCAGAACTGGCTCCAGCTCTCACTGCCAGCACTGGTCCCACCCCTCACAGCCCCAGTACCCAGCTCCCACATCACCTCCAGGGTTAGGGATAGGGTCCAAGGAGGATGGGGCGGCCCAGGGGGGCTCTGGGCTCACCCAAGGACCAGCATCCCTGAGCCCCTCTGCCCCATCCTGGGAGCAGGGGGTTTAGGGGGTCCCAGGGCTGCTGCTGTGCCCATGGCCACAGGTCCAGGGGCTCCCTCCCTGCACAGTGCCCCCCCCCGGCCTGGCTCTCACCGGAGCTGCCAACCACAGCGCTGGTGCCCATGGCTGGTGCTGTTCTGGTGCTGGTGGGACCGGGGCTCATTGCGGGTGAGCTGGGAGCGGGAGAGGGCTTGAAGGACCCGGGTGAGGATGGGGCTGGTGCTGCCGTGGAGCTGGGGGGATGCCCTGTGGCTGTAGAGCTGGGCACGGCCGTGCTGCATGGAGATGGTGCCATGGTTGTGTTGGATGGAGATGTTGCTTCCACCGAGCCCGGTGTCCTGGATGGAGATGGTGTCGTGGTTGTGTTGGATGGAGATGTTGCTTCCACCGAGCCCGGTGTCCTGGATGGAGATGGTGCCGTGGTTGTGTTGGATGGAGATGTTGCTTCCACCGAGCCCGGTGTCCTGGATGGAGACGGGGCCATGGTTGTGTTGGATGGAGATGTTGCTTCCACCAAGCCTGGTGTCCTGGATGGAGATGGTGCCATGGTTGTGCTGGATGGGTTTGTCAGAGCTCCTGGTGATCCCGTTATCCCAGAGGGAGACGATGCTGTGTCTGGGTGGGATGAAGATGTTGGTGCTGCTGGATCTGATGTTGCAGCTGGGTCAGAAAAAGGTGCCTCAAGCACCGTTGAGGCCGGCGTGCTGGATGGGGACACTGCAGTGCCTGGGCTGGGAGGAGGTGGTGTAGATGCTGCTGCTTTGCTGGTTGGAGACACATCAGCAGTCCCTGTGCCAGAAACAGATGGAGACCCATCGGGTGTCCCCAGGCTGGTGGCTGTGACTGAACTGGATGGGGATGGTGACACTTCTGTCCCTGAGCCAGTACTGTGGCCATGGGCTGTATCTAGAGCGTGGAGGAGAGACCTGCTCAGCAAAGACACAGAGAGGACCAGAAAACCGGGATTTGGCCAATAGCAGATCCCACAAACCCCGGGTCAGGAAGAGCCTTGTCCCAAGCCATCCTGGCACAGGCACAGTGCCGCTGGGGACAAACATGTAGTAGGCATGTGCATGGCACAGGGACATGTGCCAGCCAGGCCCCTGTGGCACACACCAGACACATCCGAGCCGTGGCCACGTGGGACATGGCAGCGTTTGCTGGGCACTGCCTTTATCTGCCTTACCCTGTTTGCACAAGAGGAGGAGCAGGGCCAGCCTGGCCCCATGGCACAGCCAGCACCCAGCATGCCCAGTGCTGGGGGTCCCCATAGCCACCAAGCCCACCAGGATGGGCCATTCCCACCCATTCCCATGTGCTGGAATGGCAGCAAACGCCATCGCCAAGCGCTCAGCATTGGGGGCCAGCTTCTGTGCTGGGATAAGTGTAAGGAGGCACCTCAGTGTGCAGGGGGGATGCTGGGGGTCCAGGCTGGAACAGGGGGCCCACAACAGCACAAGCACCGGGGTCCTTTACCCCAGGGTGGTACCGGAGCACCCGCACCCCCATGAGCCGGTTTGGCAGCACCAGAGCCGCATCCTGCCCCCAAAAGGGGCTCCTGGGACCCCCAGGGTGTGCGTGCACCCCCCCCCCCTTCCCCGGTGCCATGGGGCTCCGGACACCCCCGGCAGGGCTGGATGCGGCCCCACTGAGCAGGGCAGGACCCCCCAGTAACCCCATCCTTGTCCCTCCCCAGTGCTGCAGGGCCAAGGCGGCAGGGGGGGGAACACGGAGCCCCCGCCCCCGGTGCCACCGGCGCACACAGCCCCCACCGGGACCCCCATCCCCGGTACCTGCAGCCAGCAGGGCAGCGGCGCAGCAGAGCAGGAGGCGCAGCGCGCACCGGGCCATGCCACCGCACCGGGCACCGGCACCGGCACCGGCCCCGCGCCGCCGCCTTTATCCGCCCCGGGGGAGGCGGGGGCCGCCCCGCCCGCAGCGCCTCCTGCTGGCAGCGCAGCGCAGTGCAGGGACCCCCCCCCCCGCCCTGGACCGGGAGCGCATCCCGAGCACCGGGAGCCAGCGCTGGGGGGGATATGGGAGATGTGGGGACAAAGGGACCCGGGCACATGGGGACAAAGGGATGTGGGGACACGGAGTGCAGGATCACGGGCATGTTGGGACACGGGAGACTCGGGCACGCAGGGATCTGAGGACACAGGGATGTGGTGACCCGGGGACCTGGGAACGAGGCCATGTGAGGACACGGGGACAGCAGAGCCGGCGCTGGAGGCAGCCGTGGGGCTGCACCGAGCCTGCGGCCGCGCCGTCCATCCCCGCACATCCGGGGCGCAGCGCAGCCATGTTCCGCGTGGCGGGGAGGCAGCTTCCTCCGGGAGCCCAAACCCCGGCCGCCACCACCCCGAGCACGGCCCCGGTGCCCCAGGGACCGCGGCGAGCCCGGTGTGGGCACGGCCCAGGCGGGACATGGCAGGGACAAGGTCCCCGCATCCCTGGGTGCTGCCCCATGGGATGGAGCCGGATCCAGGCTCCGCAGGTGGCGGACGAGGAGGAGCCATGGAGGTGCCAGGAAGCCGAGGCGGTTGCCAAAGCCCAGGGAGGAGCTGCGGAGGCTCAGCCCCAGCGGGTGCTGTGGGGTGACCCCGGGGGGGGCCAGGGCAGGGGGGTCGGACCCCCCCATAGAGGCACCAACAGCCCCAAGGGGTCCTTCAGCTGGGGCAGCCACAGCAGCAGGGCTCCCCTCACCTCCCCTTCCACAGGGACTGCCCCGTCTCACCCCCAAGTGACCCAAAACAACCCCAGACCCCCCCAATGAGCCCCCTCTCACCCCCAAGTGAGCCCCAGACCCCCTCAACACCCAAACCCTCCCCAATAACCCGACGAGACCCCCTTCTTCCCAACACCCCTTTACCCCCCCCCCACCAAGGACTCTCAGAACCCCCCCTTCCCATCCCCGGGGGTAGCCCCACACCCCCCCGGGCACCCCCAAACCCTTCTCAACACCCCCCCATTCTTCCCCCCCCCCCGCCCAAGATGGCAGCCGACCGCACCGCTTCCTGCCCGCGCCGCCCCATCCGTTCCCCCCCCCTCGTCGCAGCAGAGAGCCAGGAGCCAGGCTCCGTGTCCTGGGGTTTTACTGGGGCCTCACTGGAATGTGTGGGGCACTGGGGGGGGCCGGGCTCCCCTTCAGTCCATTCGCGGAGCGGGCCCCCCCCCCCCGCGGGAACGCTGTGTCCATCTCCCCCCCATCGCCCCATCGAGGCCCCATCGAGGCCCCTCAAGTCCGCACCCGGGCCCCTTCAGTCCGTGCCCGGGGTGCAAAGAGGGGTAAGGAGGGGGGGATGCAGGGGCCGTGTCCGTCCCCCCCTCCGCGGTCCGTCGAGGGTCAGTACGCGGGGACCTGGTGCTGGTGCTGCGGCAGGAGCTGGCAGCCGCTGTTGACGTGGCTGAGGACCTTCTGCTTGAGCTGGGCGACCTGCTCCCGGAGCAGGCTGGCGGTGGAGGCCAGCTCCGTGTTCTGGCTCTTGAGGCTCTTCACCTTCTCCTCCAAGCGGGAGATCCGCTCCAGCTTCCTCTTGCGGCACTTGGAAGCGGCGATGCGATTCCTCAGCCGCTTCCGTTCCGCCTTGATCCGCTCCTGCGTGTCCATGTCGATGGGGGAGAGCGGGGGGCTCTCCCCGAAGCTCGGCACCTCCGGCACGATCTGAGGCTCGTCCTTTAACGGAGGAGGAGGAGGCGGCGGCGGCGGCAGCCGCGGAGGGGGCGCCGCGAACGGGCCGGGGTCGGCGGCGTAGCTGACGGCCGGGTAACTGCTGAGGTTGGCGTACACCGGCGGCTCCGGGGCCAGCCCGGCGGAGGGCAGCTCGCCCGCCCCGCTGCCGCCCGCCCCGCCGGTTCCTCCTCCTCCTCCTGCCGCCGCCGCTGCCCCGCCGCTCCCCGCCGCGCCGCCGCCCAACTGGTTCTGCTTGTGCAAGTCCTCCAGCGCCTTCACGAAGCCCTCGGCGAACTCCTGCTCCTCGGAAGCGGCCGCTTTGGGGTAAAGGAACTGGCCGGTGGTCGGCGTGGTGGTGACCAGCCCGTTGGACTGGATGATGAGGCGCTCCAGCTCGGGGGACGCCAGCTTCAGCAGCCCCAGCTCGGCCGAGCCCAGCAACCCCGCCGCCTCGCCGCTGGACGCACCCGGTGCTTTCAAAGCCGCCGCGACTTGTTCCGGTAAAGCCATCCCGAGAGCGTCCTTCTTCATCATGCTGCCGCCGGGGAAAGGCAGGAGGAGCCCGGTGCTACCGGAGGACGGGGCGAAGCCGGTGCCGAGCCCGCTCAACACATCATCATGGTAGAAGGGTGTTTCCATCCTCCTCCCCCGCCCGGCTGCGGGGGAACGGGGCCGGGACGGGGGGGAAGGAGCACGGAAGGGGGGGGAGAGGGGGGGAAGGGGACCGGAGGTACCGGTAGCACCGGCGGCGACCCCGCTCCCGCGCGCACACACGCGTCTGCCGCCGCCGCGCCGCCTCTCGCAGTCTTTTATCGGCGGCGCCGCCGCGGTGACGTCACCGCGCCGAGCCGCCATTGGCTGCAGATGACGTCCTCGCCCCGCCTACTTTTTTCTCCCCCCCCCTCCGCACATGGAGAGGGCGGGACCCGCGAGCGCGCCGGGGGGGGGAGGGAGAGAGGGGGGCGGGGCCACGCCCACTGCTGCCCCTCCCCCCCTTCCTCCTCCCCGCCGTTACCGGGGCAACCGGAGGGTAAACGGGACAACAGCGCGAGGGCCCCTGGGCTGACGTCAAGGCGGGGGAGGGGGCGGTCACGTGGCCCCGCGAAGGCGCGCGCGCGCCCCGCCGGGGATGATGGGCACAAAAGGGAGGGGCGGGGCGGAGCGGGACCGGGTACCGGGATCTGTCACGGGGCAATGGGAAAGGGGCACCGGGATCTGACACCGGGCAATGAGCACCGGTGAAAGGCACCGGAGGCCAATGATCCAAACACAACGGGAGCCGCCCCCCCTCCCGCCGTGTCCCGGTAACCCCGGTGCCGCCGCACCGTTCACCACGGGGGTGGCTCCCTCCGCGGCGGTTCCCTGATGCCGCGGCACAAGGGGATGCGTTCCCCGCCCCGGTACCGGCGGTGCGGAAGGGGTTAAGCGGCGGTGCCGCCGCACGTCAGGGCCGGCCAGGCCCGCGGGCGGCTGAGGGGGCGGATCGGCGTCAGCGGCTGACGTCAGGGCCGATGGCCGCCGATAACCCCCCCTCCTCCCGGCACCGGCAGGATGCGGCCCCCGCCGGAGGGGTCGCGGGGGGACCCGGTGCCGAGGAGGAGGTGATGGTGGCGCCGGTGCGGGGGAGCGGATGAGGGCAGCGAGGATGGGGCAAGGCTCAGGCCGCTGGGGACACCGGTGACAACCAGGGCAAGGCTGGGAACCCCCCCGCAGCCGATGGAACCGCAACCATGATTAAAGCCTTTCCCTGGGGCTGTCCCAGCGCCGGCCCCCGGTGCCGGTGCCCCGGGGGGGTTGGGCCCGGGTTCCCTGTCCCTGTTTCCGCTGCAAGCCCATCATTAGGGAGCGGTGCGGCCGGACCGGCAGGTTCTGGTGTCCCGTCCTGGAACAGCGAGGGATGGGGACCGGGGGAGCAGCTCCTCCTGCCCCAGGGCATCCGTCCCCATCCGGTGGGGATGCACCCGTGGACAGGGCTGGCTGCAGCCCATGGGTATCCATGGATGAGCTCCTGGTGTCGGTGTACGTGCTCCTGCCTGCACCCCCATCGCAATGGGGCTGCAGCTGGATGCAATGAGAACCAGCTTCAGCTGAAGGTGCTTTAATCAGTTGCAGGAGGAACGAACCAGCCCCAGGGCCTCGCTGGAAGAGCAGCTGGCCCGTGGCCAGGGATGCAAGCCATGAGCTGTGATCCATGAGCCACAATCCATGATCCACAAGCCACGATCTGTGCTCCGGCTGGGCCCAGCCGTCAGCACCCACCAGCAAAACCCCACCTCTGCCAGGGTCACAGCACCCTGTCCTCATCCTGCCGCATCCCCCCCATCGCCACTGGTGCTCATCCCATGTGTCCCTTGTCCCCAAACCGGAGTCACCACTCGATGCCCGCAGCGAGGCGGCAGCTTCATTTTCTTAATGAGCCTTTAATGAGGGCTGTGATTCAGCCCTTCTGCCCCCCGGGAGGGCACAGGCATGGGGAGCAGGACATGGGGCTGGTGGCAGTGCCACCGTCACCTCGGCTCGGGGACGGAGCTGCTATTCCCAGTGGCACCGAGCACCCCCTGAGTCACGCTGTGCTTCCCACCTGCCAGCCGGGATATATTTACCCTGGAGCAGGCGGTGAGGGTTTGGGATGAGCCCGTGCCACCGCTGCCAACACCGGACCAGGGCCACGGGCACCAGAGCATCCTTGCGGCAGGGCCCCTGCGCATCTCCTGCTCTTCCCATGGGACCATTCCCAGCTCCTTGATGCCGCTGGTGCTTCAACCAGACAAGGTGTCACAGCACTGCTGGCCACCCATAGCCCCAACGTGAGATGCCCACAAGCTACCATGGGTGCACCCGCATTGCCCTGCTCCCGGATCAAGGGAGAGCAATCGCTATCCTGGGATGCGCTCCGCGGGCTCGGGGCTCATAGGGGAAGCTGCCTCTTAGTCACTGCCGCAGGGGGAGGGAGAGGAACAGAGCAGGGAATACAAGGAGTCAGCGGCCACCAGCGCCTGCCCCCAAAAGCCAACCCCACGTTGGTCCCAAAGGGGTTGCGATGGCCCCGGGGGCCTCCGACAGTGAACCCAGGCACGAAAAACATCATCGTTATAAAAAACCCCATAAAGAAAGGAGGAAAACACGACGGGGAGGGGGAGGAGGAGGAGGCTTTGACGTGTATTTTTAGTTGCTTAGCGCAGCCCTCAAGTATTTGGGCAGCCACTCCCTCCGCGTCGCAGGCGGCTGCTGGGGGAACTATTCCTGTGCTGAGGCACCGGAGCCATGAGTCAAGGAGCCACCGGCACGGCCACGGTGGCACCGGCAGCAGGGATGGGGTCCTACACAGCCGGGTCCTGCCAGGCTGAACCCCCCCCTTCAGCCCTTCCTCCTCCTCCCTGGTTGTGACCCTCATCTCGCTTGTTCTTGGCTTGCTGTGGTTTTCCAGCCAACAGCAGCCCCAAACGCTCCGTTTTGGGGCAAAAAGCCCTAAAATCACAGGCAACGGGGGCAGCGCTGCCCATGCTCAGTGCTGCTGGGACAGAGCCATCAGCCACCCATACAGGGAGGATCATCCCTGCTGGCCTTCCAGGGGTGGAAAAAGGAAGGGGGAGGCTTTAGGAAAAGCTGCAGGAGCCTGGGCTTGTCATTGAACAACAGCAGAACCTCAGCAGCTCCCAGAGCTCCAAGCAGGAGATAAGGAAGACTTGGAGGAGTCTGCCCTGTTCCCAAGCCAAAGGCCCCATTGTTGCAGGGGTTTATCCAGCCAGCACCAGCACCGGGAACACGGGGAGGTTCTGTGGCTGGAGGGACTCGAAAGGGAGGGAGCAGGTTGGGAAGGGAAAGTCTGACACAGGGCTCGGGCCGGGCTTTGTTCAAATGCCACCCGGGCGTTGATGGTGAGTTTCCAGCCGGGAGGAGGACACGTGTGCCCCATTCCCAACGCCTGGAAGCAGCTCCGGGCAAGAAGCCTGCTTGCCAAGGCAAGGAGGCTGCTGCTGGAAACCAAAGGTTTAAACCCATCTGACTGGGGTTTGCTGCTTACAGCAAGGGGTGGGGTGAGGCTGGGGTCCAGGGGGGCTCAGCACTGGTACAGACAGAGAGGGAAGCGCTTGGCAGAGGTTGGTTTATTCCTGCTCACCACAGAGTTCTAAGAAACAGTAAAAAAATAAGTCTATAAAAGCATGTTCCTCCTGGGAGCAGTGGCAGAGAACAGGCTCCAATGGGGGGGGAATCAGGTGTGCAACCCCCCCAACAACAAAAACCACCCCAAAACCTCTTCAGAACAAGTCACAAGATGAGCTTTTCCCCTAAAATTAAGCTTTTTCACCCATTCAGGGGACAGAGGCAAGGCCAGAGCCTCTTTCTTCCCCCTCCTGTGACCCTTCCCCACATTCCATTCCCATCAGCCAGGATGTTTTGTGGGTGCGTTTTCCTCATGGGACCCTGCGGCCCCGTGGGCTGGAAGATGGGAACCTGAGCTGGGAATTCCCAGGAGCTTCCCAAACCTGTGGCTGGGACACACTCACAGCCTGGCCTGTGTCCCCAGGGACTGGAAAAGGAGGTGGAGGGAAGGGAATGATCAGGGGTTGGGAATGAGCGGGAGAAATCTCAGCGCTCGGGACTTGGTGTCAATGAGTTTGCAAAGTTGGGGGGGAATAAGAGGGGAAATAAGAGTTGGGGGGGCACAAACATCCCAGAAAAGCCTTTTCCTTCCAAGGGAACTCCCCTCTGAAGTCAACTCAGCCACACACTCACTGGGAGATGCTCATTTATCACCAAGTTCTCTTGGGAACAACCCCTGAAGGCCAAAGGAACGTTTGTCCCAAGTCCTGCCTTAAGCCATAGGAGAAAGACAGCAGGGACTGGTCAGGAAGAGAAGCAATCAAGAGCTTCCAGGTTGGCTGTTTCGAAACCACCCCAAACCCTTAATACTCACAGAAAGGTCCTGGAGTTGGGTGTTTTCAACCCAAAACACTCCCATCTGGTACAAATGCAACGAGTCTCAAGTATAAAAAGAAAGATTCCAAACCATCCAGAAGGCGTTTGTTTGCCTTTGATCTGGCACCACGGAACAGGATCATCCTCCCATTGAAACTGGGGAGCCTGGAAAACTAAAGTATTTTCACTCCCAGGAGCAGCAGAACCAAAGCTCCTGAAGCGGGAATGGGGCAATTTAAGTAAATCCAATGATTTGCCTACTACAAGGAGTAAATAACTCCACTTTTTACCACATGAAATTGCAAGAGGGGCTTCCAAAGGACATGATTTGGGCCCGGCTCGATGGGCAGAAGAGGAGGAAGGGGACACTTTTGAACACATGGCAATCCTGAGGTGGAAACCCCATGGGCATCGCAGCCCCGGCCCCGGCCAGCTCACTGCTTTGCTGCTTGTCTGCCTGGCTTTTTCTCCTGCTGGCCTCTTCCGCTGCCTGGGATCCCTCGGCCACGGCCACCAAACACACCTATAGGGCACAAAGAAAGAGAAAGGGGGTAAGAGCATCACTGCAACACCTCCCAGCTGCCCGGAGCTGTAGTTATCCATGTGCTCCTCCTCTTTTCCAACCTTAGAAATAGGACTTTTGTGTTTCTCCCTTCTCCATTCCAGAGCCTGGATTTATAAGGTGCCTCAATGGGTTCCCCCTCCTCAGCTGTACCTCCCCGGTGTGTTCCCTGCCCTAGAGCTGTGCTCTCACCCTCCGTTGAATTAACCCCTGAAAAATGGATCCCTGGAAGCAGCAGTGTTTTAAGAGCAGTGAGATGAGTGGGTTCTATGTGTGCCCCCTGCAAGCTGAAACAAGGAAGGGGGTGACTTGGTTTGGCTGCAGGAGCCGCCTCCCTGCAGAGTCACCCCAGCCCCACAGCAATGCCAGGCACTGACGCTGATCTCAGTGCTCGAGGGGCTCTGGATCCATCCCAACCCATGGGGCAGAGCCCAGAGGAGACCCAGGGCAGGCACCAGGCACAAGGGCTTCTCTAGAGCCCTCTGCTCGCCCCATGGAGGGGATGCGGCTCAACCAGAGGCAGAGGATGACTCCTACCCCTGCAGTGCTGGGGATGCTCCCAGCAAGGCTGAGCTAAGGCTGCCCCACTCCTGGCTTTGGCAAGCTGAGAAGTAAAAGCCAGGAGGATTCCCAGTGTCAGGAACAATAATCCTTTCAAGTGCGTGCTCAATTCCAGCTTCCCTCCTGCCTGCTGGCCTCCCACCCAACGTGTCCTGCCTTTCTTTTTCCCCTTTCCCCTCCTCCTCCCTCCATGTCTCACTAATGGGAGCCAAAGCTTGGAGCTAATTAGCAAATACCAAAGCTTCCCTTTAACATATTCCATCAGCACATTGAGGCTGCACATCAGAGCAGCAGGGAACTCCACCTCCGACGGAGCCGGGCTCTGCTCTGCTCTCCCAAGGTGGGTATTTCCACAGCAGGGGAAACAGAGCAGCCAAACTGTTTGTCCAAGTAACCACATCCACAAAAGCTGCTCTGCCAAAGGGAGAAAGGGAAGGAGGGGGAAAGAAAGGCGCCTTCAGCTTTGTAAAGGTCACTTCCATGTGTTGGGAGCTGCCAGGGCACACAAGGCTCCAGGGTTTTCCCCTCCCCAAGGTCCTGGGATGGCCCCAGGTAGCGCCCAGCTTCCCACTGGGATTCCTTGTGGAGGTGGCTTCTGAAGGGTGCTCTGCAGAGAGCTCAGGCCTCAGGGCTCCTTCCAAACCCCAGGAGCTCCCAAGTGGCACTGGAGCAAGGGAGCACGCTCCGGATCTGAAGCTCCTACTGCAGGCTAAGCCTGGCCCAAGAGTGACCCCAGGGCCTGACCACAGAGTGAATGGCAAGGATGCAGCAGGAGGGGCGGGCAGGCAAGGAGAGGAGCAGCTCTCAGGCTTCCAGCAGGGCCATTTGGGGAGGAAAGAACAACCCATCCCCGAGGTGAAGCGCCCCGAGCTCAGCTCAGGAAGTGGGACAGGGAAGGGTTTGCTTTTGTGACCTATTTCTTCCCAAGCAGTGACCTCCCCTTTGATGAGAGGCACGAGTTCTTCACTCGGAGCAGGAGAAGCACAACCCCTGGGATAGACAAGGCAGGGGATCCAAAGCACCATTCCAATGGAAGATGATGGGTTTTTATCAGTGCCACGGTCAGAGCTCAGTCTGTTTCCAAACAGAGCAGCCATTTGTTCCCCTCCCTGCCTCTCTAAGCTAAGAGAGACCAGGTTCATCGAGCCACGCTCCCAAGCCAGCCAGGAGGGGTAGAAAGAGTCAAGTTCAGACTCTCTTAAGCTCCTGCCCAACCCCAGGGACGAGGGAGGCACATCCCTGGCACGAATCCTTCCTATTCTTTGGCAGAAGCTGCCTCACAGGCGAGGCAACACACATGAACTGGACTAGATCCTGCACTGGAGCGGCTCCAGCTTCTCCCAGCCATGCAGCCGGGGTTCAAGCTGGGAAGCAGGAGCCGTTCCTTGCCCTGAAAACCAAAGAGGAGCATTACCTCGTCCAGCACCTCCAACGCCACGGCCCTTCTGTTGCTTCTGCTGTTGCATCCCACCACGGCCTCTGCCCTTGGACACCACCTCTTCTTTCACCATGTCAATGATCTCATCGGGGATCCGCAGGTATTTGATGGTGCTGCCACGAATGTAGCACTCTGGCATCCTCCAGAACTTGTCTCCATCCTATTGGGGAGCAACACACCAGGTTACAAACAAAACGTGGGGCTTTGCTATCTACTCCCGGGGCATTTTGAGGGTTTCCATCACATCTGGAGCGTGTGATTGCTCCAGAGACCTTTTAGGAGAGCGTTATCTGAAAGCAGGAGCACAAAAGGGTGGGTTTTCCCCTCCAGAACACAGAGCCCTGCAGGATGGGGAGGGCACTGAGCCACGAGCTACAGCACTTTCAATTCAGTGCCTCTGACACTTGCAGCAAGCGGAAGAAAGAGGAGGCTGAGGAAACCAGCACCTTCCCTTCTCAGAAAGGGAATCAAAAGTGGGGCTGGAGAGGCCAACGTGGGGAGCTCCAAAAGCTCGGGTAAGAGAAACCAGAGCTGCAGCAAAGGCACGGCCGGGTTCATCCCCCAGCAGCCCCAGTTGGGAGTCACCTCCCTGCTGGGCTCCTCTGGGTGTGGATGGAGCAGGGAGGCAGCTCCGGAGCTGTGGGCTCTGCGCCACCAGAGCAAGGCAACCGCAGCTGTGGGAATGAGGAGCTGATGGGTTCTTGGTAGAGAAAAGAAAGTCTTGAGGTGCCCCATTATGGAGCTGGGATCTCCACACGGGGTTTGCTGGTTGGGCACCAGCTCCAGGGCTTTCCTAGGACACAACCTAGGAGGGTTTCAGCTCCTGCACCCCGGGAGCAGCTCTGGGAATAGGAACGGAGCTGAACAACAACTCGGCTGCCCATGATGTCAGTGGGAGGAGGGAGAGGGACCCGCCTCGTCCCGCAGCTCCAGCAGGGGCTGGCTGCAGATGGGATGGCTCCAGCCCAGCCTCAAGCAGCAGCATGTGGAAGAGGCATCTGCGGTGTCCCAGAGGAGCAGAGGCAGGAACGCCTCGTTCCTGCTCTCCTGGGATGAAACGGTTCCACGCACACACCCCAGGAGTTATTTGGGGCGTCTCTGCCTGCCCGGGCAAGTCCTTTGCACACAAGACAAGGCAGAAACAGCTCCAAGAGACACCCGCCAGACCCCGCCCTGCCTCGGGCCCGCCCGGCTGCTCCTTGGCTCGGGGTAAGGGAAGGGAAGGGAAGGGACGGAGGCAGCTCCTCCGCTTCCTCGTTCCGACCTCCCCGCAGTAAACAAGCGCCTCCCGGCCGGGGCCGGGCTCGCCCGCCGCTCCGTGCCATCTAGCGGCCAGTCCCCACCAGTGCCACCAGTACCAGCCCCGGAGCGGCTCCAGCTTCGCTTCCACCCGGCCTTTGGAGGCGTTCGGGTATCTCAAGGCTGGCAGAGGCTGCCAAGGATCCCTGCGGCACCCATGGTGCCGGCACACGGAAGGGTTTGCTCCCGTTTTCCATCTCTTTGCCACAAAGGTTCCTCTCAAACTTTGCTCAAGGGGTGATTCACTGCAACAAATGTGCCTCTGTGCCCCAGCACTGTCAGAGAATCCCAGAACGGTTTGGGTTGGAAGGGACCTTAAAGCTCCTCCAGCTCCAACCCCTGCCATGGGGACCCCTTCCACTGGAGCAGCTTGCTCCAAGCCCCTGTGTCCAACCTGGCCTTGAGCACTGCCAGGGATGGGGCAGCCACAGCTTCTCTGGGCACCCTGTGCCAGCGCCTCAGCACCCTCACAGGGAAGAGCTTCTCCCTTATCTCCAACCTGAACTTCCCCTGTTTCAGTTTGAACCCATCACCCCTTGTCCTGTCACTGCAGTCCCTGATGCAGAGCCCCTCTCCAGCATCCTTGTAGCCCCCTTCAGACACTGGAAGCTGCTCTGAGGTCTCCACGCAGCTTCTCCTCTCCAGGCTCACATCAGCTCCTGGGGGGTTGCAGAGAGGTTTTCAGGAGCGCGAGGAGCTCTGCCAGGCTCTTGCATCCATCCGGCTGCTGCTCCTCTCAGCAGAGGCCTGGCAGGGACAAGACCAGACACTTCTGACTGAGGTCAAAGCCCAAAGCACTGATCACAATCTTTGGGAGCAACTCTGGCCAAGGGCAAAAGTACCAGACAGTGCAGAGTGGGGAAACAATGGCTTCCCCTGTTGGGGAGAGTTAAAAGGAGCAAGTACATAAATCAAGCACAGGGCTTGAAGCAGACTTTGCTTCTCAAACAGCATGTGATGGAAGAGGCTCCATTCTTGGACCCATCTCAGCACGACCACAGCACGGGGCCTCCAGCCCCACACTGAGAACCCTCTCACAGGGGAAAGCACTAGGGAAAGGTGTCCCTGCCCTTGGCAGGGGGCTGCAACTGGGTGAGCTTTAAGGTCCCTTGAAGCCAAACCAGGCTGGGATTCGATGGCTCTAGGAGAGGCTCACACAGCATTTGTGTGCCGTGGTCAGTGCTGCCCTGCAGGAGCACACGAGCCTTTGCTAAGGATACTATAAACCACCCACGGTAAACGTGACTTTCAGGCAGAGGCCCCGCGGGGCCGCTCGGGGGCCAGGCCTTACCCGGGACGTGCAGATGACCTCCCGCAGGTTGATGTTCATCCAGTTGTCGCAGCTCACCAGGTGCCCGTTGTACGTTTCGCCGTTCTTCAGCTCCACCAGCTGCGGGACACACGGGTCACGGCGCAGCCCCGGCACAAGGACCGGTGCCGCTGGGGCCAGGAGGGGGCGCGGGCCCGGGGCTGGGCCGCGCTGCCGGTACTCACCATGGGGTGGTTCTGCGCCGTCTTCAACAGGGACAGGGGCAGCTGCGGGGGAAGAGAGAGGCCTCAGGCACCGGCGAGGCCCGGGGCAGGACATGGCCGCAGATACAACCGAGCGCACCCAACCCCCCGGTCCCGGTCCCCGCCGCCACTCACCATCGTGCCGGAGCCACCGCCGCGCCGGTCGCTGCCGCTCAAACCGCCCCCGGCCCCGCGCGGGGCCAATCAGAGCGCGGCGCTGCCCTGGCGAAGCCAATCAGAGCACGGCGCGGTCACAGCGGAGCCAATCAGAGCACCCACGGGCTATGGGCCGCAAAGCAACACCACGACCGTTCCGGTCCGCGCGTTTACGACAGCGCCGTAAATGGAAAGAGGGGGGCGGGCGGGAAGCGGTGGCGCGCCCGTTTCCCGTTACCCGCGGATCCCGGTTCGTGCCTTTTCCACCACCCCCTCCCGCGCCTGGGTCGAGCCGGAGCTTCTCAGAGCCCCCCCGGAGGGCACCGCTCAGCGGTGAAGAAGCTCCGGGCCCAGCCCCGGCGCCTCTCCCCGAGCGACTTCCGCGCTGGCGGCGGAAGTGGTGTGTGTAGGGGCCGCTCTAGGCAGATTGGCGGACCGCACTCTATGGTAGTGGTGGCGGCGACGGGGCGGAGCGCACTCGATGGTGGCGGGGCGGGGGGGAGCCGCTCTGGGCTGCGGGGCGGAGCGCACTCGATGGTGGCGGGGCGGGGCCGGGCTCTCAGTGCGGGGCGGCGGCGGGACGGGACCGGAGCGCGATGGAGAAGCCGCGGAGGGCGGTGGTGGTGACCGGTACGGGGGGAGCGGGCCGGGCACGGCGTGGGGGTCCTGGCAGAGGGGGGTATCCCCGTGGGGGCCTGTGCGGGGTGAGGAGCGGGAGCAGGGCAGCGCTGAGTTGGGTTCAGTGAGGGGCGCGCAGCGGCTGCCCCGGTGCTCAACCATTGAGGGGGGCTTCGGGATCCCCGTTCCCCATCGCTGACCCTCCCCAGGGGTGCGTGGTTGCGGGAAGGAGGGGATTGAGGCTTCGAGCAGCGGGGATGCGGGAGGGGGCTTGACCGCTCCGGCCGCCCCATCCGGAGCCATCGGCGGGTGGAAGCCGGGACCGCGCTCAGCCCCCAGCGCCCGGGGCAAGGATGAGCAGGGGAATGCGAGGGGACGGGAGGCCCCAGCGTCGCAGGCGGGAGCTTGTCAGGCTCCTTTCCCCGGGGTACAAAGGGCGCCGGGTTGATTTGTGGGGCAGGCAGCGCTGTGACAAATGGGGATCTCAAGGGGGGGGGCTGGAACTATTGAGGGCTGGGGTTTGAATGGGCGAGAGGGGCTCGCTGCCATCGCGGGTTGCGCTGGAGGCGAGCGGCTTTGCAAGGGAGCGCTTGGAAGAGGGAAGGAGCAGGTGGCAGATCCCGGCTTTGGGAAAGCCGGGATCGCTGCGCAGCAGTGACTAAACAGAAACCTGGCGTCAGTGAATCCCCTCCTGCCTGCGGTGCTTCCCCTGCCTCTTGCCCTGCTCCTATAGCACAGCGCTGCTCCTCGGGTCTGCCCCTGGGGGAGCATCTCCCGCTGCTGTCACACTGGGTTCCTCTTTGGGGCGAGCCAGGCCGTGTTCCCATCGGCTGCAGCGGGAGGATCGTGCACGGGTTCTGGGTTAGGAGTGGGGAAGGAGCTCACCCCATCGGGATCGCTGCCGCTGCTGTCCTGAGCCTTGGAGGGCCCTATTGTGGATGTGGAGGAAGCCCTGGGCGTGCTCGCTGCTGCTCACAAAGTTGCTTGTACCAGGAGGATGCAGGCAGAGGAGCAACAACCCACGGTGGTGTCTGTGCCGGTTCGCTTTGGAGCGAGAGGGCTCCGTTCTGTGCATGGGCACCTGTAGGATTCCAGCCTTCCCATGGCTGGATTGTTAGGAAGAGCTGGATGTGTTTGCATTCCATGGGGTTCGGGCTATCGTGGGTTGTTTAGGATGTCCTGCTTGTGTCAGAGCATCCCTGCCTTGCAGAAACACCTGAGAAGGGGTTCAGCGCTTGGATTTGTTCACCTCTGCTGCAGTCGTAGCAGGGAGCACTGGAGGTTTGCTCATGGGAAAACACCAACGTTTGGATGCTGTGGAAACCTTCATCCCGTTCCTTTTGGGCAGATATCGACGTGGGTTTGATTGTAAGAGCCCCCTGAGCGTGGCTGAGCCTACCCTGCGTGCGGCGTAACCTCAGCCTTGCCATTGAGAGCAAATAGAACCTTTCCATTAACGTGTCACATAATATTTGTGGTCCCTCTCAAAGCCTTTCAGGAGTTAGGCACAATTTATGTCTCTTAATGGCATGAGGCTCCCAGGGAAGCTCTGACAGTTCAGATTAAAGCGTATCGACGTGGTGCCCGCATGAATTGCCCAACCTTTGTGTGCTTGCTCAGGAGGAGATGTTGGGGGTTACTGGTTAACTCTGAGTTGCTCGTTAGGAAATCAAGATGTGGTGAGTAAATGGCATTGATAACATTATCGTAGCCTTTCCTGCTTGCTGGAGGTGAGTGAGCAGAGAGCCCGTTTCCTCCTAAGGCAGAACTAATGGTGGCAGAGATCATGGTGAAGAGCTGAGCAGAGAATTACTCTTTGAACCAGGCTTGTCTCCATTTGTGAAGGCATTTGCTGTGGCTTAAACCAACCAGGAATAGAAAATCCAACCAGGATTCTAATTCCATGACATCAGGGAACTTCTCTGTTCGGAGCAAGTTCTTCCAAGCTGGTCAAGGAAGGGGAAAATCCACTTGCCCCAGTGTCTGCTGGGGAAAAAGGGGTTTCTTTTGAGGCAAGCTCGCAGTACAAGGTGTACAGCTCAACCACGGCTGTGGAGGTCTCTTAGTGCTCGGATGTAAGGTAAATAAGGCTTGGGCATTAGAAATGGGCTTGCTTTCAGGCTCTATATACACAGAACACTTTGCACCTTTCACTTGAGTCAAACCTGTTGGGATGACTTCATCACTGTGGCTTTTCCCTTCTCTTGCAGGGTTTGGTCCGTTTGGAGAGCACGCTGTTAACGCCAGTTGGATTGCAGTTCAGGTAACCCTCTGCATACCTTTGTCTGGGGCAAGTTAAACCAGAGAGCCCTGCTGATAACATCCCCCCCCTTCCTGCTCTCGTTTGTGGCTCTTTTGGAACTTGTCTTCCCACTTTATAACCTCACTCCAGATGGTGTCTTATTCACTACTCCCAAAGCAATCCCTTAGCTAGTAGGATGTAATGGGATAGAGCTAGCGTAGCTCAGGCAAGGAAGGAATCCATAGGCTAAGCCCCGAGGTTTGGAAGCTGTTAAACAGGGCAGGGAGCTGGGCTCTTCCTCTGCCCTGGAGAATTCCAAGCCCTGGATAAACAACCCTGAGAACTGTTGTGCTTGTCTCTCAGCTGGAATGGGGGAGCTGGTTAACCTTTAAGCCAAGCCTCATCTGCAATGAGACTTCCCCCTGGTAACCTGTGGAGTCAAGTGCACTGCAGAGTCAAGTGGGTCTGAGGACTCTGACCTGCCCTTGGCTTCTCCCCCTCTGTTCCTTCTGCTTTTGGTGCTGGGCTGCAGCAGGCAGAGCAGGAAGCGTGGGGTGGGGGGGACCAGGCGGTGTTTGTCCCTCTGGATCCAGCCTCCTCTCTGCTGAGGAACAGCACGGGATGCTCCATCCGTTTATGCCACTTGTAGCTGCACATCTGCAGGAGCACGTTCATCCTGTACCACTGCGATGGCTGCAGCAGAGGCGAGGAGAAGGAGCCAGACTCCTGCCAGAGGCCCAGCTGAAGGAGGGAGTTAAGGTCACTTGCTGTAGAAGCATTACCTAGGGCCAGTGCTGCCACATTATCCCCCTTCTTCCTTATTTGTCACTTCTGGATGTGGTTTATGACAAAGCTACTGGGAATTCAAGGGTACCTTTTAGTACAGTTGTCCAGGGAATTAGATCTATTTTTCTCCCCAGCACATCTCTCTTCCCTTCAGAGCTCAGAGATTAATATCTTCTTTAGAATGCTTTTAAATTAAATCACAAACTCTAATCAATTACAGTCAACTAATGTCCAGATGTCTAATGGGGTGGCCTCCCAGAGCCTTTTGGAAATGAATATATCTGAGTTAGGGTTTGCTTCGTTTTAAGTTTGGGGGGGGGAAATGCAAGTGTATGGGGGGAAAAAACATCTTGGTACTAAAATTGAACAGCGAGGCAAATGGATTTGGTCTGTTGTTACTCATGTGAAGCAGCTACTTTTGTTCTAGGTGGGATAGACAAAAGGGTGCTGTGCTGGTGGAGCAGGAAGAGTGGTGGCTGCTGTGATGCTGCTTGCAAACACACACCTAATGTTTAATGTCACTCCTCCAGCACTGCAGCTCGAGGCACTGGTGGCTGCTCCACTGAGAGCTGAAGGCACCACGTGCCTTTTCCATTCATTTTAGGGGCTTGGGGGTGTTTGGAGAGCCTCAAACCGGACTTGGACCCTCTGCTTTGTGCTGCCTTGGAGCCCGTCTCCCTCCTGAGTCCTGAGCTCAGCCTTCAGGCAGCAGCGGGGAGGATTTTGCCTTCCCTCCCTCACCCTGCTCAGCCCCGAGAGGCCCAGACAAAAAGGAACAGCATGGCTTTGAGCGCAGGCGAGTTGGGCATTGTGCGGGTTTCAGACGGGGGACTTCATGGAGCTGAGGGGACACAAAGGCGCGTCTGCCCCAGACGCTGTGATCTGCATCTTAATAGAAGAAAAATCAATTAAACAATCTTGCTAAATCCTCCCTTGCTCCGGGGCTGAGCTCCTTCGGCTTCATTACGGCTTTTATTAGCCCGCATCCCGAGGAATCCAATCCCCTGCTTTCCTTCCCGCTCCTCTTGGGTGTTATTTGGCACGGACACGGGCTGTCTGTTCCCTCCGACTGCAGCGGGCTTCTAGGAGAGCTGCTTTTGAAAGCAAAGGGAGTTTCACACATGGGTACCTTCAGTGGCAGCCCTTGCAATGTAATCATGGGAAGATGTTTGGAGATCTCTGCACCTAAGGGAGAGATTCCCTATAAATTCAGCGGGAATAACAACATCTTTCTGCTTTGTTTTCCCCCTTTAATGTGGGTTTTCTGTCCCACGTTTTCCTGTTTCCTTTGGAGGAATTTTCCCCGCTGCAGTTTTTGCTTGGGAAGGACCTTCCTTTCAAGAAGTAGTTCCTGAAACAAGCTTTTCTGATCATTTTCCAGCCTCCTGGGTGTAACTTAGGTGTAGACACAGGTGGACTGTGAAGCGAATGGGCTCCTGCCTTCCTCCCCTCAAAGTGTTGCTGAGGAGGAGGAGGAGGAGGAGGAGAGAGGTCAGGCTGCGCTGTGACATTACTAAGGACAATTGCTGTCAGGGTGTCTAGACAGACCTGATAAGGATATTAAAGGCTCACAAAGGCGACCATTGTGGAGGGGTCAGGGAAGCGGGCAGACGCGTTCGGGTTGCTGTGGCTGTCAGGTATACAAGGCAACGAGTTGTCTGGGGGCCAGTGGACATCTTTATTATGGGCTGCAAGCAGCCAGTGCTGTGCTTGGTTAAAGGGAAGATGTGGGTTTGTAAAGCTGGGGTTTGGAGCTGTCAATGTGGGGCTGAGCCCAAGGTGCTGCCAGGAAAAGTTTCTACAGTGGAGCTCATCTTAAGGAGCTGTTTGATGCTCTTAGGGAACTGATGATGAATTCCTCCCTATTAACACTGGGGATCTTCCTAAAGAGACTGACTTGTATTTGAATGCTCTCATTTGTAAACTACTTACTTTATTAACGCGCCACATAAACCAGCTGACGTCTTGAAGGCAGATCTGTGCAAAAGAGATGCGATGAAACATCGCTTAGCATCCATCTCTGGTAATGGATGTCTGTGTATGCCAGACACTAATCAATACAGCAAGCCTTTAATATCAGCCTTGCCCTCCGAGCCAGCGCAAGTGATTTATCATTGTTGTTGCTCCTCTCTGCTGGCCCGGGGAAGTCTTCCTCTTGCCTTTGCTGTTTTAGTTGGCTTAAATCTTGCTACACCGGCCATGGGCCTTACAAGTGGGAAGGGTAAAGAAACCACTGGTGCTGACAACCACAGACAGAAAGGATATTGAGGTGCTGCTCGGGTTTAGATGGGGGAGGCAGGATCGTAACGGGGAGGTCCCAAAACCTCAGCTTGTCCTCTCCTTTCAACTGGCTTTAATTGCAGTGTAAACCTAGGGCAGTATGGGATCAGAAGGTGAGTGAGGTCCATTGCATTAACTGCCGTGCACTCTTTAGCCTGAGGTTTGCATCATCTCTGTGTGCAGGAAAAGAAAGCCTAAGAGTTGCATGAGAGAGCTGCTCCTGGCTCTGCTCACTGAATCCAAACCTGCAGTAAAGGTAACTTGATCATTCATAGTTTGCTGCCTTCTCTGCTCGAGATCCATAGGAACAGGCACAGGGGTTTGTGGCTGTGGGAGGAGCAGGTTCTGTCCTTGCCGTGCCTGCAGCCCCTTTGATGTAAGCACAAGGAATGGCTCCGTGTTCCCAGCATGAGGCTGGTGTTTCCAGTTGAATGTGGTCAGGAGGAGGTGAGCAGCACCAGGCAAGGAGCTTGTGCTGTGAGTGAGCTTGTAGCCTGGTCCCTGGCTCCTCAGGCTGAGCTCAGCCCATGGCTTTGTTGAAGAACCTGTGTTTTTCCAGGGGCTGGATCCTTCCCTCCCATCCTCAGAAGTTTGGGTTTGATGGCTCCAAAGGGTTGATTTCTGATCCAGTCCTGTTGTGGGCTCGACTGGTAACGTCTGAAGTATCAAGGGAGCAAGTCTCAGACTTACTGGAGTGTGCTGAACCTGAGGCCAAAGAAGAGCAAGGGGGAAGTATCCAGGACCATGAGGGAAATCGGTGTTGGGATCCAACAGGGGGGGAAAAGGCCTTTCCTCTTCCCTCGGGTTTTAAAGGTATTTAACTGACCCTTTGCGCTGTAAAAGGTACAAAGGGAAATGGGCCAAGTTTATTGCCTGGGTAGTTGGGATGTTTTTGAGCTGTGGCTTTAGTTAAGGTTATAGGGGGAGAAATAATTCACAGAATCACAGAATCCCAAGGGTTGGAAGGGACCTCAGAAGATCATCTGGTCCAACCCGCCTGCAAGAGCAGGGTAACCCAGAGTACATCACACAGGAACTTGTCCATATCTTCAACATAGGAGACTCCACAACCCCCCTGGGCAACCTGTTCCAGTGCTCTGTCACTCTCACAGTAAAGAAGTTTTCCCTGATGTTCACATGGAACCTCCTATGCTCCACTTTACACCCATTGCCCCTTGTCCTAGCACTGAGCATCACTGAAAAACCATAGCTCCATCATCCTGACACTCACCCTTTACATAGTTGTAACCATTGATGAGGTCACCCCTCAGTCTCCTCCAGGCTAAAGAGACCCAGCTCCCTCAAGCCTCTCCTCATAAGGGAGATGCTCCACTCCCTTCATCATCTTTGTGGCTCTGCGCTGCATTACTCGAATCACTGTGATGGTAACAGCTCACGTTGCAAAATGAAGTTGAATATGTTAAGTAAATAGGTAAAAGAAGCAGTGGAAGCAGGCTGTCTTGTGTTCCTGATCCTGCCAAAAGGAGAGTAAGGAGTATGTTGAGGAGGATGTGCCGGTGTTGCTTCAGTTTCTCATGGAGGAGTGTTGTGTGGAGCTTCATAGACACAGAGCCACAGCCTGGGGCTGCTTTCACCTAACCTGAGAGCTCCTCAGGAGGAGGAATTTGCTCTCCAGCTCATCAGACAGAGGACAGATTAGACAATGAATGGAGTCCTCCCAGTTCGACTTCTCCCTACAGGTACCTGGTTCTTTCAGTAGGTGAATATGAGGAGCCAAACCTTTCTTTGAAGAGTGGCTGTTGCTGATAACCATCATCCCTTCAATGTCGATCTCTTTGTTAAACACACAGCAGAGCAAAGCAAGCGGTCCTGTGGGTGAAGACTGTTCCTGCAGGTGCAGAGATGCCGTTGTTGTTGCCCTGTTGGCTTGAGGTTTTTAACCGTGCTGTTTACAAGGTGATACAGCCCGCAGGGTCAACTGGTGTTAGTCCTTCACAGCAAGCTCACTGCACCATTAAACCTTCCAGAAGCCTCTGTCCTCTGCTGAGCGTGTGTCTGACCATCTTGGCTTTGTTTCCTGATGTGTTTAGGAGCTGGAGAAGCTGGGACTGCGAGATGACGTGGATCTGCACGTCTATGAGGTCCCAGTTGAATACCAGACAGTGCAAAGGCTCATTCCTGCATTATGGAAAAAGCACAGTCCACAAGTGAGTGAGCAGAGGGAGGAGGAGAAAAGGCACAGGAAATGGGTGAGATCTGTCCCACTGACAGCGACGAGCAGAATGGGAGCTCCTGTTTCTAACGGGTGGTCAGGATGCTGTCCCTTTGTCGTGAGGACGTGTGATTCTGTAGGGTTGGAAAGCTCAGAAGGGAGCACTCCATTAAAGGGAGCAGTTGGTGTGAAGGGGCCGCTGCAAAGGGCAGCTTGTGTTGGGCTGTGCCACCAGTGATCAAACCTGCCCACGTTCATCTTAACCCTGAGTGAATCCCAGCTTGGGCCAGGAGGGGGTGAAACAAGGGGAATTGTTCTGGCCTGGCCCCATGAGTTCATTGCTCAGTGACTCGTTACCATGGGATTCATGCAGGATCCCCTGCAACAACCCCCAGTCTTTAACTGGGAATAGCGGGCACTGGGTTTCCCACCGGCTGTGTCGTGGTTGATCTGACTTGGTTCTTTTCTCTTGCAGCTGGTGGTTCATGTGGGTGTTTCGGGTATGGCTACGACCGTGACTCTGGAGAAGTGTGGCCACAACGTGGGCTATAAAGGCTTGGACAACTGCCGCTTCTGCCCAGGCTCTCAGTGCTGCGTGGAAGGAGGCCCCGAGTGCATCGATTCCATTATTGACATGGACACAGTTTGCAAGAGAGTCTCAGCACTGGGGCTGGACGTCACGGTCACTATATCAAAGGATGCTGGCAGGTACGGGGTGCCAGTGAGTGTGATAAAGAGTGTAAGGTTCATCCTCTTCTGCTCTTGCGAGACCTTCTCCTGCAGCCCTGATCCAGCTCTGGAGCAGCAGCACAAGAGGGACATGGAACTGAAGGAGTGAGGCCATGAGGAGGCCATGGAGATGCTGCGAGGGCTGGAGCAGCTCTGCTCTGGAGCCAGGCTGAGAGAGCTGGGCTGGAGAAGAGAAGGCTCCTGAAGGGGAGAACTCAGAGCAGCTCCAGTGCCTAAAGGGGAAACTTGGAGAGGGGCTTGGGATGAGGGATGTAGGGACAGGACACAGGGAATGGCTTGAACCTGCCCGAGGGGAGACTGAGCTGAGCTCTTAGGCAGAAGCTCTTCCCTGTGAGGGTGCTGAGGCGCTGCCACAGGGTGCCCAGAGAAGCTGTGGCTGCCCCATCCCTGGCAGTGCTCAAGGCCAGGTTGGACACAGGGGCTTGGAGCAAGCTGCTCCAGTGGAAGGGGTCCCTGCCTGTGGTTGGAACTGGAGGAGCTTTAAGGTCCCTTCACCCCAAACCATTCCATGATTGTGTCCTGCAGTTTTCTCACTGGATTTGTCACCCGGTGCTAAATAAGCTCTCTCCTTTTGTTTCAGGTACCTCTGTGACTTCACCTACTACACGTCCTTATACCAGAGTCGCGGGAGGTCGGCTTTTGTCCACGTGCCTCCGCTGGGAAAGCCCTATACTGCAGAACAGCTGGGTCGGGCACTACAGGCTATCATAGAAGAAATGCTGGATGTTTTGGAGCATTCTGAAGACAAAATCAATTGTCAGCATGAACACTGAGAGTGGGCAGAAGTTATCCTAGTATTGCACTTCCAACACCTTCCCTGCTCCCGAAGTAACTGGGGAACCGGCCTGAAGCGTGGAGACCCAAGAATTGGAGACTTCAAAAAGGAAAATTCCACTCCTAGAAATGGACCTTTTCTTTCTTTTTATTTTCTTTGTCAAATGTGTGCATTTCAGCCTAGGCAACAAAGGAGGCAGAATCTGTTCCTGGTAACACCTGCAACTCCTCATTGGTGAAGCAACTGATGTGTGTGTGCTGTGCTTCATGCAGAGCTTCTGGTAGCCGAGTGACAGCTCCTGACCGGTGTAACCCAGTACAGACAGAAGGGTTCTCATCTGGACTTGGTGGTCAGGTGCAGGGAATTGATAACCCAGTCTCTAATGACTAGTTTTGAAGTTGAAAGGTTTGCTTTCGTTTTGTTTTGGGGTGTCTGTCCCCCCCCCTTTGGCCCAAATGCTAGGTTATGATATAAAGAGCTGGAATGGTGTGGGATTGTTGGACAACAGCGCTTGGTGGAGACGAGGGTCTTGGGAATTGCTGAGATGGAAAAATCCTTCAGGCACTGACTTCTTACCCCACGTTGTCCAAATGCCCACAGGGTCCTGTGTCACGTACTGGTTAACCGGTAGCTGCAGATAGAAGGGACGTGCTTTGAGTTCCTCCTGTGGCGGAGCCGGAGTTGGCTTTGTCTTTGTTTCCTGTACACAAGGATGAGCCTGACTTGGCCAAATACATCCAAATGTCTTTTTTATTCCCTTCTCAATGCCATTCCTCAGTTTATTCCCTTCCTCACTCAAGTCAACACACACCTCCTGTGCCATCTGTGTATGAAGCAAACCAGTAGCGGTGAAATAGCTTTGCTAAAGGCCACTTTCTCCGCAGGAGACCTTCACCCTCCACTTGGTGCTAGCTGTCCTTTTGAAGGCGAAGGTTGAGTAATTGATAACTTCCTTAGTTATACATTTTCCTCCTTTGAAAGGTTAGAAGAGTAATGTTTAACTTCAATTCAGCATCGCTCACCTTGATTTATTAGGGGCATGAATATGCAAACGCGCCGACTGGGAGACGTTCTCCCAAATCCCAGCTAAAATCTGAAGCCTGCTGCCTGTAAACCAGAGGCAATTGGTTGAAAATGAGGAATTCTGCTTCGGATGAGTTTTGTGGGCTGGTTCTTAATGTTTCCCTCCCAGTGGGAGGGTACAGCTTGCTGCTGCTTGCAGCAGGAATTCACTGGGGGAAGCGTCCATGCAGGTTCTAAGCAGGACTGGTTGATGCAGGTTTGCTGCTGCTACAGGGCTCCAGTGAAGGACGGATGATGGTGCAGTGGGAACAGGCATTGGTGATTGATGACCAGTTGGTCCCACTGAGGGGCCATTTAAATGAAGAGGTCTGTGATTTGATCCTAATACTCCTACAAATATATATATATATGTATACATATATATATACAGCCCCCAACATTTGGAATGCCATTATCTTCATTTTCTAATTAGGGATGATCCTGCTCTAGTATCTCTCAGTGAGAGCTGCCATTAACTTGCTGTTTTCCAGGAGAAGCCTAGCGACAAAGGGAATAGAGACCACTTCTTGCCACCCTGCAGAGAGGACCAAGGCTTCTGCAGCTGGAATAACTTTGCTATTGTGAAGATGTTGGGATAAACTTCTGGGTTTTTTTTCCCAAGGAAATTCCCACTGGATTTACTGTACAGGCAAAAGGGTTTGCTTTCAAAGTCAAGATTCTCTTTTGTACTCAGATGCAAGGTAGCACTTGTGGGGTTGTCAGCAGGCAGGCTGGCTCTCTGGTCGGTCATTTATTCTATTTAATGTGTTGTTGAGGTATTGGTGGCTTTGACATGGCTTTTGCCCATAGCTGAGCTCCTTTTCTCTTGTAGGGTTGTCCTTTTCTGTGGTAGGAAGCTTTGGCATCGCGGTACCTTAGCTGCTGAGTGCTTGAAAGAGGAGGAGTTCAGATGTTGTGCTGAGTTCAGCAACTGGTTGAAGGGATTTTTAGGCATGCTGTTTAATTCACCTGTAATGTAGCTGGGAATGAAATGGGAGTGAAAGGGAACGGTTGAGTGAGGGGAGAACTGAAAACCTAAGGAATCAAAGCGGCCGCAGGAAGGGCTGATGCCCATGGGAAGCTCTGGCATCCAGGCAGCCCTCACCTGGAGCAGAAGGGGTTGGAGCAGGTCACTCTGCTCGCGATGGAAGTCTCGAGGTGAGATGTGCCTTGTGTGTCCGTGTCCTTTACACGTTGGTGCTTCCTCGGAGCCTTGGAGATTCCCATCTGGATGTGACTGAGGAGGAGGAGTTCCAGCTGCATCTATGGGGAGGGTAGATAGCAGAGGCTGCGTGAGGAGAACGGCTTTCCACACTGGTGTGTTCACCCTATGGAGCTGGGTCCTGTCCCTGTGGTTCCCATGGGAGAAGTTTCATAGGAAAAATAACTTATTTTATACTCTTTTGGGCTTGTTTGTTTGAGCATTAGTCCTCAGCGATTGCATTTGTAAAGGGGGTTTGGGTGCTAGAGCAATTGTGTAGTGAAACTCTTACAAATGGCATGAAACTGATTTTATTTAACCTGACCTAAATTAAATACTTTTGGGGTGGGGTTGGGTTTTTTTTGCCTTTTTATTGTGTTAAATTCATGGATTCAGATTGCCTTCCCCATAGGTGCGTATTTGCTTTGGGAATAGGCCATCAAACTGCTGCAGAGCTTCCAAAAGCTGATGTTTGGGGTCATTCTTCCTTATCTGCTTCTTCTTCCAGGTCATCCATCCATAGACCTTGCGCATTTGCACTGACTGGGGGACCCGTTGCCGAGCACAGAGCACTGTGTGCTGGGGAGGAGGTGTAGGGAGCTCTGGTTTGCTGTTCATTATGGTGCCTGTGACTTGCAACCCTAAAAGCTGGTGATGCTTTTTGGTGATGCGTTTTGGTGATGCTTTCTGGTGATGCTGGTGAAGCTTTAGGATCCTGGGAGTGCAAAGTTGTCTCTGGGGTAACGGAGATTTGTGTGCAAGAGAGAATTAGGGAGGTTCCGCTGTATTGGGTCTGCTGTCATTTGATGTACTCGCCAAGAGCTTGGAGTAGGAGCTGGCTGTCGTGTTGATGGAGTTTGGTGATGCCAATGGGATTGTTGCAGTTATTAAACGCTGTGGAGGGGTCGGAGGAAGTCCAGATACTCATAAACTCCATCGTCATTGGGTGACTCTGATGGCTGGGGGAGATTCCCTTTGGATAATCTACCCCAGCAAAGAGAAACGGTGAGCGTGGAGGTTTCTTTACCTTCAAGACTGAAGGGGGACTTGATCCATGTGGATCCCTCCCAACTTGAGATGTTCAATGGGCCGGTTGAAGGTGAAGCCCCATTTTACAGAAGCTTTGGGGCAGCTTTTGGAAAGGATGCCAAATCTGTGAGGTTGCTAGAGCACTTCACGTGTATCTGGAGCATCCCCCAAGCTGCTTGCTTCCTCCTGAGGGGTAGTGAGAAAGGACGCAAAGGTCAGGACGATGGTGAGAGGTGTTGAGTGTGGTTGTGACATGAGACTGTGGCCAAGAGCTGCTGAGCTTCAGGAGCCCTTCCAAGAGGGGCCTGACTGAGGGTGTCCCAGTGCTTAAGACCATGAGGACTTAGAGGTTGCTCTGCTTTCCCCCCTGAGAAGAGGGGAACTCAAAGGCATCTGGAGGCAATTTGAGGTCAGTGCTTCCTGGCAGGAGCTGAGCTGATGTTTGCATGCAGGGGCACTGTAAAGCACCCCCTGATGCTGCCTCACCGAACCAGGGCTCTGCTCTAACGTGTCCACTTGATCCCAACAGGGTTTGTACCGTGTGTGCTGTGCTAAGGCAGGTAGGAAACTGAGCATTTACCTTCCTATGCTGGCACACTGGGATGCAGCATTCAAACCCCGCTGTCGTGCTGGTTGTGCAGGCAATACTGAACCTTTGAGTGCCTCAGTCACCTGGCAAAGGGGAGCATTGCAGGCTGCTGGCACACACTTCCATGCCTGGAATAAAAACCCAGAGGCTTCCAGGCCTGCAGACTCACAAATGGGCTCTCCCCGGTGTTCTTTTTGGTAAGAAGAAGACTACAGAAGTTACAATCCACTGAAGTTTCTAATGCTACTCAAATAACCTTCATTTGATGGAGCGTGGGATGCACTGACCTCATGTGTGGGCTTGCCTATGGAGTGTAGGAAAGGCATTGTGCTCGGAGGAGCTTCTTCAAACCAGGAAAACCATGACAAGGCGTTGATTATTTCATGGTTTAACGTGGGACTCCTGCATCTCTTTTACCTTGTGGGGTGTTTCTAACTCTGACCACCCTTCGGATGCTGAGGCACGGAGCTGCTGGAAGAGGGAGCAGTGGTGTTTGCCAGCTGAAACCAGTGTGTTTCCACACAGGGATGGCACTCGTGGTGGTTGGGGCTTTTAGTTGTGATTTTCAGGTTTCTTCCAAACTTCCATCTGTTGGCTTGGATAAAGGAGTTCTAGTCCCTCAGTACACGTCCTGACATAGGGCTGGGTGGGTTTGCACCAGAAACTCTCATGTTTTGCAGTATAAAGTGCACTTTTTCACCAGACACACTTGTGTTCCTATCTAATGAGTGTCTGACGTGCTGAAAGTGATGTTCTGCCTAACCTCCCAAGTTGAGGATCTTGTTCTTCTTCATTGTAGTCATTGAAACCTGTGACCTGCTTCTGCTCAGTCTCTTGGAAGACCAAGTAGAGAAGAAAATGCCTCCTGTAGACAGGAATTAAAGCTAGGAAATGAACCTGTACACTGCCCTTGAATCAAACTGTGTGCTGCCTCCGTGCACGGTCAGGTTTTCTATTGCACCAGCTTCTTAAATCACAAATGTTTACTTTGATGAAACAGGGAGTGCCTTGTCCTGTGCTGGGCTTGCTTTTGGCGAGCAGACTGGTGATGATGGGGACACATCCACCTAAGGTGGATGGGGAGACTGGGAGAAACCGGTATCCCCTTCATCCAAGGATGCTCTTCAGTAACTGCGCTGAACTGGGGTTTCCTGATGCACTCTCAGACCTGACCGAGGAGCAACCAACCTCTTTGCTGCTTGGTTCTCCCCCTGGGTTGGGTTGGCCCCATCTGTGCAGGTTGTTCTGCCTCTTCTTTAGGGTTCGGTGCCGCGCTCGGGCTGGGTTGTGCACATCACAGCATCACGCAGCCGCTGGGGCCCTCTGGTCATCAGTCCCAGTTGTCTGTCTGCTCTCTCAGGTGGGGCCGATCTCCCTCTTGCTCATCAGGACTCACCTGGAACCTGGTGGGGCTTCTGTTATCCTCAGTGTGTTCTTGCAGTGCCTTGTAAAACCCAAACTCTCTCCCTGTGGCAAAGGGCTGTGGACTAAAGAACCCTTCACGTCCTTGCAGCTTGCTATGGCCAGCCTGGACTTTGTAACTGAAGATTGATTGAAACCCGTGGTTCAAAGGAAATAAAAAAGAGTTCAACTCTGACTCCTGGTGCTCTGTGCCAAGCGCTTCCAGATGCCTTCTGTAGGCTGCTCATGCCTCCGTGGTGCTCGCAGGCTGACCAGGTTGGGGTTTGTAGCATCCCTGAAGTCCCTGCTGATGCTGGAGGTGACCCCATCCCCATCCCACGTTTGCAGAGACCCTCACTCATGGGCTCCTTTTTGGGTGCATATCTCGAGTATTTGTGTCACTCATCCCCAGGAGGGTGTGGGAGTTTCTCCTTGCCATCATCCATCGTGTG